AGCCTTGCACGCCAGTTGGGCTGGAGTGCAGAAGGTGTATTTAATAGAGATGGGACAGATGAAGGTGGAATTAGCCTGGTACAGGACTGTGAGTGACTTTAAATGCCAAATGGCGGGGCTTGGGGGCTTGTATTGTAACCAAAGGGAGTCAGGAAGTTACTAAAGCTAATTGAGCAGAACATTATCAGATCTGTACTCTGGTAATATCACTTTGGTAGCTATGTGGATTATAGATTGGAGAGAGAAAAAAGCTGGATACCAGTTAGGAAGCTATTGCCTTTCTAATGATCTGCACTAGGGTATTTGTGGTGTGAATAGAGAGAAAGCGACGGATGAAGAAGATATTGAGGAGTTTGAATGGACATTTTTGGGTGGGGAAGGACAGAGGAAGTAAGAGTGAATTATGACTCTTATGTTGGAAACCTGAGTAGATTGGAAGAATAATAATGTCCTTGACAAAAACGAGGAAATAATAAAGAGGGGTGGGTTCAGAGGGAAAGATGTTAAGTTCTGTTTTGGATGTGTTGATTTTGAGATGCTGATGGAATAGCCAGGTGCAGGCGTCCACCCGACAATTGTGGGTGCGTGACTCAAGCTCAGAATTGACCTAAGGCCCAGATAGAATTTACTGTAAGTGCTACCAACCCTCCTCACCCTTCTTCCTGGTAGATCTTCCTTCCTTCCCTGTTTCTCTAACCCTCCATTTGTACTTAGGAGAGTTTACCAAGGAAATTTCTAGTATCTCTTATGAAACATTACATAGCTAAATGATCCATTTTCTTAGAAGAGTTGGTGAAATCTTATTTATAAACAGGAATCTCAACTCATTACAAAGTACTTAATAACATGTTGAAGATCTTTTAGGAGGAGTGTGGTTGTTACTTCTGTGTGGTAGAGAGTTCTGAATCCTTACTCGTTTGTTTTCTAAGAATTTTTATTTAAGACAAGGGTTAAAAAATTGTTTTTTTAGACAGATCACTTTGTTTAAGCCTTTTAAATTTTCTCTTCTATAATATCAATATAATGCTACCTGCCACATCAACATTTTATCACCTAATTTTGGTAGAATGTTTGATGCATAAAAATTGTGCTTTAGTTTTAGTAGGTTAGTTTCCAAATTTTAGAATAGTGTTTGAATGCCGGACAAAATGTGTTTCTATACTTGAACAGTTTTTTTGTGTGTTCCTTCTTTGTGAAGAGAGAATTTATGAAAGATGATTTGTTCTATAGATAGACTCTCTACCAGATGCCTCAGGAAAACTTTTTCCCCTCTTAAAACCTTATGTAAGGCATTATGCTTACAAAATATCCTGAGTGTTCCTGTGATTCATTTGACTTGTTGACATCAGTATTTTATAAGTTCCTTTGAAGTTTTAACTTAAAACAACTTGATGAAAGATTTGAATTGCTTTAGCCATTATTCTTTATATAATTTATCATTTATTGTTGGGATTTTTGCCAGTGTGATTTCTATCAGGCAACTATTATATTCATCAAATAGCTAAAACAAAATTTTTTGTCTTTTTTACATTTAATTTTAATTTTATTTTTCTTAATTATATGTAAACAAAAAAATTTAACACTCATTTAAAAAAAAGTTTCATATTCTTTCCTCCTTTAGAAGTCAAGCAATTTTATATAGATTACACAAGTACAGTCATACAAAAACATTTCAGTATCAGCCATGTTGCAAAAGAAAACACATACTGAAGAAAACCAAGAATAATAAAGAAAGTAAAAATCTGCATTCAGACCCAATCTGTTCTTTCTATGGAGGTGGATAGCATTTTTCATCTCAAGTACTTTGGAATTTTCTTGGATCATTGTATTGCTGAGAATAGTTGTCATTTACAGTTGGTTATCTTACAATATTGCTGTTATGTACAGTGTTCTCCTGGTTCTGCTCATTTCACTTTGCATCAGTTCATGTAAGGCTTCCTAGGTTTTTCTGAAAGTATTCTTCTCTGATTTCTTACAGCACAATAGCATTCCATTACAATTATATACCATAATTATATGTTCAGCCATTCTCCAATTGATGGGTATCCCCTCTACTTCCAATTCTTTGCCTCCACAAAAAAGAGATGCTCTGAATATTTTTGTACATATAGGTCCTCCTCCTCCTCCTCCTCCTTCTTCTTCTTCTTCTTCTTCCTCCTCTTCTTCCTCCTCCTCCCTTCCCCCCTTCCCCCCCCTCATAGTAGTAGTGTTGATGGGTCAAGGGGTATGTACAGTTTTATATCCCTTTGGGTATAGTTCCAAATTGCTCTCCAGAATGGTTAGGGAGTTCACAACTCCAACAGTGTATTCATGTCCCAGTTCTTACACATCCCCTCCAACATTTGTCATTTTTCTTTTCTGTCATATTGGCCAATTTGATACATGTGGGGTGGCACCTCTATGTTGTTTTAATTTGCATTTCTCTATTCAATAATGATTAGAGCATTTTTTTCATATGACTATAGACAGCTTTGATTTCTTCATCTGAAAACTGCCTGTTCATATGCTTTGGCTGTTGCTCAATTGGGGAATGACTTGTATTCTTATAAATTTGATTCGGTTCTCTATATATTTGAGAGATGAGGCCTTTATCAGAGACACTTGCCATAAATTTTTTCCCCCAGTATCCTACTTTCCTTGTAATCTTGGCTGCATGGTTTTGTTTGTGCAAAAAAAGCCCTTTTTTAATATAATGTAATCAAAATTATCCATTTCATATCCTATAGTGCTTTCTATCTCTTGTTTGGTCATAATTTTTTCCCTTTGCCATAAATCTGAATATTTCACGCTCCCCTGATTTGCTTATGATTTCACCCTTTATGTCTAAATTATATATCCATTTTGACTGCATTGGTCTGTACCTAGTTTCTGCCAAGCTGCTTTCCAGTTTTCCCAGCAATTTTTGTCAAATAATGATTTCCTGTCACAAAATCTTGGATTTTGGGGTTTGTTAGACACTAGATTGCTATGGTCTTTTAACACTATGTATTGTGTGCCTAATCTATATTCCACCAATCCACCACTCTGCTTCTTCGTACCAGATTGTTTTGATGATTGCCACTTTGTAATACAGTTTGAGATCTGGTACTGCTAGGTAACCTTCCTTCACAGGTTTGTTTGCTTTTTTTTTCCATTGACTCCCTTGATACTCTTGACCTTTTGTTCTTCCAGATGAATTTTGTTACTGTGTTTTCTAGCTCTGTAAAATAATTTTTTTGATGATTTGATTGGTATGGCATAGAATGAGTAAATTAATTTAGGTAGAATTGTCATTTTTATTATATTGACTCGGCTTAACCATGAGCAATTAATATTTCTCCAGATCTTTCGATCTGACTGTGTGAAAAGTATTTTATAATTGTGTTTATATAATTTCTGCATTTGTCTTGGGAGGTAGACTCCCAAGTATTTTATATTGTCTCTAGTTATTTAAAATAGAATTTCTCTTTCTTACTGCTGACCTTTGTTGGTAATATATAGAAATGCTGATGATTTATGTGGGTTTATTTTATGTGCTTCAACTTTGCTGAAGTTGTTAATTATTTCAACTAGATTTTTAGTTGATTCTCTAAGCATACTATCATATCATCTGCAAGGAGTGGTAGTTTTGTTTCCTCATTGCCTGGTTTAATTCCTTCAATTTCTTTTTCTTGTTGCTATCACTAGCATTTTTAGAACAATATTGAATAGTAGTGGTGATAATGGGCATTATTGTTTTACTCCTGATCTTATTGGAAAGGCTTCTAGTTTAACCCCATTACAGATAGTACTTGCTGATGGTTTTAGATAGGGATTTATTCCTCTGCTTTCTAGAGTTTTTAATAGGAATGGTTGTGGTATTTTTCCAAAAGCCTTTTCTGCATCTACTGAAATATTCGTATGATTTTTGTTATCGATATGATCGATTATGCTGATAGTTTTCCTGATATTAAGCCAGCCCTACATTCCTGGTATAAGCGCTGCCTGGTCACATTGTATGATCTTTGTGATATGTTGCCATTTTCTTCTCACAAGTATCTTATTTAGAATTTTGGCTCAGTCTTCGTTAGGGAAGTTGGTCTGTGGTTTCCGTTTTCTGTTTTTGCTCTTCTTGGTTTAGGTATCAGCACCGTATTAAATTAAAGATGTGATGCAGGTCATTAAGGGAATTCTGTTAGCCAACAGTCCGTGTTCAGCTCCATCTCTGCTAACTCTCACACCTGGGATTTGACACACCCTGCCTTACGTGGCCATAAGCCATATTGTTTAGCAGTAATGTCATAAATGCTCATCAAATCAAGTGCCCCTTCACTATCTTTTGAACAGTTCTTTATGTATAACTTTGTCCCTGTGTGAAACTGTCCTCTGTCCTATTGCTTTGTCTAACACAAAGTTTTCATTGAACCAGTTAGTAGCAACTCATGAAATATGTCCCTAAATTATTGTTTTCATTGATGGGTTCTCTTGGGTGCTATTAGATATAGAAGTACTGTTAATTACCAAAGGAGTATTAAATAATTTCCATGTAGCTTTATTTCTAATTTTGTTTTCTAATATACTCAGATTCTTAGAAATATGTTATTCTTGTATAGTACAATAGAAATTTTTTTCTTAGTCAAAAATTTGGATTAAACAGAACAGTTTAGTAGTTTCTGGCCATACCAGTAACACTGAGTTTGCCTTATTACTCTATACTAGATCTTTGCAAAACTGGTAATTTACAGAAGACTAAACATATGGAAAAATTAGCTGTGTGCAAAGGCATTTCTTAGTAGGTATGGGGAAAGGCTTCATAGTTGTGATAGTGTAAGGAAGAGCTGGATTTCACTAATTTAACATGAAGAACCCATAGTATTTCATCCTATAAGAACATGAGTCTTTTCCCCTATGCTTCTGTTAAAGAAAGTGGGGCCTTTGCATACTTCTTTTTCCAAGTATTCTTCACATGTCATTTCATAGATGACTTTATTGTGAGAAAAGAAAATGCGTTTTCTTGATCAGATTCCTTGCTTTGATTTTAGCTTCTGCCGAACCTGTGGAGACTTCACGTTGGACAGAAGAAGAGATGGAAGTTGCTAAAAAAGGTAAAGCCAGTCATGGTTGGGGTCTGCTTCTTGGTAGCGAGTCAGTGCGAAAGGTTTGTTGGAGGGGATGTAAGCGAATTCTTGACAGAAAAAACCTTTTTTGAGTGAGTTCAGTTTCTTTTTCAGTGTATCCTTGTAGCATCCATTGTCAGGGGGCTGTTGCACAATGGGGACGATTGTATAGTGTTCCCGTGGACAGTTTTTCAAAGAATCTTACAGTTTGGCAGGGGAATCAGTGGCAGGAAAGAGCCGCTCCATGCTGCTGTGGATGAGTCCTGTAATTCTGACCTTTGCCAGCTATCCTGCTTATGGGAAGTAAATCTACTGGCCTCCCTTTACTCACTTGTGATCATCTTTCCTTCTTTAGAAATGGGGGTTGCTTGAAACCTCCTACAAGCGCTGCATCACCCCTCTCACATGCTGCTCATTAAACACCCTGTTGATATCATTCTAATCACATTTTCTTGGCCTGTATTAAGAATGCGAAATAGCACTGAAGTCATTGGCAATTTAGCTAATGCTGTTTGACTTGACAGAAACTCTTTGAGAAACGTTAACAAGAAATTTCATATTGCACTGATGTTTCTTTTGCAGTTATATATAGAGAAGTTAGAAGTAACATGACCTTTCAGTGAATGACCTTTTAAATTCCTTTTCCTCTGAGCATATGTCTATTGATGCCCTTAAAAATTATAGAAAGCCCAGCTACACTGAAAATAAAGCATTTAAAAGCATTTTTGGCTCAAAGTCTTTTTTTTTGAATGGATATATGTGTGGGTATATATGTACACACCCAACCATATTCACCTCTTATATCCTTCATGGCGGTTGGATTCTGATACTACAGAATTAGGGGATTCAAATGGCCTTGGGTTCTCCAAGGTGATACCAACAGGTCTCCCAAAGTTGGTGGAATTTTTGAGCCCCAGACCTTTTACGATGCCCTGAATTTGCCATTTAAGGAGTGGCCTGGCTGTATTCAGAAAGGCTCCTTGCTGTAGGGTTGACCACCAGAGATGGATTTTTGTCAACCAAAGCAATTCATAGAGGCCATCTACAAAGTTATAGGGGGTTTATGTACTCTACCGACAAAATCAGAAGAGTGAATAACTTCATTTTTGTAGCAGTTTCCTTTTTACAAATGAAGATTGGTTAATAAGTTCCTTCGTCGGTGGTATACAACTAGTAGATAGTCATCTGCCCTTGTCTCTGACGTAGGAAGCCATCTTGTGTGCCTACCCACCACCTTTTACCGTAGCTTTTTATATATCAGTCTCTTCCGGTTTTGAACAGGAACCACTTATCTACTACTGAATGACCTACTTGTCTTAGTGTAGGACAATCCATTTGAGCATCTTCTGTATATAAGATACTGAGAATACAAAGATAGTTCTGACACATGCCCTACTCTTAGTGGCTAATGGGGGAAGGGAGAAGACCTACACACCCATATGACTTTGGTCTATGGGAGAGTGTGACAAGGTCAAAGACAAGTGCACACCAAGTGTTTGAGGAATTTGAAGAGGTTGAAAAGGTTTCTTTCTGGCCGGGTCCATGGTCAGGGAAGACTTTGTGGAAGAGCCTGTACCTGAATTGGCACTTGCAGTACTGAGTGCATTTCAACAGACAGATGATTATTTGTAGGGTCATGGGTCATCAGTTCCAGGTACCGAAAACATTGGGAGCAAGTGCACAAAGATAGGGGAGGACAGAACAGAAGCCCAGGATGAACAGCATCCAGTCTGGCTACATGAAGGACATGACAGTATGGATGAGGTCAGAAAGGCAGGCTGGAGCCAGACTGGGGAGACCTCAGGTGCAAGGTGAAGGAGTTCATATTTTTCCCAGGAAGCACTGAGGCACCACAGAAGATGTTTGATGTTCATAACAGAACATTAGGAAGATGAACCAAGCAGCAGTTTAAAGGATGGAAGACTAGCAAGGATGTTAATATAATGTCTAAGTTCGAGTAGAGAAGATCCGTTGTGGTGAGTAGGAGAAAGGCAAGAAAGTGCAAAGGCTGGCTGGGGTTTTAGAAACCTATTGACAAGATTGTGGAAAGTGATGAATAGGAAATCATCAGGGGTGATTCTGGAGCTTCAAGCTTGGTGGTGATAGGAGGACAAGTCAGACAGTTAAAGAAGAAGCAAGGTGAAGAGGAGGAAGGAGCCGTGAAGGTTAGTTATGAACACTCATAACTCAGCTGCCAAGTTTAAGCATTCTACTAGAGGTAGCCTGTGAACATATCCAGCAGACAATTGGGAATTGGGAACTCTAGGGAATGGCAAAGGGCACTAATTAGGGAGTTATTTACAGAAAGATGTTCGTGGAAGCTATGGAGAAAAGTGGATGAGACTGCCAACATAGAGAATCCAGGGAGAGGAGAGAAATGAGCCTTGATGGCTATGCACGTTTCAGTTATCTGCTACTTTTCAGGAGCTCAGAATCCCATTGGCCTCTTCTAGTTTACTGGTCTCACCTAAACAGATTGATCAGCTGTTCCTCAGCCCACACAGAAAAAAAAAAGGACCAGTGACATCCATCTTTAAATACTTACATCCCCCACATGGTGGTTTTTTGAGAGTACATGCATTAAAGGGAAGGACAGATGTGAGTCGTGCAGAAAATCCAACCTCTACCCAAAAGTCATTCCCTCTAAACTGTAGAAAAATAATCATCCAAGCTTTGTTTAAAGCCCTCTGGTTGAGGGCCACCCATGACTTTCTGAGGCAGCCAGTCCAGCCTGACTTGGCTCCGTGGCATCTTTCATACGTTTCTTCTAGTTCCTTTTCCCAGGCAGGAGGAGCCTTTCAGAGATTTAAAGCCTCTAGAGTCTTCCCCAGGCTACACCTTCCTGTAGGATTGGTTGGGCAAAAGAGCTAGAGGGAAGCCATTTGAGGAGAGGACACTTGGTGTCTTTGTGAGGCAGATAATTTTTGTTTTTAATGGTGAAGGAATTCAGTATAGAGAAGACCAAGGTAGAATACCTTGGCGGGGAGGGAGAGGAGAAGTGGGAATGCCTTTAGGAAGCTCAAGGCTTCTTTCATTGAATGAATAAAAGAAAGAACAAAAATGTAACATTATCAGTCTCTCTGGACTCGGGGATGATCCATTAAGGAGAATAGGGTATTTGTTCCTAAATCAAGGGTCTGATTTAATGTCCTAATCCTAATTATGTTCCTTTTTAAACTATGAGTTTCCTTATGGGAAATATTTTTTAGTCAACAAGCTCTTATAAGTGCCTTAGCACTTAGTTCTAGGAATATGAAGAAAGGCAGAAACCATTGCCTGTTCTCAAGGAGCTCATAGTTTAATGGAGGAAAAGCGTGCAAGTATAGACATACGAGATTTCTAGAGGATGAGTTATAGCTCGTCAGCAGAGGGAGGGGATCAGGAATGACTGGGCTTCTGGGCGTATCAGTCCATGCAGTCGCGAGTGGCAGCCCAGGCTTGGAGCAGCTTGGTTCTGGGACTGTGGATAGGAGCAGCAGCTTTCTACCGTCCTGGAGGATTTCCCCCCTAGACCTAGTTGTTTAATAAGCCGGAAAGCTTGGGGAATTTGTATGGGAGGTATTTCTTGGCTGTTGTACTGTGTATTAGTCATATAAGCCTCTGTTATCAAGCAGGGAGACAGCATAGGTTTTAAGACTCTTCATCCTCTATTTTACCATAAACTTGAGCTTCACAGTATTTATATTTGAAAACTCATCAGCCATGCAAATACAATGGGAGCTGTGGCATAAAGGGGTCATTTTACATTAATTTATACTTAGCTTTGAAATGTGAGGTTGGATCTGTTTTGGAAAGAGTCTCCACTGCTTGAAATAATAACAGCATCCTATGAAGACCCCTCTCATGAAGTTCTGATCAACCGTCCAGCACCTCCACCATCCTCCCTGGCAACATTCCTAACTTTGTGCTTTGTACACGTAGCCAGCATAACCACCCAGGCGTAGGCATTTCCTCTAGAAGGTAGAGGTGGTAGGGAAAATTAGGCGTTTAGTATCATTCATAAGCCTTCCTTCCTGTCGACCCCTTGTCTCGTGGCAGCACAAAAGAGTCACGATGGTCGTGTCAGCAGAGTGGGTTGGAAACCAACCCTGTATCATGGGTGACACTGCTTCTGTAGAACAGCCTCTTATCAACAAGTCACGGGCTCCATGTGCCTTTCTTCTCCCTCTCTTTTACACAGGCTTAGTTGAACATGGTCGGAACTGGGCAGCGATCGCCAAAATGGTGGGGACTAAAAGCGAAGCCCAGTGTAAAAACTTTTACTTCAACTACAAAAGGCGCCATAATCTGGACAACCTCCTGCAGCAGCACAAGCAGAAGGTGAGGACGGGCAGCTCTGAGGGTGAAGGCCATGGCTTGTTCAGGCCAGGCGTGTGACTGTGCTGAAACGCTGCTTTGATCGTGGTTACTGTATGCGCTTAGTGGGTCAGGGCAAGGACAGCAGCGTGGACTCCAAGGCCACCTCAGCTTCACTCTTAGCAGGGCCTGCACTGCTGTAGCTTATTGACTGGAAGATAGACATTGGGCAAGATGGGAAGAGGACATGGGACAGAACTGAGCCTCAGAGAAAGGAGAAGTGACTTTTGTGGTCATGATCCCATGGCTGGCAATTGTGAGAGACATATTTTAAAACCTGATCTCTTGAATCAGGTCTAGCATTGTTATCCCACTACCCTGGGAAGAATCAACTTTGCTCATATACGTATATACACATGTGTGTGCATGTATGTGCGTGTCTTCAACAAATGCACTTCTCCTGTTTTTGCCATCATGGCCTAATAGAGTGCTGAACAACACAGTAAGCATTTAGCAGAGATGAGCTAAACTGAACTGAAACTAAAAATGATTGTGCTATTGTGGGTGGGTTGGTAGGTATGTCTCCATGAGTGTTTGTGTATGTACTTGGGCATAATTGTCAGTACAAGAGGCAGCATGGTGAAGCACAGGGGAATTGGAGTCAGAAGTTCAGAGTTCAAATTCTGGCACTGCTATTTACTGCCTCTGAATTTGGTCCTCAGTTTTTTCATAAAATGAAGGAGTTGTATTGGGTGGTCTGTGTATCCCTTTCCAACTCTTAATCTATGATCATATGATGTGTGTGTGTGTGTGTGTGTGTGTGTGTGTGTGTGTGTGTGTGTGTGTGTGTGTTGTACACCTCTCTGGTGGTGGGAGTAGGGTATGTATTACAGACTGGAGAGCAGAGGAACGTGGGTGTGTAAATCACTGTTGGTTGCATGGATGTATAATCTATATGTGCATCAGTCAAGAAGCCAGCATTTATTAAACACTGTGTGCCATGTGCTGTTCCCATCTTTACATACATATACATACATACATGCGTGCACACGGGTTATGTCTGGTACACATTTATCTACATGGGTGGCGTTTGGAGGGCAAATACACGTCAGAGTGGGCCCTTCTCCACTCAGGGGGGAAGAGGGGCAGCAGGTGTTATATCTGTGCCTGTCACAGAGGGGGTGTACGCAGGTATCTGTACTTAAGGACTTAGGTGTACCTGAAGGAACCATGGTTCTAGAGTCGCAGACCAGCAGGGTCTTTACCTTAATGTAAATGAGAAGAAGAGTTACTTGCTGCTCCAGCATGTTTCTCCTCACATATCAGAGCTAAAGAAGTCCTCATTAGCACACTGTGGAGGAGAAATACCGGTATCACAGGTGCATGCAGAGGGCGATTCCTGGTATTCAGGTGTGTGCATTTGTACAAAGCAGTATTGAAAAATGCTCCCAAGTGGACTTGTGATTAGTTGTGCTGAGATGGCTATGTGTCCCACAACCCTGTGGCAGAGCGGACTGTAGAGACTGGAAGCAGAAATGGGGCCTGTTCAGTAAACGTAGATAAAGAAGTAGGTTAAGGGTTAGTAGCAGGAAATATTTCATAATGTGTGATTTCATTGCTGACTATTGCCTTCTCCTTGGGCAGCAAACACACAGTCCATTGTCTATCCCATTTTTAAAACCTTTCCAGCTTGGTATAATACCTGGAAAATCTGACAAGCTGTTCTTCTATCCCACAGTGCATTGAAATAGGAGGAATGTCAGGAAAGCCAAAAATGAGATGCTGTCTATAAAAGACATCACAGGTGTTGGGGGAAAAAAGTTTATCTTCACTTTAATTTTTGCCCCATGCGAGAAAAGAGGAAGGACATTGACCTGCCTGTAAGAAAGCTTTGGATTACATTTTCATTTGGGCAGAATGCTGATAAATCCAATGACTTTTGGTTGTGTTTCTAGAGCATCATTTACAAGAACTCTGCCTGCTTTTGTTTTTAAATCTAGCATTTAGGTAGCGCTTTAAAGTTTGCAAATGCTTTACAACTATTCATTCATTTGGTCTTAACCCGGGGAAGTAGGTGCTGATATTAGCCCCATTTTACAGATGAGGAAGGTGAGGCAAGCAGAAGCCCAAGGTAACATAGAAGTGAGTGTCTGAGGCTAGATTTGATTAATATTCAGGCTTCCTGACTCCAGGCCCTGTGCTCTGTCTACTACGTCACTAGCTACCAGTTGTAATTCTTCTTCAGAGTGATGTACTAATGTCTTTAATTTTTACAAAGTGCTTTCATTGCATCCTCACAACAGCTCCATGAGGTAGGTACTAAAAGCATTATTTTCACTCTTTGATGGACAAGAACATTGAACCTCAGGAGAATTTGGTGGCTTGGCCATGGCCTCACAGTTTTGAAGTGCTTGGGGCCAGATTGGAATCCACATCTCTTCTGTCTCCATTTCTGATCTCCTTCCACTACACCAAAGAGAGCTTTCATCAGTCATTTCAAATGTGCCATACTGTACACTGATTACATTTACTGGTTTTCCTGAACATCATGCCTCGTGTAGACCCTGGTCTGGTGCTTATTATTTGTGCCTCTTAATATTGGTTCGGATAAGCAGCTCTGTTTTCTGCTTTTGTAGTCTTGCAGATCCTTAACTCACTTTATCTTTGTTTAGTCTTCAAGAAGGCCCCGTGAAGAGCGAGATGTATCCCAGTGTGAAAGCATTGCCTCTACTGTCTCTGCTCAGGAGGATGAAGATATTGAAGCTTCCAATGAAGAGGAAAATCCAGAAGACAGCGAAGGTAGCTGGAGATACCTGAAAGTATGAGGGGTGGTTTTCGCTACTGTTGTTTCCAGAACTCCAAGTTTATTTAATTGGCTAAATCATCTGGGAATGGCTTCATAAAGGAAATAATTGTAATTGCATTTCCGCAGCAAGAGGCCTTTCATTGCTCCAATTGTGAATGCTAGGCGATTAACAAAGTTCTGAAAATTGTGCAGGGGCAATATAGGAATGGTTCTCTTTGTAAAAATGCTTCGTCACGCTATTGTCAAGAGAATAAAAAGTTCGTGTCTGTAATAGCATTGGTCTTTTCTATTTGCTAGATGATTTTTATCCTTCAACAGTGTCCTTTAGCAAATATCAATGTAGCAGTAGTTCAGAGGAGTTCATAACTTTGGTAATTTAGGATTATTGATATTGAATGATTTTACCTGAAAGGATATAATGTCTTATTCGAACTTTCTATGTCCTCCAGCTCCCTGCACACAGTATCTACTTAATGATGAGGTGAATGAATTGTTGTGGCCTGGAATACTCAGAAGGCTTCATGGAGAGGATGTAGGGCTTGGCCTGGCCGTGAAGAAGACAAGGAGATAGAAATGGAGGGAACAATACATTTGTCTTTGAGCATTTGAAGGGCTGGCACGTGGAAGATGAAATTCTTAGTGCGGGCCTGTCTCAGGGGCTGGGTTGGGATCATTGGCCACATTTTCAGGGAGGCTTTGTTTCCACAAAGCCTTGGCAGCTATATTTAGTGGGCATTCCTACCTTGGGCGCACCGTTAGTCTAAAGAACCTCAAAGAATCCTTCTCTCTTTGAATCTGATTCTTTAACTCCACATCCAGCTTCTTGTAGGCCTCCCCATGTCCCTTCTACACCCCTGTGCCAGTCACGGCCTATTCCTTCATGTTGGTGTTCAGGAGATACTGCCTCCTAGCCCTCGTATTTCCTAGGAAGATGTCTTATCTCCTCAGCCTGCCGTAGGTTTCTTCATCACGGGATCTCTAGCTTAGATTTCTTTCTTCCTTTTCTTGAGCACTTGACACGCTGCCTTCAGTTGTAATGATTGTTCAGTAGATACTTGATGACAGGTTGAGTTTGAGGCAGCACTCAAACAGAGGTATTGCATAGGCAGTTCAGTATTTGAGACTAACAGTTGAGGTTGGATACCGGGGCCTGAGCTGTGTATTTGAGAAGCACCTCGGCATAGGGGCAGCAAGAATGAATGGCGTCTCTGAAGGAGTCGATTTAGGGAAAGAGGAGTCAGCAGCGTGGCCCGGGGGAGGGAATTCCCTCTCCCATTTGCTTCAGCCTGCCTGGACTCTTCTGGCCGCTCCGTCAGCCCCTTTTCTTTCTAGCAGTCTCCGTTGATCAGCTCATCTGCTCTCCAAGTTTCGCCTCTCTTTCACGAACAGCTCGCTGTTAATCATGATCTGTGGGTGACAGCTATTCGTTAACTACCTGGAGTGCTGTCAGATACTGGCAGGTGTGCGAAGATCAGCAAGGCTCGCTCCGGGCCTGCAGGAGCTCGTGTTCCAGCACCCTCAGTACTGTACAGTAAACCACAGAGAGGCGGAGTGTGGCGCAGGCAGTCAGAGAACAAAATGCAGCAAAGACATTGACTTTTCTCGTAATAACTAGAATGTAGGGTCAAGCATGTTAGCTGGCCCACGAGACATACAGAATCCTGTGCAAGTTCTGAGAGGAACCCCCTTCGACCCCCGGGGGCCGGGGGGGATGACCAGCTGTGTGTTCACATCTCTTCTCTTACCCTCCTCAGAGCGTAATCCTTCCAGCAGGCTTATTATGTCGTCACAGTGTCATTTCCCTGCTCAGAAATCTGCAGTGAGGTCCTATCCAAAGCTACATGCCCACCTCCAACCATTTTCCTGCATCCCAGACTATTCCAGCTCTATGCCCTCCTTCTCTATCTTGTATCTTCCTAGAATCTCCTTCCTTTATAGAAATGCTGTCCTTCAAGACTCAAATTCCATCTTCTCTAGAAAGCATTCTCACACTGTCTCAGCAAAAAAAAAAAAGTTCTCTTTCCTTTTTTTTCTCTGTCCCAGTAGTACTTATTAATTTTCCTATAGCATTTACCATGTTTTTGCACTTAGCACAGTGTTGGCACATAGTAGGTAGGTACTTAATAAACATTTATCGAATGAATTAATGTTTTCCTTTGTGTTATGGTTATTTCTGTATGAATCTTTTCTCCTGTAATAGCCTGTCTTGTTAAACTTTGGAGACTTACCAACTTCTGGCACAGACCTTTCCACATAGCTCCTTCTAGGCTTTGCATCCACCAGTAAAGTACCATGAGACTTGAATGTCAAGTCAGATCCTGACCTCTTCATCATGGTGTAAGGTAGCTTCTTTGGAACAGAGATTTTCCTTGTTTGGATGTTGTAGTCGTTTCTTAAGCTAATGCTCAGTAATTTAGAAAAATGTCATTGGACTTGGCGTCTGTGGAGCAGGAGAGCCAGCGTGGAGCCAGAAGGACCTGGACAGCACCTGTGGCTCTGGCGTTTTGGCCGGGGCCCGTTCCTTCCTGCCTTCATGTTCCTTGACATTTCTCAAAGACTGAACATCAGAAAAGGGAGTGTCTGCTTTGTGAAATTCCCCACACCAATGAGATTACAGGTTCGGATGAAAAAAAAAATCTGAAATTATTACAGTAAATAAGAGACTAGAACTCATTTCTTGAAATCCACTTTAAAATATTTTTTTCACTTTATGAAATTTCATTTTCGTATGTATTTCTCTGATATGCATCAGTATTTAGAAAGGAGATCCTAATTTGAAGTGGATGAAAACCATGGAATCCTGTTAAATTTTCAATGACAGCTTTTCAGAAAGATTGCAAAAGAATTTTTTGGGGAAAATTTCCTGTAGGGTAAAAGGGTTGTTTAATTATCAAGTATAAACTGCTAACTTCGAGTCCCATCCTTTACCCCTCCAAGCTAGTAAAAGGTTCTCTTTTCCAAATCGTTGCTAGTTAGACTGGACACTAGACCCTTGTTAATTCCTGAACCTGTGGACTCTATCCTTATCTTTCAGGTGCTGAAAATAGCTCTGATACAGAGAGTGCACCTTCTCCCTCCCCAGATGAAGGTGCCAAGCCAGGTGAGGACCCTGCTGAAAATGCCGCTCCTGGGTTAGCCAGCGAGGCCCCGGCAGAACTGGAATCCACCACAGGTGACCCCACCGCATCGCCTGCGTCTGCCATTGCAAGTGCAAAGCCAGTAGCAGGACAGGAAGCTGTGGAAGCTCAGGTAAAGGAGGAGGTCAGTGAAGAACACGGGGAGCCCATGGAAACTGAGCATGAAAGCCCCTCTGCTGACGCTCAGCCGCTTGTTGGTGTCTCCGGGCAAACCAAAGCAGAGCCTGTTGACGTAGAGATGAGGCTGCCAGAGAGTGTTCAGGTGAAAGCAGAGAGTGATGCCAAAGAAAGGGACTTGGAAAGACCCAAGGAAAAGCCTGAGCCAGAGGACGTGAGCTTTGCTTTAGCCCAAACTTCTGGTGCCCTGAGGCCCGAGTCTCGATCTGACAATGACTCCAGTGCTACCTGTAGTGCAGATGAAGATGTGGATGGAGAACCTCCTGAGAGGCAGAGGTGAGAGAGGGCCCACTGAGGGGGTCTTAGGGCCGGGGCAGCCTCTCTGCTGGGTGTACAGAGAAGGCAGAGTGGATGGTGGTCTGCAGGATGACTGATGTTAGTTCCTATCCAACAAGTGTTTATGAGGTATGAGGCATTGTGCCTAAGGTCTGAGGTTACGTGGATGGAATAAAAGAATTTCTGGCCTTCACAGAGCGTGGTCATGGGGGCTGGTGGGGAGAGGGGTTATATAAAATAAATAAAAAAAAATATATATATATATATATAATAATATGATATACTACTTCAGAGACAAATATTAGCACACTACCTCAAGGAATGAGGAAGTACCAACAACTGGAGGGACTGAGGTCGGGGGTGGAGTGGGGGAAGCAGGCAGGCAGGGATGTCACATAAGCTGAGCTTTGAACGAACTTGGACTAATAAGAAGTTGAAAGAGAGAAAGGAAGGGATTTAGGCAGGGCAGCAGGAAATCGAATGTCAAGTTCTGGAAAACAGCAGAGCCACCATTTTGGCTGCCACTTCAGGGAGGGCATGGAGGTGAAGGAATGAGAAGTGAACTTGACAGAGTTGGGGTGAGGCAGATCAGAGAGAGGCTTCGAAGGCCGTTTGTCCTGGGGGTCATAGGGAACCCCTGAAGCCAGTTATGAAGCCAACAGATTTGAGTGGAGTGGGCAAAGCGCAGAGGCTGGGGTGGTCCCCCTGCTAGGAGAGAGATGAGGACAGGCCACGTGAATATGCAAAGGAGGAAGAGGTGTGGGAAGGAGTATCAACAGGGGAAGACTAGTGTCTGACTTCACAGTTGCTGGAAGGGGGGCGGTGCCCTCAGGAGACACTGGCTGGACACTTGGGAACAGGTCGGGGGCGGGGAGGCAGTGCTGGGTTTTGTCCATGCTAAGTTTGAGACACAGTTGGAGGTGTCTAGTGGGCCAGTGGAACTGGAACTCAGGAGTATGATGAGGGTAGGAGAGATAGGTCTGAGAGTCATCACCATAGAGATGGCAGCTGAACTTGTGTGCAGAGATAAGAGAAAAAGCCTGCGTCTGAGCCTTGTAAACATGCGTGTTTGTAGGGTAGGACTTAGAGGCGTATCCTGTAAAGGAAATGTGACCAGATGGGATTCTTTCACAGGCCATCACCCCTGCCCTGCTAACCTGCTCCTCCTTTCTCCAGCCCCACCCCCTTGTTGAATCAGTTCAGCTCTACATTTTCCATTGCACTCAAATCCCTTGCTCCCCCCACCTTATCCTGTCACAAGTCTTGCCTTGTCAAGCCCCAACCTCACATTATACTCACCACCTACCTCATTTATTCATTCATTCCTATCTATATGCTACTGAAGTGAGCTGGCAAAAATCCCCAGGCCATGCTTCCTGAGTCCATTACTAGTGCATGGTACTTAACTGGGGCTGCATCTCTCTAACTTTTCACTCTTCCACTCACTTCGGTGGCTATTCCAAATCTTTTCCTCCCAACTGAAGCCTTCCAGAGCAACCCATCTCACCTGTCCCCAGGGGCTATTCAACTGAGGGCTTCCTCTCCTCCTCCTCTCATATCTCTGACATCTCTCCTTCTACCCTGTCTAACAAGAAGAGGGAGCCCTTCTCCTTAACCTTCTGATCGCATCCTTTCCTCTCTTCTCCACAAGATTGCCCCTTCTACTTTCCCTACTCTCTTTTTAATCTTTACTATCTCTCTCCTTCTTCTTCTAGGGCCTCTGACCACACCGGTGTCTGTTTCCTCCCTTGATCCTACCCTGCTAGCCCTTGGTCAGTCTCTGCCCCTTCTGGGCTAAACTCTGGAGAAAGCTGGCCACAGGAAAAGCATCCACTTCCTTTCCTCTCACTGACTGCTAAACCTCTGTCATTTGACTCCCAGCTTGCACATTCAGCCAGAATTGCCCACTGAAGTTACCAGTCTCTGAACTGCCAAATCTGGTGGCCTTTTCTCAGATCATACCCTTGAGCTCTCCTGCAGCCTTTGACACCCACGTCACTCCTGAGCTGCTGCTTTCTGTTTGCATCGAGTTTCTGCTCACTTGACTCCGTCCCTGGCGCAGCTGCGCAAGTCTGACCATGTCACTCAGTAAACTTCAGTGGCTTTTTAGTATTTCCCGATTAGATAGAAAAGCACTATTTGGGATTTATAGCCTTTCATAACCTAGCCCCTTCCTGCCGTCCCAGTCCCCTAATTGTCAGTCCAGGTAATCCAGGTAAACTTTTCTTGCCCTTCCTCACATGCTGCCCTCCTCTCTGCTTGCTTCCTTCTCACTGGCTCACTTCATGCGTGGTTTGCTCTCCCTCTCACTTCTGCCCCCGACTTCTCTGGCTTCCTTTAAGACTGAGATCATTTCTAAGTTCTGTGAGAGACTTTCCCAACCCTTCTTTCCTTGCCGTCTCCACTTTTAGCAGCTTTGCAGCTTTCCATTTGCCCAGAATTTATCTTATATATGCATAGTTTTTTGCATGTTATCTCTCTCATTCTAATGTGAGCTCCTTGAAGGCAGGAACTGTATTTCTGCCCTCGTACTTCAGCATTTAGCACAGCGTATAGTATATAATAAGTGCCTAATAAATATGTACTGACTTACTGAGTGACTAGGAGGAGAACCAGGAGAGAAGAGTGTCAGAAAAGTGAAAGAATGAGAAGGTCTGATCAAATGTTTCAGAGGAATCAAGAAGAGATAGGGACTTAGAAAAGTCCTTCAGATTTTACAGTTAAGAGACTGTTGCTCAGCTAAATGATTAGGTCAGGAGCTAAACTGCAGTGAATTAAGAAGTCAATAGGGGAGAAAATGTGGAGGCTGCGGGTTTTCTCTGTCTTTTTTTTTTCAAGTTAGAAGAGATAGAGGATAATAAGTTGATTCTAGGGACAGTTGAAGGTCTTCTAAGGCTGGTAAAGCCAGAAATGGTCATAAACTTCAGAGGAAAGCTTATTGATTAAGAAGACATTACATTTTGGAGAGAGAGAGGAGTAGATGAAAGAGCAAGGCCCTGGAGGAGATAGGAGAGAGCTAAGGGCTGAGTAGAGGCATTGATACAAGCTCTTCTTTAAAGAAGAATTTAGGGGGCAGCTAGGTGGCGCAGTGGATAGAGCTCCAGCCTTGGAGTCAGGAGAACCTGAGTTCAAATCCAGCCTCACACACTTGACACTTACTACTTGTGTGACCCTGGGCAAGTCACTTATCCCTGATTGCCTCACCAAAAAGCAAAAAAAAAAAAAAGAGGAAGAAGAGCAAAGAAGCACTTGGTTTGTGCAATAGACCAAAATGGGGAGGAACCACCCTGATGGGTTGTGAAATACAGGGTTGGAAGCAGTTTGAGAAGAGAAGGTATGGGCAGCCTGTTAGGGAAGAACTAAAAGATTGGTTTGCTACAGTGATGAACCAGTTGAGAGAAGATAACCAGCTTATAGTTGCCACAATGCTGTGACTTCTAGCAGGGGTATTTGGCAGCAAGGCAGTACTAATCAACAAGGCAGTACTAATCAACAAAGCAGTACTAATCAACCAGGCAGTACTAATCAAAAAGGCAAGATTGGGAGAGCTTGAGAGGCACAAGTGCTGACAGGATAAGGGACAAGGGGTTGAGCACTAGAGAATGAAGTGGAAATAGTGATAGGCCAAGATTGCCAAGGGTGGAAATGGGGCTGTGCTGGGAGAGCAGGGAGGCAGTAACCAAAGGCTGGCATAGTTGAATAGATTTAGGAGCAAGCGGACAAAGGCAGAATTGCAAAAAGAACAGTTTAATTACCTTGAGGTGATTAAACATTGTACTGCAACAGTGATTAAAATGTTGGTTATAAGTTGAAATTAATTTAATATGGAAGTAATCTTTAGGGATCCAAGAATTCCTTTTAACAATTTGGCTTTTTCTTATTTTAATTTAAAAAAATTATTTATATATTCACTTGTCCTTTAATGATATGACATTACACTCTTAACGTACTTTTTAGAACCTGAGTCACCCTTGTAGTTAACACATATTTGTATAATATTGAAAAGACAAAATTTTGATGGAAAATATAGTCTTAACTATTTAAAATAGTCTGTGTTTGTATAGTGTTATACATAATTATTGTCACCTTTTTTATCATTCTGAATTTTCTCTAACATTCTATAAATGAAAATTGTCTTGGTTGCTTTCTTTTCTAAAATCCCCAGTAACTCTGGTAGACACGTGCTTGGGTCTGGTCACAGGCAGGCGCCAGGTCGCCGATATCCCCTGGGTCACCCTTCAATGATGAAGCTGTACTGCAGACCCATACCTAGATTTCCAGGCTATCTTGTCATCACACCAGACAGTGGTGTTTGTTTCTCAACCCCTTTTTTGTAAATTCAGGATAATTCTGTAAAAGAGATAGCATCAATATATAATAATGTTGTAAGACCCATCTTTTAATTAACTCACAAGTAAATTGTGTAGATTAATATAAGGGCAGTAGCTGTAAGCTTTTCTTTAATGAGAATAAACCCTTCCAAACTTTTCCTTTGTTCTTTATTTCTGATTCCAGAATGTTTTCTATGGATTCAAAGCCTTCACTGTTAAACCCTTCTGGATCTGTGTTAGTCTCTTCTCCCATAAAACCAGCTGCAATGGACCTCCAGCAGCTTCACCATCGAGCTGCTGTCATACCACCAATGGTAAGTGCTCAGTGCTGTCTAGCTCCAATTTAGAGTAGGTTATATTAAATTTTCGTTTCTTGTTTGAAGGACTTTAATTGTAGTACCTGTGAGAAAGGAAAACATCTCCACAGTGTCTTCTTCTTTCATTCCCAGAGGTTTTGTGTTTTCTTGTGTGCTTATGGGTCAAGGGGGGTTGGAGGTGAATGGTGTCAAGGTGTCAGAGTGGCAGCAACTCTTCAACAGGTAGAGGAAGAAGAATGACAGAATTTTGTCCTCATTGTAACATAATCGCAAATAGTCATATAGCCTCTACTCAGAGGCTTCCATTATGGAGGAACCTACTCTCTCCCTCCAGATTTCTTCCCTCTTGGGCCATACAGAACAAATGTAATGCCTCTTCTTACATGATAGCTCTTCAGATATTTGCAAATAGCTGTTGTATAACCCTTGGTGAAACCTGTCTGCAGGTCAGCATCCCCAGCCTCCCCTCCCCTCCCTGGGGACCCTCAGAGGAGAAGAACCCTGAATTTCATGCTTCCCTCCCTTGAACTCTGGATTTAACTTTTTTAGTATGTTGCTTCTTCATGGGGATGGCCTTTGATATTGATTGTCATCTTTTCCAGGTTCAGCCCTTGTCCAAATGTCAGATATCAAAAGGAATATACTTTTTAGAACAAAAATTTCCATATTCTTCAGCTCCATTTGGTAGTCACAGTATTTTCCAATCTTTAGTGTTTATTTTTGAAGGTAGTATTTAGTATTAATTATTTTTATCCTTATCAAAATTCAAGTTTTGGGTTTTTTTTTTAAAGCAGTAGTTTGAGGACATTGCTATGAGTAGTGATTCACAAAGTTTTGCTGCATACTCCATGGGGCGGAGATTGTGTACAACATTGGTTACTTGAAGCAGACTCCTGAGCACATTTTCCCCATTCTCATTGCAGGTCTCCTGTGCCCCCTGTAATGTGCCCGTCGGCGCCCCTGTAAGTGGCTATGCTCTTTTTCAGAGGCACATTAAAGCCATGCATGAGTCAGCCCTCCTGGAGGAGCGGCAGAGGCAAGAACAGCTGGATCCAGAGTGTCGACATTCTGCAAGTCCAAACGTTGAATGGGAAGGTAGGTTTGATTGACCAGGGACATAGCACATACTACACCTTCCCCCCCCCCGCCCCGGAAGCTGAACCACAGGAGTCAAAATAGGCTTTGTGGATGGTAGCCTTATCATTACACTCTAGGTGTTTCATGAACCATCATTAAAAACCAATGGGAGGGCAGCTAAGTGGCGCAGAGTGGATAGAGCACTGGCCCTGGAGTCAGGAGGAGCCGAGTTCAAATCCAGTCTCAGACCAGACACTTGACACTTACTAGCTGTGTGACCCTGGGCAAGTCACTTAACCCCAATTGCCTGGGAAAAAAAACAACCAATGGGTTATTACTCCATCTTGATGAACAACTAAGATTCCTAGAATCAAACCTAAAAGCTTGCATGTAGGAAAAAATGATTAGTATTTTCTATTCCTTAAATTGAAATTTAAAAATTACTTCTGTTAAGGAAGTTATATCTACTAAAAAATGAGATAATATTTTCATAATGTTAAATCATGTCTAATTCTTAATTTGAATCTTTTGAGTGTTTTACCAAAACTATGCTTATAGCCTCTAACTCTTCTAAATTATAAAAGCAAATGAGGATTCAACATCTAACATCCAGAATAAAAACAGTTTGCGATCCAAAATGTTTACATCTGAGTTATGATTTGAGTTTATGCACAACCCCAGAATCAGGTTTCATGTTTTTGAAAGAAGCCCCATCTCCTACATTTACTCTTCATGGTAAAACCAAAGCTGTCATATGATTCTGCATTGAATCAGGAATGAAACATTAGATCTGCTGATGAGACCTGGTTCTTGGTCATTATACACGTCCTTTGAGCATCACATAGTTTGGTAGGATAGGATATTAGAAAATCTGTGTTGAGCAGTTTCCTCTTTATCTGTATGATTCACAAGCCCCTTGGGAAGGTTTTATGGATGTAAGTAAGAGCTGTCAGCTTTGGAATGACAAACTTGTGAAAAACTATTGCAAAATGGCATTTCTCGTACTTAGCCATCCTGCTTTTTCCCTCTTGTAAATAGTAAGAATGGATGTCTTGCCAAAATTTGTTATAGTAAAGTGCCAAAAAACAATTATATTTTGGGCTGTGTGCATAGGCCTTCTGAAGCCTATGTCTTCATCATTTTGAAATGAGGTAGAAACAATCCAGGGGGAGTGGGTCAATGGCATCTTTTGAATCCAAGATCTATTTTCCAATGGAAAATGTCCCCATCTTGTAGGATTTGAGGATATTGCCATTTGAGATCATTTTAACCATATTGTATTTTCCTGACTACAGACACATGTATTGTCCTTGTTAATAGAGCATTCCAACTAGAAGAATGCCTTTTTTTCCCCATTTTTTAAAATTAATTTATTTACTTTTAGTTTTCAACATGGACTTCCATAAGCTTTTGAGTTTTACATTTTCTCCACCTCCCTCCCCAAGACATCATACAATCTGATATAGACTATACATATACATTCCTATTAAACATATTTTCACATTAGTCATGTTGTAAAGAAGAACTAGAATCAATAGGAGGAACCACAGGAAAGAAGAAACAAAACAAAATAGTTGAAAAAAAAAGTAAACAGTATGTTTCAATCTGCATTCAGACTCCATAGTTCTTTCTCTGGATGTGGATAGCATTTTTCCATCATGAGACCTTTGGAGATTTCTTAGATCCTTGCATTACTGAGAAGAGCTAAGTCTATCAACGTTATCATTGCACAACATGGCTGTCACCGTGTGCAACCTTCTCCTGGTTCTGCTCACTTCTCTCAGCATCAGTCCATAGGAGTCTTTCCAGGCTTAAGAATGCCTATTAAGAAAGATTTTATTGAACTAAAATCTATGATTCGACGGTCATTGTTTCCTGCATAATAGACATGATGAAGGAGCAAGCAGGAAATTAAGTTTGTAACTTATTACTTTTAAGTGGTTTAGGATAAATTGTGGAAACCTCTTAGTTAATTTATCATCCCAAATTGTTACACACATGGGACTCATAATATTCTCCTTTAGAATGAAAGTGTTAAAAAACGTTTTGCATGTGATTGAAATTTACTAATAAAAAATAAGGACCACCTTCTATGTGAGGAAGAAGATCTGAGACACTTAAGAGAAATTTGGGCCCCCGCCATTTTCTCTTGTCTTTTTTTTTTCCCCAAATAAATATTCTTGGTTGAATCTTGAGGCAGGATCTGAATGATATGCCTAATTCAAGCAGACTCCAAAAGTTATGAGTTTAAGAAATGTAAATTCTAGTTAAACTGCTCAGTAATCCCCATGCATGTGGGGCTGTTTTGGCTGATAATGGAATTTTCATGATTCTACCATTAGTGTTGGCCCCCTGATAGTAATCAATCAGTGTGGTTTGGACTCCCTGCAGGCCTGAGCAGCCAACCCAATGAACCAGGAAATTGTATCACAGTTCAGTTCATTCATCTGATATACTCCCCCAAATCTTTTGAGTCTGACTTCTTTCTTATCAAAGGCAATCTAAAAATCGTTTTTAAAATCACAGTGAAAACAGGCCATGTACATGAAATGTCAAAAGTTAAATGACAAGTAATTATGATTAAGGAATCCAGGAAAATTGTGACAAAATGATTCACCATAGAAAACAATATCAGCCAGCATTTCTCTGACCCTTTTAAGTTTACAAAGCGTTTTGCACAGATTCTTATTTAATCTTTACAACCACCCTTGTAAGGGAGAGCCATACAAACGTTATTACCCTCATTTACAGATGGAGGAGCTTATCTGTCTCTGAGGGGTGAGCGTTGTCTTCCAGAGGCCTCCAAGCTAGAAATGGCCTTCTAAGACCCAGTCGACCACTCACTTTCTACTGCAACACAATGTTCTTATGCAATTAATTTTACTTATTTTAAAAGGTACACACAAACACAGTCACACATGAAATAAAGTAGTAGGAAGCACCAGGTTGTCAGGGCTAAGCTAAAGGGCAGTCAGAATTTCTTAAGTATCCGATATATGTATTTTATGGTGTGATTTTCTCTTCAATTATCACATTAGATTTTTCCATAAATATCCAAGGCTCTTTCCATTCAGTAGCCTAGGAATATGACTTCACTTAGAGGTTCTTTAAAAAACATCTTTCTTGGGGGCAGCTGGGTGGTGCAGTAGATAGAGCACTGGCCCTGGAGTCAGGAGGACCTGAGTTCAAATTTGGCCTCAGACACATAACCTTACTAGCTGTGTGACTCTGGGCAAGTCACTTAACCCCAATTGCCTTGCCATGAATAAATAACTGAATGAATGAATGAATGAATAAAATTTTCACTAGTTCACTTATACATGGCCACTCTAGCTCCAAGCTCTTTCCTGTCTTTTCTTTTCTACTGTCATTCAATTCAAACAAGCCAGGCACAGTCCATTTCAGCTCCTCAGTCAACCTGTGTCTAAAATTGGGATTTGTTAGGAGTAAAGGAGATTGGCATTCTCATTGCTTTTTAGCACTGGACACATGCTGATTTTTACAACTAAGTAAGAATGTTCTTTGTTTCCATTCTTAGAACAAAAAGAAAACCATATTATTTCCAACTCTTGGCCTTTTCCATGATAAAATTAACTAAATTAACATTTTAAACTTAATTGGTCCCGTCCTAAAATTGGAGAGGATAAAATGGTAAAAAAGTAATTTTTTGTGGATAATTCTCTGTAGTTGAGATGCAGGTTTCCATTGAAGTCTGTTTTTGTTAGAAGTGTCTTAAAAATAAACAGTGAATTCTTTGAAAGGTGTAAGTGATGATAGGTGCTTGTGTAAGCTGACCGACGCTAACATTGCTATAAGCTGAATTTTGGATTTAAACCGAATGAATATGAAAGTACTGGAAAGAAATCTCACTTGGCACAAAATTTCTGCCAGCCTTCTGAACTTGAATTTGCAGCCTCTTATGCCCTTGAAAACTTTTGCATTTGGTTACATTTAAATATTCTGGTCTCAATTAGTTTCAGTCTCTGTTTTTAACAGCCAGATGTTGATTTTGTTGGCTTAGCTCAGTTTATATCCAAGAGTTTATCTCTTTCAAAATTATCTAAAAGCACACTGAATTTAAATAATATACAAGGCCCAAGGTTGACAGGTTGCCTTTGAGACAGTTGGAGCCTCCCGCGCCCTGCAAGGCCCACCACCCAAGGTACTTGCTGGCACAGTGCTGGCATTGGTACCATAGTCTCAGTCCTAATATAATTGCTGCGTTTGCAGATCTTATTGGTGTGCTAAAGTTTCCTTTGCCGTATGAAGAACAGATAGCATTTTGGTTGGTTGTGAGGATTTTGTTTTTTAGATAATTTGGAGAGTTTTGGTTTGGCTTTCCTTTTCCTGGTTTCCATCTTAGTGTGGATTTTTGTTGGGGGTGGGGTGTTTGGAGGCTTTTAGACTCTTGCTGCCATGGTTCACTTGTTGTTAGACTAGCTGGACTGCCCTTATCCTGGATAATGTGGGCTAGCTCCTTAGTATTTTAATTTGAGGTCCTTCCCTCATTTTGGTAACTTTAACTTTCTTAGGAAAATCAGTCACCTTTCTGCCTCATGCTGAGGTCAGACGCGCAATAGAACAGGAAGCGCAGATGCAAAACCCCGCAGCAAGGTCAGCCTCACCGCATAGGTTCCCTCCAAGAGAAGTCAGTAAAGCTTCTCCACAGCCCGATAAGAGTGCCGCTCGCTGTAGTGTCCCACCAGGTAAATATCGCTCCTGTGCGTAGTGGTTGCCAGCAATCCAGCGGTGAGATGTTCATTATTCAGTAGAATCTAATGCGCCTTGACTTCTTCATTCTGCACTTCCAAGACATCGCCTTTCCGGTGTCAGCGTCTTGTTGTGAGTGGACATACCAGTGAGTTTGGTTTCTCTGGCTGTCTTCATGATGGCCACACAGCTTTTGCTTGAAGCTCTTGTGAACTTTATGAAATCCTAAGTTATTTCAAGAGGTTTTCCAGCAACTTAGTGGGAGCTAAAGTCTTTGCCTGTTTTCCGTTATCAAGTAGGGTATGAAGAAGAGATGGAAATAGTTGTCTAAAGAGTAATTGAGGCTATTCCCAAAGGCATCCCTGTACTGTGACCTTAGTGGTGAAGTCCAGAGTAGTGATGGAGGCCTCTTGGAGAACAAGTAAACAAAGATTGCTTCTGCTGCACAGGATCTGGAAAGAACAGGAGATGTTTAATCAACAAAAACAATCTAGATTATGTGTTTGGCCTGTGTTGTTGGAGACAAGGTAGTTGTGCTTTACAGAATCACGAGTCCCACCAGTGACCCAAATTCTGAAGGGAAAACAAGAACTCGTCCGAAAGAAACACACTTAGGAAATAGGGAGTGTCATCCAGTGCTCCAGCCACTAATCATATTTCACTTTGGGACCAAGGCTTGTTGTGGCTAATACGTTTTAGCAGACTAAGAAACCGATCTTGTTTTCAAGCTTTTCTTTTTCTTTAAAAGTCCTCCAGCCTGCTCCACATCAAGTGATAACGAGTCTCCCCGATGCAGCCCGACTTCCAACGACTCGACCCACCAGGCCGCCACCTCCTCTCATTCCTTCTTCCAAAACCACCGCAGCCACTGAAAAACCATCGTTCATTATGGGGGGATCAATCTCACAGGTAAAAGTCTCTTGTTAGCCTAACTAACTTTCCTACTGAACATGACTTTTTTCTTTTTTAAGGTTTTTCTGTACTAGTTAATTACACCTATTAAGTAGTAATCTCCCCAAGGACCCTCCAGAAACAGTCTAGAAAGTGGTATGTATTTCTTGCCCTAGAGAGAGCCCAGCATCAGGAGTGTCCCAGGGGTGGGGAACCTGCAGCCGCTAGGCCACACGTGGCCTTTCTAGGTCCTTGGGTGTGGCCTTTTGACTGAGTCTTTACAGAACAAAACAAAAAGTTTTACAGAGCAAATCCTTTTATGAAGGGGATTTGTTCTGTGAAGTTTGGATTCAGTCAAAGGGCCACCCTTGAGGACCTAGAGGCCACAGGTTCCCCACCCCAGTAGACTGTGACTTATCATTTATTCATTTAATAAACTTCTATTAAGTGCCTCCTGTTTTCATAGCACAATGCCAAAGGACTGGGAAGGTGCAAAGTTTAAATACAACACAGTCCCTTGTCTTAAAGAATTTATAACCTAGTGGAGGATTAAGATACAAATACAAATAAGTACAGTACACAATGTTATGGGGGAAGGGGTGGCTGTAAATAATGGGCATCAGAAAAGGCTTCCTGTAGGAGGCAGCCTTCGCATCGTGCTTTAAATGAAGAGCAGGAGGGGCAGCTAGGTGGTGCAGTGGATAGAGCACTGGCCCTAGAGTCAGGAGGACCTGAGTTCAAATGTGATCTCAGACCAGACCTTGATACTTACTAGCTGTGTGACTCTGGGCAAGTCACTTAACTCCAATTGTCTTTAAGAAAAAAAATAAACGAAGGGCAGGAATTTAGGCCAAGAAGGAAGGAGGCAGAAAACAAAGGCAACGAGGTCAGTAGGGTGCAGAGGTGAGGAGGACCACCCATGGGTCATTGAGAGTTCTGAGAGGAGGCAAGAATCCTGAGTGAAATGTTCTTGGAAGGCCCCCAGCTTGAGGGGTGGAGCCCCCCAGGGTGGGCAGGCAGGGAGGAGCTAGGATCTGCTTCAGTGATGGGAACTTCCAAATCAGTGACATTTCTGGTCTGTTCCGAGTATTTAAGAGCAGAGTCCAGTGGGAGTAATAGTCTAAGACCAGGCTGGAAAGGGAAAGTGGCGCTGATCTTGAGAGTTCCTAGAAGTAGCTAAGATTCCTTCAGTGCTCAAAGTGAGCAGAACACTGACAGGCGTTGTCTGCCTTGACCCTTACAAGGGCTTGGGGAGTTAAGGGGGGGTTGGCGCCTATCAGTGTTGCCATTTTGCAGATGAGGAAACTGTGTGGCCCAGGGCCACACACATCTAGGAAGTGTTTGAAAAAGGATTCAAAGCAAGACCTGCCTCAGCCCAAACCTTTTGTATTATCCAGCACAGCCTGAATGCTAAGCAGAGAAATTGGAATTTTACTTGGGAGATTATTAGCAGCCAACAGTGATTTTTGAGAATAAGAATGACATGACCAGATCTGTATTTGATATTTTTCTAGTACATGGAAGATGGATCAGTGGGAGAGCATAAGAGTGGTAAAGCTTGTTAGCTAATAATAATAATAATATTGGCTGATATCTACGTCCCGCTTAACTTTGTGCCAGGCTCTGTGCTAAGCACTTTACAATTATCTTCTTTGATCCTCATGACAACTCTAGGACGTTGATGCTATTGTTAGCATGCCCATTTTGCAGATGAGGAAACTGAGGCAAACAGGTTAAGTGACTTGCCCAGGGTCACACAACTAGTAAGTGTCTTGGTGCAGATTTGAACCCAAGTCTTTCTGACATCAAGCTTGGTTCCCTGTCCACTGCAATACCTAGGTGCCCCCATTAGAACACCGATGCAGTGACCCAAGCCTGTGATATCAGTGCCTTGCACTTAGGGTTACAAACAGTGGGAACAGAGAGGGGTGGGGTTTGGGGTAAGAGACATTGCAAAGATAGAATCACAGGACTCTGTAACACATGGGATGTGAGAGCTGAGGAGGAAGAGAAGGAAAGAGTCAAAGACAGAACCCACAGGCTACACAACACAAGACAGTAAACGGTGGGGCCACTGGCCAAAACACCGACAGTGGACGGAGGGACAAGTTTGGGGAGAAAGACTTTGGTTTGGTTTGGGGTCTGCTGACTTTGGGTCCCCGAGAGACAGCCAGGTGGAGACACACTGCCTCAGCTTCCTGAAGGAGAGAAGTTTACACGAGTGCTGAGTGCACTGAGGTTCCTGGTGGGACAGATGTTTACAGTGTTTTTAGCAATTGGGATGCATGCTGGGAAATCGTATAAAGTGAGTGCTTTGGGCTAGATGACCTCTGCCATCTCTTCCAGCTCTGTGTCTTTGCCACGATAACTCCCACAGTATCAATGAGATATTGTTTAGAGAACTGGAAAATAGTTCTTTTACAATATGGCTGCCAAGTGTGTGAAGGAGAGTTGTCTCTTTTTTAAATCCTAGAGAAGGGAGTAATGACAGCTTCTGCCTCATGGATTCTCAGAATTGTGGAGGACATAGCCTCAAGAACTCCCCTGAAAGAGATCTGTCTTTTAACTAGAAACCTGCACTGCAGCACCAAGCCTTCCTAGGTGTCCTGGGAAACCAGCCTGCTCACTCGGTCTTTATCCTTTCAGGGAACCCCTGGCACCTATTTAACCTCTCATTGCCAACCTTCCTACACACCAGAGCCAGCCAAGCCTTCAGTTGGGTCTATATCTCTTGGATTGCCACGGCAACAGGAGCCAACCAAGCCTGGTAAGGAGCCGAGGGCACCCGCTTGGGCGCACTGGCAAGAGCACCCCTGCTCTGCTGCTGGAGCTGTGACCTCTTTGTTTTCTTGTTTTGACCAGCCACCTCCATGCCCTACATCAAGCAGGAGGAGTTCTCACCCCGTGGTCAAACCTCCCAGCCCGAGGGCTTGTTGGTCAGGGCCCAACATGAAGGTGTTGTCAGAGGTAACACTTGTTGGGACAGGGTGGGTGGAGAAATGGTATTTTTTCAGGGAGATGAGAGGAGAAGTCCTAGGAAAGTGAATATATGAGGTCGGTTGGTGGTAACGTAGACCTTTCTATTTGGTAGTCGATAAGCAGTGGCTTTCACTTCTCACTTCTGTTTTTATCTTAAACTTGGCTTTTTGGTAATGGTGTATCCCTTTGTTATAAATACATATTGAATAACTCTCCTAAAATACTTGTTAAAAACCCATCGTGTCATTTCCCCCATCTCTTTGTAATTTTGGTAATGTAGGATTATTGATATTGAATGATTTTACCTGAAAGGATATTATTTTGCCATTGATTTTATTTTGACCCAGGTACTGCAGCAGCAATCCAAGAAGGAAGTATCACTCGAGGAACCCCAGCTAACAAAGTTCCTGTTGAAAGCATCCCTTCCCTTCGGGGCTCTATCACTCAGGTAATCTCACCAACTTCTAATTGTCAGGAAGCTCTGCATTGTGGAGGACCCCAGAGCTTTCTTTGTTTCAAAATAGACTTGATACAGCCAATTCTCATTGGTTCAGCTGTCTTCAGTCCCTTGATGGCAGAGTCATCACACTTCTGAACATTTTTATTGCATCCCACCATCAGCTAAAAGGAGGCAGCCTGTGGCTTCCTTCCACAGAAGGGTCGCCACGTTGTAAGTGGGTAATAGCACTGAGGTCATTGTAATCCTACAAACATCCCTTCTCCTTTGTGGAATGCACTGTGTTAGGCACTGGCGATGCATTCTGTTGGGGGCTGCCATATGTAAAAAGTTAGCAAATAGAAAATGGTGTTCATAGAGTGAGAGTAACAAAGACAAGTAAGGAAAGGCCTCAGGGAGGGGGTGACACCTTGAGTCGTGTTTAGAAGGAATCTTGGAATTCTGGGAGGTGGAGCTGAGGTGAGAGGAGCTGATTTCAGTCATGGGGGGAGGGGGGGACTTGTGACTAGCCCCCGAGACTGGAGGCGGAATGTTGCATCCTTAGAATACTTGCTAGGCCATTTGGACTGGAACAGAGTGGACATGAGGGGGATTAAGGGGAAGTAAGAGTGAAAAGGTGTGTGGAAGCTAGATTGTGGAAGGCTGAAAAAATATTCATTGGTAAATAGTCACTGAAGATGTTTGAGAATGAGGGTATCCTGGTCAGCTCTGTGTTTGGCAGCTTTGAGGGGGATGGCTGGGTGAGGAGAGAAACTAGGGGTGGAGAGATCAGTTGGAAGCCTAGTCTGGTGTCCAGGTAGGATGTGATACGGGCTGGAACCAGAGCAGAAGGTGTGATGGGCTAGAAAGGGACTGGTCCATATGAGTACTGTAGCTCATGCTCAGGAGATCCACGAGGTTTGGTCCCTTATTCAGAGTGGGGCTCCAGGAAGAGGGGAGAATCAGTACCACCTCCCAGACAGACTGGCGGCACACAGGGTTGGAGACATTGTCAGATATTGAAGGGTATTTTCTACACAGCCTCCCTATCAGGAGCTTGTCGCTATGGGACTGACCCTAGGCATTTATATATGAACATATAGAGGTAGAATGGAGAAGGGCAGTCGGTGGGTGGGGAAGGTTATCTTGCTTTTTTGTGTCTTTTTGATGAAGGAATGTGGGCTTGGTGCTTTTTTGTAAACTTTTTTTTTTAAATAAAAGGGAGCTGAGACTTTGACCAGAAAGACAAATTGATGGATAAATATTTACAAAAATATATTGTCCAGATTAACAGAAGAGGAAATAAAATACTTAAATAACCCCATCTCAGAAAAAGAAATTGAACAAGCCATTGATGAGCTCCCTAGTAAAAAATCTCCAGGGCCAGATGGATTTACAAGTGAATTCTGTCAAACATTTAAAGAACAATTAATTCCAATACTATATAGACTATTTGGGAAAATAGGTGAAGAAGGAGTCTTACCAAATTCTTTTTATGATACAAATATGGTGCTGATACCTAAACAGGGAAGAGTCAAAACAGAAAAAGAAAATTATAGACCAATTTCCCTAATGAATATAGATGCAAAAATTTTAAATAAAATATTAGCAGAAAGACAAATTCATAAATTGCTTTGTGAATTATGAGATGAATTGATTTACCTTTAAAAATTCTACGGTCGTATCCTGAACACCAGAATTCAGACCTTTTTTGTGTCTCAGTGGGCCAAATTAATTACCAGCTGGTGATCACAAAAGGTCTCTCGATCTCCTTTTTACAATGTGAGTTTGATCTGAAGATTTGAAATGAAAGCTTCAGACCCAATAGAGCAAAAATCTGTTTTGGGGAATTTGGAACACAGTGTACACAGCCCAGCTCTGAGGGCTGCTAATTTGCCTGTGGTTCTTGAGCTGCCGAAGACTTCTGTGATCTTGGTTATTCTTAGCTAAGGCGCCGCTTTTTACATGATCTTCGTTGTTATGATTAAGAAAATAATGGACAAACTCCTCTAGCTCTCTTTCATCCCCACCCTCTAAATCCAATTTGTTTCAAAAAGACATTTTTAGACATACTTTGTTCTACTGAGACAAATAACAGCCAAGAAAGGAACAGTGCTCATTTTTCCTTTAACTTAGCACTGGATAGAAGACAACAAGTAGAATTGGGCAGGCTCATGTGCTTGCTTCCTGGTGGCCTCCTGAACTCAGCTGAGTGGGTGGAGGACAGCTTGGGCAGGCAGGACGACTTTGATTCAAGGCCTTGTGACTGTACACAAGTCATTCCCTCTCTCAGCAGGACCCCGGTCAGTTCTCCAAAACTCTTACTTACAGAAGAGTTTCTGATTTTTGTTGGTATGAAAAATTTCCACACTGAGCTAAAATTTGAAGGACTGAACTCCAAACGTAAATACCCATAATAGACATGCGATATGAAACACCTGTTAGAATCCATGTGTGTTTGCAATAAAGAATGTTGGTGTTACTCAAAGATTAAAATGCATTTTTCTTGTTGATCAAAGTAATCCAGGAAGCACCGTAAACTGTTGGGTGTCTTAAATGCCTTAATTCACTCCGCAAACAATGAGCCCTAGCCATGGCCAAGGCATGGTGGGAAACACAATGAAAAAGAAGATTGCATTCCTTGCCTTCAGGGAGCTTACAAGCTAACAGGTGTGATGGTGGAATTGAGGATTTTTAATTTCATTAGAAATTTTGCTCAAAGGTTTCCCAGCCTAAAACAAAGATTTATCTTTCTGAGGGCCTGAGGGCATTACCATTGATTTGCATATAATACGGATAGCCATCTCTGTATGTTTCTTTCCCCCTTTTGAGAATAGGGTTTAGGTTTGCCACTACTGTTATCTAAAGGGATGAGAATAAGAACAGGGTCTGGGCTTGTTAAAGCCTTTGGTTAGGGAACTTCCAGGTGAGGAAGCTCTCTCTATCAGTGAGTCTAGCATCTCCTCTGTAACATAGGGCCAGAGGGCTGCCCAGAGTACTTGGGACTGAAGTGACTTTTGAATGCCCAGGGTCATTCAGATACAGGACCTGAACCCAGGTCTTCCTGGCTCCAGGGCTAGCTCTCCATCTACTGCACCGTGCTGTCTGTCATTGTTATCTATAAAATATTAAATGAAATACAGTAAAGTTTGTTCTGTCTTATGCGGTTATCCATTCAGAAGGTAAGTGCCTATTTTTTCATTTTTTGGTCAGGGTACTCCAGCTCTGCCCCAGCCTGGCATACAATCAGAAACAGTGGTGAAAGGAACAGTCGCTAGAATCTCCATGGAAGACAGTAGCCCCGAGAAGAGCCGAGAGGAAGCCGTGTCCAAAGGCCATGTGATTTATGAAGGAAAGAGTGGGCACATCTTGTCTTATGACAGTGAGTATGAACAGCAGCCCTGAGGAGTGCGCCTCCAGCCTGCCGGGGAAGGTTTGCAGGGAGCTGGCACCGGGGCTTCCCGAGGCAGCCCCCTTCTTGGCCTCAGCAACCTGTGGGTCCTGGTTATGCCCTCCCCATGTGTCAGCCTTGCAGATGCCTAAAAACAGCTTTCCTGTCTCCTCTCCAGTCTTCTCTTTAGGATTAACAACCCCTTTTCCTTGCATGGATACTGTTAGGGCATGACTTTGGGGATCTTTCTGCATGTTCACCTCTAGATTCTCCTGTTTTTTGGTGACTTTGCTAAAGCATGGTATGCAGAACAACAACAACAACAGTAATAATGCTAGCTAGTATTTATAAAGTGCTTGCTATATCTTAGCTCATTTGATTTTGCTCACACATGAACCCTATGTGGTAGGTGCTGTTGTTATCCTCACTCTGCAGATGAGCAAGCAGGCTGAGAAAGTTAAATGATTTACCGTAGTTGCATGCCTAGTAAGTGTCTTAAGACAGGATTTGAACTCACATCATCTTAAGTTATCTCCATCTTGACTGTGAAACTGATTTTCTTTAACCTAAGCTTCAGATATGACTTTTATCCCTGTTAGATTCTGCTCAGTAGATGCATTTTTTGCATCCTTGCACCATTATCCAATATGTTAGATCTCCCTCCTAGCTTTATGTCATTTACAGAGCTGACAGCAATGCTGTCTGTGCCTTGAGGTCAGCAGCCGAGGGCCAGGCTGTGATTTCTGGCAAACTCAAAACCTCCTTCCAAGTTGAAATTGGACCATGCTTGTCACCATGCTTGTGGTGCTGTGCTCTTGTGCTCATTCTCCATTGTGTTCTTGGCTTCCATCTTCTGTATGTCCATGAATTCCTGGGACATCCACAGAGAGTTTCTCCTTCTTCTTCTCCTTGGTTTCTTTGTGTGTCTTTAGAATTTCTTTCCTGAAGGTTTCCTGTCTCCCCTGGGCTGACTTTTCTTCTTCAGAAGGAGTTGCTTATCTCTTCCTTCTCTCCTTCCCTGCCACATCACATTCTCTCTCTTTTTTTCTTTTTTTTACATGTCACATTCTCTTACTACTCTGCCTCCTGACCAAGGGCTCTTGCTCTTGTCCCAGCCTTTTTCTCCATTTCCTCACTGAAATGCTTTGGATTTTACTCAGAAGATTAACTTATTTAATAGCATTGCCTTGATAAAAAGATAATTTTTTTTATATATTTGGAGGCACGGAATTTCACCTGTTCATCAGTTTTAAACACCTTGACCAGGAAGTATTTTTAAGGTTTAACTTTGAATTGCTTTTAAAAAGTTACTTTGATAAAATTAACAAAAGCAGTTAAAATTATCTGTAAATATCCATTTTGCACAGAAAAGCCAGATAGAGGACAGTAAAATGGGAATTAGGATAACCTTATCCATATCATCTTGGAAAATCTTAGTAAAAATTTAATTTTCATTGTCTTCCTGGAATGTGAAGTTGAGAATCTTGAAATGTTTAAATATCTCTAATAAATTTCACTTGGTTGCGTTTTTTGTTTACATTTGGAGAAAAGTTAGGGATCATTCATTCAGAACAGGCATGTTGTGTGGCCAATAATTTTCTTTACATTCAGAATGTTTTGCAGGTGTGAAATCACATTCCTCTGGTCTGTGTTGTACCGTTCACTGTGGGGTTTAGAGTTCTGTGTTCTGACTGAACCTTGCCGAATGGCTAAACTTGTTTTTACATTGTGTAGATATTAAGAATCCCCGAGAGGGAACCAGGAGCCCAAGAGCTGCTCATGAAATGAGTTTAAAGAGAAGCTATGATTCCATGGAAGGAAACATTAAACAAGGGATATCGCTGAGAGAGTCTCCTGTATCGGCGCCGCTGGAAGGTATGGTGCCGATGTGCAGGTGATTGGAAGGAAAGTCACTATTCAAAACTAGTTCATAAGGCTTTCCTATTAAATCCATTTGAGGTACAGCATTGTATAGAAATTCCTTTCCAGAAAACTTTCAGCACCGATGCGTGGACAGAGCACTAGGCAAAGTGCTGAGAGTACTGCCACGGTGAAAAGGAAGCTGCTCCTGCTCTCCAAGCCCTGCCCTGAGAAGGTGGTGCCTGGGCTGAGCCTTGAAGAAATTGGTGCGTTGGTGAGAAGTATCAGAGATGTAAAGGACCTTTGAGATCACTGAGTCCAATACTCATAATTTACAATTTGGGAAACCGAGATCTAAGGAAGCAAAGCAACTTTTCAAGGGTCACACCAAAAATGGTGGACCCAGCATTTGAACCCTGCCCCACTGACTCCAGATCAGCTATCTTTTCTCTGCACACAATGAGTCTTGATTTCCTCTTAATCCATAGTACTGGAGTTGAAATCTCTTAAGAATTACCATGCAGTTGATAGTTTCCTCAGGGTCGTAGTCAAGCAGCAAGCATTGATTAAGTGCTCGAGGTGTGCCATGTGTTATGCTGGGCTGAGATGGAGACATCAGGAAACAAGAGACTTGTATTCTAGTGAGAAAGACAGCAAGCACATAGAGAGTTGATGTTGTGTGAACAAATGTAAAGTAGACAGCACAAGTAGCTCGGGAGGGAGAGCAGGAATCTTGAAGGAATGAAGAGATTCTCTGAGGTAGAAGGAGGGGGGCATCCTATTCTGGACATGGGGGATGGCCAGCGTAAAGGCACAGGAGAAAGCAAGTGCCACATATGGAGAATCGAGAGAAGGCAGTTTGGCTGGATATCAAGTAATGGCCAAAAGGGCTGGAAAGATGGGCTTGTGTATATGGCATGGAAGGTGGTCAGATCTAAACACATGAATTTATATTTTGTGCTGGAGACCAACAGGGAGCCCCCTGAGTTGACTGGATGGGAGAGTGCCACGGTCAGTTCTGGACTTAAGAAGAATCACTGCCAGCTGGGTGGGGGTTAGACTTGGGACACCTATAGATAGGTGCTTATGATAATTCAGGTGAGGATGGATGAGGGCCTGAGCCAGTCTGGCAGCTGTGCAATTAGAGAGGAATTTGTGGAGATAGAAATGGCAAGATGTGGCCACTCTTTGGCTGTGTGGGGTCAAGAAGAGTGCAGAGTGGAGGAGATACTGAGTTTGTAAATCTGAGAGCCCTGGAGGATGGAAGGACTTTGAACAGAACTTCGGAAGTTTGGGAGAGGCGTGGGTTTTGAAGGGAAAGACAATGAGTTGAGTTTTGGAAGTGTTGAGTTGGAGGTGCCTCTGGGACAGCCCACATGAAATGTTCAAAAGGCAGTTAGGGATGCAGGGCTTAAGCTTGGGGGCGAAGGGGGCTGTCTGTATAACTGAGTCATTTGTGTAAAGGTGACCATTTTTCAGGTTCCTAAGAGGCAGAAAGAGGAGAGAACAGGGTCAAGGACTGACCCTTGAGGAATATCTGCACTTAGTGAGCTCCATTTGCTCCCAGTCTTGGTAGACCTTTTCATAGTTCTTGTTTTTTTTCCACTCTCAGTAAATTGGTGGGTTTTTGTTTGTTCTGCCCCTCCTTCTCCTATTTATCCTTCCCTGTCCAAGCGCAGAAGCATTGGGCTGCTGTGTCTTCACTTTGAACGTAGCTTTACTTTTTGCTTTTGGTCTGATATAGTTCTTAGGCTCTGCCATTTTATACTTAGGAAGGTCTATTTAAAATCTGACACGTTTTTGTGTTGTGAACTTCATGTTACTATTTGTTGTTAAGAGTTCATGGTAGAGCTTCAAAAAAGCAACATTCTTCTATGGAGGACACGTTAAAAAACGGTCACTGTGACGGATATATTAAATGTGAGTTCTCAGGATTATATGCTGTATTTGATTATTTGTCTGCTTTTTGTTTCAAAGGGTTGATATGCCGTGCACTGCCCAGGGGTAGCCCTCATTCTGATCTTAAAGAGAGAACAGTGCTGTCTGGTTCTATAATGCAAGGTAAATTAGATATTTTCTTCTCTGTGGATTCATTTCCCTTTTGCTGGCAAAAATGGTTGAATTTCTATTTAGTGTATGAAACCTGCCCTCTGGGGTTAGTAGTGAGTTTGCTGTTGGATTCTTATAAGGTTTAAGTCTTTCCGGATTTTTCTTTTTGAGATAGACTTGACTTATTTGAAAATGTATAGGTGCCCATTTGTTCATGTTTATAAATATTTTCATTAACTACTTTTTGGTAATCATTATACGTGTAAAAATGCCTTAAAATGTTGATCCAAGAACTTCAGATCTGGAAAAGTGCCTTAGCTATAATCCAATCCATCTCCCTCATTTTGCAAATGAGAAAATGGGGCCTGGAGAGTTTGTGACTTTCCCATGATAAGCCATGATAACCTCATGGTGGAGCTGGGACTAGAACTCAGATCTCTTGAGTGCCAGCCAAATGTCCTTTTCTTCTCTCATTCATAATTCTAAGGAATTGAGTGCCTGGTATGTGCAGGGAAATTAATATATTGGGTATTGCTCAAATGAAATTGACTAAACAGTCTTTGAATTTTTCCTTCGGAAGGCACGCCAAGAGCCACAACGGAAAGCTTTGAAGAAGGCCTTAAATACCCCAAACAGATTAAGAGAGAGAGTCCTCCCATCCGAGCATTTGAAGGAGCTATTACAAAAGGAAAACCCTATGATGGAGTCACCACTATCAAGGAAATGGGACGTTCAATTCATGAAATTCCAAGGCAAGATCTGTTAAGTCAGGAAAGCCGGAAAACTCCAGAAGTAATCCAGAGTACAAGACCCATAATTGAAGGTTCCATTTCTCAGGTAATCCTGTTTTAGAGGGTGGGTCTATCTTTGCATTTAGCAATCCCACTTGCAGCCAGAAAGTGACAAGTTTAGTTCTGGAAGAGCCCTTTGAGAGCGTCTGGCCCCGCCCCCTCGTTTTAAATGAACTAAGGGCCTCAGGAGTTCAGTGACCTGCCAGAGTCAGGATCTGAACCTAGACTCTTTGACCTTAAATTTATCACTCTTTTCTATAAAAGCTTAGAAAATAAGACCCAGTGCTCCTCATAGGACTTTAGGACGTGGAGAGCAGAGGGGTGGGTCAGGAATATAAATACAGAAGCTATCATCACAGTAAAAATGATTTATCTTCTTCATAGCATGTAATGTTTTTGATTCAGAACAGGGAGATTCAGTTAGGTGGTTCAAGTCAGATGCTTGAAACAGGGAGTAAAAACAGTTTAATTTTTAAAAGTTAAGTCTTTTTCATATCCTGGGATAAATATTCATAGTGCTTGTTTTTCTCTTTTTAGGGCACACCCATAAAGTATGAAAGCAGCTCTAATCAATCTGCCATTAAACATAATGTCAAGTCTCTAATCACGGGCCCTAGTAAGCTCCCTCGTGGGTTGTCTCAATTGGAAATGGTTCCAGAGAATATCAAGGTGGTTGAACGAGGGAAGTATGAAGATGTAAAAGCAGGAGAACCAATTCGTTCCCGGCATACGTCAGTTGTTAGCTCTGGTCCCTCTGTTCTAAGGTCAACTCTTCACGAACCTCCCAAAGCACAACTGAGTCCTGGAATTTACGAGGACACCAGTGCAAGGAGAACACCTGTGAATTATCAGAGCCCCATGTCCAGAGGGTCCCCCATGATGAACAGGACTTCTGATGGTATGGTTTTTTGTAGCCTTGTCTCACCCTTCTCATTCAACTTTATGTCAGTCACAAGCAGCAGCTTTCAAATTGGAATCTTTAAACTAACATGAGTCCAAAAGGAATGTGAAAACGTAATTCAGTTTTGTTAGATGCCCACACGTCTCTCTCAGTCACCAGACGTAACCAGCTAAGTGCTTAGTGGGTGCCAGGCAGGCGAAAAGGAGAGTCCCTGCTCTCAGGGAGCCTAAAATCTATTGGGGGAAACAGCTTGTTTTAGGCTCCAGTTATTCCTTTGGGGAATTATCCCTTTTCTCAACACAGTTTGAATGTTTACCTTATTAATTAGGGAAAACATTCTTTAGTTCATGTCAAAATGATATAATACAGACTCCATCCTCTGTAGTCTGCCTCAGCCGCCATTTTCATGAATGCCTTTGTTAATCCTTTACAAGAAGAATGCAGGTTAGTCAAGCTCTCGCTTGATGTGGTCCAGTGGGCCTCATGAATCCGTTCTGATTCTGATGGATGAAAAGGCAGAAGAAAAGGACTTTGATCCCAGTGCTGTGGCGCATTTTTCTGCCGTTGAGCTATCAAACTACTCCCAAGTGGGATCAGCACGTCATTCTTCTTCTTTCCAGTCCGGGCCCAGCTATGGAGGGCTTGGTGTGAGAGCCGTCTTTGTGGTACAGGCAGCCACACAGATGACCCGTGGTCTTTGTAGGTATCAGACTCTTCCTGGAAGGAGAGCTTCATCTCATGGGATGAGACCAAGAGGCCTTGGGCTTGTTGTGAGCTAGCTAATTCCCCTCCCTGTTCTGTTCATGTGGCATTGGGCTCAAGCTCAGTGGTCTAGTCATCAGGAGTTACTGAGTACTCACTGGGGCGAGGACTAAAGTTTTGGAAGTCAGAGGCTTCTGTGAAAGAGGAACACAGAACAGCATACTCATAATTAAAAAAACATACAAACCCATGTGACTCAGTAGAGTGTAAAACAAGTGCTAACAGATCTTGTTAACACAGTGTTTGAGGCTGCTTAGAGATAGATGGCATGACCAGGTACCTAAGAAGGCTTTCTCAATGAAGCAGGCTTCTAAGCTATCCTCCCTAGTCTTCTGTGATTCAGAGCCCCAATGCTGACCCTTTGTGGCTCAGTAGCTCAGCCAGGGCTTTGTTTCTTCCCTCAAAGTGACCTAAATTCGCTCAATACATAATCCTCATGGCATTGACACCAAAGCAAAATGAAAGGGTCCCCCTTCCTATTCGTACTCGGTAGCTGCCTCTGGCTGACATTTCACTTCAGTAGTGTCCCACACGATTTTATTTGTATACATTAGGAGGGAATGCAGTTGAAAGTGTGACCTGCCCTTTGCTTTGTATTCCCTGAGCCTCACATCTCACTAAGGATGGCCTTCACTTTTCTGTATGGTTAAAAATGGGTGAGACACATGGCACAGCAGTTAAGATCCTCCTGTGTGACAGCCATGGTGCTCTGCACAGGGAAACAAAGGAAGATAGAAGACAGTCCCTCCCTACGAGGATCTCCCAGTGCTTTGAAGATAGTGAGAAGAGGTGGTCGGTCGTCAACGTGTTGCCTCCCTTTAAATTTCAGAATCAGGCAATCAGTAAGCATTTATCAAAGGCTTGCTGTGTGCTGGCCACTGTGTTAAGTGCTGGAGATACAAAAAGTATAAAATGGGGGGAGGGGCGGTCATTGCTGTATTCCAAAAGGGGTCCTCCTTTCAGAATCTCAGGTGGCAGCTAGTTCAGCGTCATTCAAATACTGAGCATTGCCATTGGGCGAGGTCTTGTATTCATGCCCCGCAAAAGATTCAGAGATGAGTCCACCATATTCCTAGCCTTTGGTGAGCTTCCACAACACAGGCACGTAGACAATTTTTCCCTACATCTACACAGATGGAGTAGAAATAAAATAGATGGAATTTTTATTTTTAAGATGATAAAATGTATGTGTTCTCATGAATCCTTGATAAATGGATCCATTCTGTAAATGTAGGTTACGTCATCTGTCTTAATGAGTGGTGTTACTTTTTCAGCTGCCGTTTCTTCTGGGAAGTCTGCAAATCATGAAAGGAAATCTACGCTTACTCCTACCCAAAGAGAAAGTGTCCCTTTACCATCTAAGTCTCCAGTCTCAGGGGTGGACCCTGTCGTCACCCACAGTCCCTTTGAGCCCCACCACAGAGGCAGTGCACCAGGGGAGGTCTATCGAAGCCACCTTCCTGCACACCTGGATCCTGCAATGCCATTTCACAGGGCACTGGACCCTGGTGAGTACTGTTTTGGGCAATAGAGGCTTATGACTTAATTATTTAAAAGAAGAGAGTGTACATTTCTCGGGTGAGAGGCCCTTTCCCTCTCTTCTTCCCCTTCCATCCATTCCTTAAGAATACAGAGGCTGCAGCAGCCCTGTACTACATGGGGAGCCTATTAATATCATTTGTTCATAGAGACAATTTCCATGGCAACTGACATTTATAGCATGCATTAATGGAGATCTTTCCCAGGATAATTATTCTCTTAGAAGTTTTAGTGAAGCACAAGTAACATCAAATACCAAAGCCCCCCTGCCCCTTGGATGTCATCTCTTAGTATCGCTCAGCCTGTAGTGAGCTACTTCTGTGTTGGTGGCTCGGATTTACATTCTCTCCACTGGCTCACGGCGTCTTAAAATAACGCATTTTCCAGGAGAGCAGCCTGAGGGCCCAAGACCTCCCTGGCTACGTACACATGTTGGCTTTTGCCCATGTTGCTTTCTTATCTGGAATGCCTTCTGCTTTCTCAACTCGAAACACATGCATCCGTTCTCCCTTTCAGTTCCCCGAGCATTGGCTGAGAGCCTGCTGTCTACCAGACGTCATGCTCGATCTCTGTGGTACAAAGACAGAAGTGGAACAGTCCCTGTCCTTGAGGAGCTTGTGTTCTGTCGAAGGGAAACAATGTGTCTAACAGATCAATAAATGCAAAATAGCAGAGCAGTTTGGAAGGGGCACACTAACAATCCCCATAAGAGAATATTGCATCGAGGGTTAATTCTGCCGAACCGTTTTCATTGTTCTCTTTAATTTAGTTTTGCTTTCTTGCTATTATCTACTAGTGAGCAGACTCAGTGAGAGCCAACAACTGCAGAGAGCAATTACTGGCATTTTGAAAAGGGCTCCAAAGGTATTTTGTTATTGCCAGTGTTCTCAGGCTTTAGGGAAGCAAATTTTCAGTCATCCAATGGATCATCTAGTTTCCTAGAGTTCCCTAGGACTCAGAGTGCCCACAAACCAAGTCATCACCAGAGGCAAGTTGTTGGCACAGTGGTCTATGGAGAAAAAATGCTTTAGAGTTAGGGTATCTTTCATTTTCTTCCCCAAACTAACCGTCTTTGGTCTGTGTTAGCTTGTAACTTTTATACAAAATTAGGTCAGAAGTTAGGTCTTAGACAAAAACAAAGTCTTCAGTATTTTTTAAAAATATGTTATGACATACGTGTGTGTGTGTGTGTGTGTGTGTGTGTGTGTGTGTGTGTGTTCATGTTCCTTTTTTCTAAAGTTGGTCCATTTGTTTTTGTCTGATTGTTGATTAGCACAGATCAGATCCATTTCTCCCCTCCGCCTAGCAATCACTAAGTCTGTGTTTTGCACCCTTGTAATTCATGATTAAGTGCTTATTATCCATCTAGCCTTTCTTGCCCCAAGAAAAATAAAGGTGACTATTTATAGTATATTTGTGCCAAGAAATGAGGAATACAAATGCCATTCTGATCCAATGTTCTCATGAATCTGATGGATCAGAATTAAATCTCTTCTAAAGAAAAGTAATGGTGTAGGTTGTTCTTGGGGAGAACATTATAATTACACTATTTAGAAGTATTTGGAAATGAAAACTCCTGGAGAATTCTTAGATATTGTTAAAAGTACTGGGAAGATGAGTAATTTTAACTTTTCTCTGCCATTTCTCCTTGAATGCAGTAGGAATACCTAAGGGATAGCTGGTTAGCAGTGCTGCATGTGCACCATGCACTTCATGGAGTTCGTCATTAGCTTTTGGACTTCTCATTGGATGTTTGGCTGCCTTCTCCAGAGACTGAACTTCTGTCTGTCTGTCTCTCTCCTACAGCGGCTGCTGCATACCTGTTCCAGAGACAGCTTTCTCCAACACCAGGTTACCCAAGTCAGTATCAGCTTTATGCGATGGAAAACACGAGGCAGACAATTCTAAATGATTATATTACCTCACAACAGATGCAAGTTAACTTGCGCCCTGATGTAGCCAGAGGACTCTCCCCCAGAGAGCAGCAATTGGGTCTCCCATATCCTGCAACCAGAGGTATGTCTCTCTGATTCCTCTAGCGAATTCTTCTTGTATGTGTTAGGGTAGACTTTTATGTGGTTTCTGCTGAGGCCACCATCCCATCTAGCTTTTGAAGGCCTCCCAGTCCATGAAGCCCACGTGGCGTCCAGAGCAGGGGAGTCAGTGCACAATAATGTCATTCACATGTCTGTATAGCGCCCGAGGATTTGCAGAGCACCTTGTTCAGAGGCTGAGAAGGTTCTGGGAACACACAACTGGTGAGGTATCTGTAGCAAGATTTGAACCCAGATCTGCTGACTCTTAAGCTCAGCACCATCTACTCTACTATATTGCCCCACAGCATTTTATCTCTGCCAGGCTTCATTCACTGGGCATGAACTTAGTAAAGGAGCTCCAGGAGTGTGACTCTTCCCCTGTGGGGTGCCAGAATCTTTAGGAGTTTTCTATTCCATTGGTGAATGAGCTGGAAAAGTAACGGAGGAGGATGTGCACAATTGGAATTTGTGTGTGTTTTACATGTCGGCCGAGAGGCAGATTGGGCAGAGAGCTGGCCTTAACAGCAACAAGTCGTTGACCTAGCAGATATCAGAAGACCAGGCCCCTGCTGTTTGGCTTGAGAAAAAAAGGACAAAAATCCTCGTCTTAGCTTATTAATCTTTATGACAGGAATCATTGACTTGACCAATATGCCTCCCACCATCTTGGTGCCTCATCCTGGGGGTACAAGCACTCCTCCAATGGAGAGAATCACTTACATACCAGGTACCCAGCTGACCTTCCCTCCTAGACCTTACAATCCTGCTTCAATGTCTCCAGGTAAGAATCCTTGCTCTGCTTCACCTTGATTAAAAGCGTTACCTGGTGGTTTTCCACCAGTGCTTCGTGAGTGTAAATTTAGAGTTAGAAGGGGCCCTGGCTTGATCTATTCCAACCTCCTTATTTTAGATAGGAGGAAACTGAGGCCCAGAGGGGTTCGGTGACATCCCGGTTCATCCCAGGACAAAGTATCCAAGCTGAGCTTTGGACTCAGGTCTTTTCCATTAGAGCCTACTCTCTTTGTGCCACCCCTCTCTGATGGCTGTGGTGCTGTTTATCGTTTTGGGTTTTGGTTAGCAATAATATGTTCCTATCTCTCAGTTGTTAATGGAGCAGCTGTGTCTTGGAGAAATATTTTAAAATCATTGTATTCATAAACATTTTCATCTGAACCCCTCTACTCATAAAACAGGCATAGCCTCCAAGTCTAGAGCTTTTTGTAAAAATTGTGCTTGTTTGAAGATTTAAGTTTTACTGCTGTTCCTGCTGGGGATATAAAAGCCCATGGATTTGGTGCGTTTTACAGGCCACCCATCACACCTGGCTGCATCTGCTGCCGCAAATGTTGAGAGGGAGCGTGAGCGGGAAAGGGAGAGAGAGAAAGAACGTGAACGAGAGAGGGAACGGGAGAGGGAAAGGGAGCGGATTGCTGCTGTCTCTTCAGAGCTCTACCTTCGTCCAGGTAAGAAATGGAAGGTATAAAGTTCATTTGCTTATTGTTCAGTGGAGAAGCATGATTCTTGTTATTGAGATTCTAAGCTAAGTCTGTCAAAGTGAATGTGGGAAGTCTAACCCCATTTGTAGTACTGGACAGTTTTTTTTGTACACACACACACACACCCTAAAAGATGAGTTAGACCTGTAGGATATTACAGTTAAAAGTGACCTTAGAAATCATTAATTGAGTTCTCTCATTTCTTAGAGCAGAGATTCTTAACATAGGGGCCATTAGTCTGATGGGTAGATTTCAGGACATTCACGAACTCGGCTAGGGGAAAAAATTTGCATCTTTATTTTCACTAACCTCTTAACTGAAACATTTATTTTGATTATGTAAAAATCTTATCCTGAGGAAGGCTTCATAGGCTTCACTAGCCTGCCGAAAGGGTCCATGAGACAGAAGTTCAGACCTCCTGTCATAGAGGAAGAGCCAGAGGTGAATAGTACAAAAGGGGCTCACCTCAGGTCACAAGAGGATTTAAGTGAAGAGCCCAGACTTAACACCAGGTCTCCGGACTCTCTGTTTAGCCCTTTTTCCATTATACCTACCAGTGTATGTAAAAGTGAATCCCACAAACCCTAGTAATCTGTAGGAAATAAGATTTTCATAAGAAAACGTCAGTGCTAGAGACATGTTTTCCTTTTAAAAAATACGAACATGGGATTAGGAATGTTTATAAAAATATTTCATGATTTCCAGTAGTTTTTTCATTGAAAATACTTATTTTCCTCCCAGTTTCTCCTCCAGTTCATACTGGATATTCCATGCCTCAAGAGTCACCAGCCGAGTCTGTGGCCAAGTTCATTTGGATAGAAATACCCTCCTCCGACTCGCTCATTGATCCATTTAGCCTTGGGGTGGAATGGGCACCTAATTAGCTGGGATTCCAGGAAGCGTGAAAGACCTTTTGATTTTTTCTCATGCCGGAAAATAAAAACCAGTCTTTTAATGTTTTCATTCTACTTATAAGTTTGTAGACTGGGTATAGCTTTGTAGGACTGCCCATTAAAGATACATATTTAATGTAACTGAATGAATGAATGAATGGAAAAACATTGATTCATCATCTACTGTGTGCTTCACACCTCACTGTGATGCAGAAGCAGTCCCTGCCCTCAAGGAGTCCAAGCACAGAGGGCAGGCGTAATGTGGGGAGCTGTAGGAGGAGTCAGATGGGCTACAGGAGAGCAGCTCGGTCACCAGATCATCAGCAGTGGCACTGTTGTGCTTCATAGCTCCAGAGCTGGAATGGGGAAGGAGGTAGCGAGGCCGCTGAGCTGGCGAGGGCTGAGATGACTGGACAGGAAGGGGTGCCGTGAACTCTGGGGCCTGAAAGTGTTTCGAGCCATGGTTAAGAGGCAGCCCATCTGGAACCCAGGACTGTCAGGCAGTGAAAGCCTGTGGGGGCAGGGGCAGGAAGGTGGGCATTGAAGGGACTGGATGCTCGTTGTTTTTCTGTTCTGAGGGGTAATCAGAACTTGAGGTGGTCTCGTAGGAAACAGCCTGGAAGGAGAAAGTCAGTGCCGTCCTTTCTTTCACCTTGAGAACCCTTCTCTGTCCAAACCCCCGCAGGTTCCGAGCAGCCTGGACGGCCGGGCAGCCATGGCTACGTGCGCTCCCCTTCTCCCTCAGTGAGGACACAAGAGAATCTTCTGCAGCAGAGATCCACTATTTTCCAGGGGCCCAACGGAGCCAGCGTCATCACCCCCTTGGATCCCGCCGCGCAGCTGCGCATCATGTAGGTGCCGCGTGCGTCTCTTCCCAAGGAAGCTTTCAGCTCCTGCTCCTCTTTTGGATGGGTTGAAACCGAATGTCATTAGTATATAAAAACACGCTTCTGTTCTACAAGTCTTGACTTTTGTGCAGTGAATTCGTGTTCTCGTGCGGCTCTCAGTGAATAGGCCCATCCTCCATAGGCACCTTCAGCTCCTAACTGTTTGGGAATGTGTTGGCAGTGGACATTCGGTCACAGATGAAATCCCCTGCGTCCGGTTTTTGCAGTTCCTTGTCATTGTCAGGAATAATGAGGCCTCATTCTGACGCCATTTTAGTTCACCAAGTACTTTTACTCCCTCATCACATGTGGCCCTCACCGCAGCCCCTGAGCTAGCTAGGCAGGGCCCGGGGACGTCAGGGAGGTGCCCGTGGCAGCCCCGAGGCAAAGGGCGGTGATGCAGAGAGGTGCCGACTGAACGCCTCTTTTCCGACTCTTCCTCCAGTTCTCTTTCCTCTCCACCACTCGCCCGCCCGTTGATTTGTCGCTGTTACTTATTTGCAGGCAGCTGCCCCCCGGCGGGCCTTCCCTAACTCCAGGCTTGCCTGCTTCCCGCTACAACACCGCAGCCGATGCGCTGGCTGCTCTGGTGGACGCTGCTGCTTCAGCCCCTCAGATGGAAGTGACCAAAGCGAAAGAGAGTAAGCACGAGGCATCACGGCTGGAGGAGAACCTGAGAGGCAGGCCAGCACTGGCTGGTGAGCAGCAGCAGCAGCAGCAGCTGGAGCAGAAAACCCTGGAGGCAGACAAGAGGTCCGTCCAGTGCCCGTACACCTCCTCCGCGTTCCCGAGCGGCAAGCCGCAAGGCCAGTCGTCTTCAGTCGTTTATTCTGAGGCGGGAAAAGAGAAAGCCCCTCCCCCTAAGTCTCGGTATGAGGAGGAGTTAAGGACGCTGGGAAAGACCACCATCACCGCAGCCAACTTCATCGATGTCATCATCACCAGGCAGATCGCCTCGGACAAGGATGGGCGGGAACGCGGCTCTCAGAGCTCTGACTCTTCCAGTAGTTGTATGTATCCCAGCCTCGGCTTCTGAAGACCGGGAGTTCAGTCACTGGGTGCCAGGCAAGGTAGAGTAGGCCTAGCTTCAGGGCCAGAGGCTTCCCGAGGTGTATGTTTACTGAAAAGAGGCGCGTGGCGGTAGCAGCATCGAGTTGTCCGCAGAAGCGTGATGGCTGACACCGCCGGCCCAGCCAGGCGCCTGTCAGGGTGTCCTGGAGGAGTGGGAAGGCCACCGAGTGGGCTAAGACAGAGGAGAGGCATTGGGCCTTTGCTTTAGAGCCAGTGCCAGAATTCCAAATAAGACACGCCACCCAGAGCTGGGGGGTAATTAAGTGAGATTCAGTAGCATTTCTTTCATCCACATTAATGGAGTTGGACAGAAGCACCCATTATCCCAGAATCATTTGTTTGACCATACATTATATGTATGTGCAATTTATGTCTATACACACACACACACACACACACACACACACACCACACAGAGAGAGAGAGAGAGAGAGCTAGGTGGTGCCATGGTGCACAGAGCACCAGGCCTGGAGTAGAGAAGACTCATCTTCCTGACTTCATATCTGGCCTCAGACACCTACCAGCTGTAGGACCTGGGGAAGTCACTTCACCCTATTTGCCCCAGTTTCCTCATCTGAGCTGGAGAAGGATGAGCAGAATCATCTCACCTGCCTTTGCCTAGTTGGCATGGGAGGCAGGCCTGGAAGACGTAGGATCTAGGGATTGGCAAAGTGAGACAAACTGCTGGGGAGATTTCTCCCTTTTTTTGAGGCATTCAGGGTTAAGTGACTTGCCTAGGGTCACACAGCACGTAAGTGTCAAGTGTTTGAGACCGGATTTGAATTCAGGTCCTCCTGACTCCAAGGCCAGAGCTCCATCCACTGTGCCACCTAGCTGCCCCTGGGAAATTTCTCCTTTGACCATAGCTGTCACATGATGATGCTCTCTTCCTGGAAAGAAGAGCTCTGTGGCAGAGAGAGCTGGGAAGGAAGGAGTAGGAAATGGGCCAGGGAACATTCAGGGGTAAAGTCCTAAGAACTATGTGGTATCAGAACAAGAACCAGAAGGCAGCAGGTCCACATAACCAACATCATTCATTGGACATTGGACTTTTCTCCTTGTATGTCTCAGTTTAGGCCAGATTCAGTAGGTAGAGCTAACGCTGCCCTTATTTAAAACTTCCTCCGCCATGTTCAACCTCAGGGAAAGTTGAAGCCCCTGTTCCTGCCACGTGGGATTGTAGCTCCTTAGGAACTAAACCCAAAGGTGGGGTGGGAGACATTTGTAGTCATGCTCTCTGGAGGGTGTAACTGGGCATTTAAGACAGTAGTAGCCATTCTTGTTTTTTTTTTTATAATTGGGAGTTATGTGCGGGTTCTGGTAGGTTCTCCACTAGCTTGCCATCTTTTTTTTTCTCTCGCCAAAAACACCAGTTGGATGTAAGGACCATTTATTTTCCTCCAAGTATTCCCTAACATTTCTGTACGTTGCCTTGGCTTTACACAGTAGTTTAGAGTTTATTTGAAGTGACTTTGGTAATTGCACCTCATTCCAGTTGTCTACAAAAATGCTTACAGACAGCTTTTCATGTACTGTGTCAGAGAAGCAGTGTGGGTGGCTTATAAATCTTTCTTAGGAATGTGAATTGTCTGCATCAGAACATCAGAATTAGGCAATCAGCCTTAAGGCCTATGCCTCTATTACCCAGCTTCAGAAAGCACTTCACTGAGCCATCTTTCCCAGGATAGCACTACTGTTCTTCTCTTGGCCTGCTATTAGCCTGTTTTTTAGAGGATTCATAAAATGATGGTGATGGCGCTGTCATCTGTCCTTTGTGATTTGTAACATTGAGGAAAATATTAATTGTGGTAAAGACATCTTTGAAAAGCAAATCTATCGCTTTCTTCTATTCCATAAATTGTATAGTTTTCTAAATTAAGGGTTATCAACAGGGGAATGGAATACTTTTTTTTCATTGAAATTTGTGGGCAGGTTGAAAATGATTTGTTTTCTAATATATACATTCCCTTTCTTGAAGTGTCATCTCATCGATATGAACCGCCTGGAGATGCTATTGAGGTGATAAGCCCTGCCAGCTCACCAGCACCACCCCAAGAAAAACTCCAGGCCTACCCGCAGGAGGCCGCCAAGACAAACCCCGCAGAAGGTGAGGCTTTCTGAAAGCTGAGGCTCTTTGTGTTGAAGTCTGACCAACGTCAAAAAGCATGAGCATTTGCCTTTTACAAAGAAGTACAGAAAAAGAAAATTACATATGAAGCCGTGAATCACTGTTGCTTACAGCTTGGCTTTTTAAAGTTAGATTCTCACACCTACCAGTTTCCTTTTTTGTGTTGGACAGATGCTAGTATGTGCATATGCTCTTCATTTTTAGCATTAACTAAAAATGTTAAAATTGGTCTTTGTTTTAGATTGTTACCTTTCAGTAAACTCTTTGCTTCTGAAAAATTTAAATATGGTTTTTTAATTTTAGAATGAATCTAGAAACTTACATAGATGCACTATTGAAAATAACTACTGACTGAAGAAACCTTGGTTTCTCGGTTCTCTTTTGTGAATCACTGACATTTTGATCCAAGAAGAGGCGAGTTCTGGTTGTCAAGATTGGCCTGGTTCACTGCTCGGCCCCTGATTCTGACGCATGCTACCCTTTGCTTTCTGTTGTCATCATCCTGAGGGTGAAAAAATGATTGAGGCTTTTTTTCCTCTTGAATGTGGTTTTAAATGTGTTATGAGTTGAGAAGTCCTTTGAGGAGATACCTTTGAAATTAGCTTAATGATCAGAGGATCATTAGCAGTGGGAGAAAGTCCTCACTGAAAAGCCCCCTTGGTGTCTGTCACACATTAGGTGATCCCAGTAGACAGTATGATGGATCGCTGCCTCGATATCGACCCCAACAAGAGTCTCCATCCCCGCAGCAGCAGCAGCTGCCGCCACCACCACCTTCTTCCCAGGCAGAAGGCATGGGACAGGTTCCTCGGACCCACCGGCTCATCACACTCGCTGACCACATCTGTGTAAGCTTCTGGCTAGGCTTCCTGCGGGGCTTGGGGGTGTTCCGATTTGTTCCCAAGGGGAGGCTCCAGCAAGGAGTTTGGTGAGGTTCCTTCTCTGTTCATGTACATCCGTCCCCCTTTCCCCTCGCCCCCCACCTGCTTTTTTTTTCCTCCAAATACCAAATTCTTCTGTTAGAATGCATGGGTGTGTTACAGATGCTTAACCACCTCCTTCTTTCCCCATTAACAGCAAATTATTACACAAGATTTTGCTAGAAACCAAGTTGCCTCGCAGGCTTCCCAGCAGCCTCCCACTTCTACATTCCAGAATTCAGCATCTCCTTTAGTATCTACTCCTGGGAGGGCAAAAACATCAAGCCGTTACAGTCCAGAGTCCCAGCCTCAAGCTGTCCTCCATCCGCGGCCCGGCTCCAGGGTGTCTCCTGAAAATCTTTCTGATAAATCCAGGGCAAGGTAAAGGATTTGCAGACTCCGTGCTGAACTCACTTCCTTACACTGATGTAAAACTGATCGCGTCTGTCCGCCTCCTGCCTTCTCAGCAGGCCTCCTTGGTGCCTGTTGTCACGCCCCAGACCTTGTCTGTTCTGTGGCTCTTATGGGCCCAGGAAAGGGACCACGGAGATTAGGATTAGTTACATTGTTGCCTTTAGTTTATTTTAATCAGGGTGGAGTGGGGAACAGAAGGGTTGTACTCATTGTTTTGGATGATTCAGATGCCTTTTCTCATCCCCTTTGTTGTAGTTATGCGGACCTTGATTTTTTTAGATGTAATTTTGTATAGCCACTGATGAGGAAAGAGTATCTCTGAGTACTGTAACAGGGAAACTAGGTGTCTTATGCTGAGAAATAGAAAAGCTCACGTCTCTCTAAAGGGACTATTTTGAACACGTTGCCTTTGGAATCCAGCTGAAATGCCATGGAAAGGTTAAATGGAGTGAGAAGGGCTCGTTAGCACAGCAAGCACTCAGACTTCACTGTCAGAGGCGTGGTGTTCAGAGGAGCTTGGTGTGGAGGATTTCTTTCCTTTGTCAACTCTCACACAGACTGACCCAAAACCAAAGCTTTGGTTCTATGTAGGAGCAGCCTGAATGAGAAGCTGCTTCCTAGGTGAAGTTGCTCATACTCCCCCCCCCCCCAATAATGTTCAGATCAAAATAGTTCTCTTTACCTTCTTAGCAGACAGAGGAAGATTTTAAATTAAACTCAGGGGAGGAGGTTAATTAATAGCTCATGGACCACAGTGATCAGTGGAAAGGTCTTCCGGGTGCTCCTGGAAACTAGCAGGGGTGGTGAGGAGGGCCTCGTGGAAGGAGCCTTTCTCCCCGTTCTGGGCGTGCAGGCCTGTTACCAGTGCTGTCAGTTACTGGCTAATTCCCACTGGTGACAGATTAGGCGGAAGGCCATCTTTGGCCCATGACACAGTAGTGGTATCGTGACTCCCTGAGGCAGCAGCAAATGAAGTGACAGCACAAAACCTGGCTTTACGAAGGCATAAGGCTTTGTGGCTTTTGCTCTTTTCTCATGACGTGTATCTTATAATCTCAGGCCTGGGAAATCTCCAGAAAGAAGTCATGTCTCCTCAGAACCCTACGAGCCAATCTCCCCCCCTCAGGTTCCGGTCATCCACGAGAAGCAGGACGACGTCCTGCTGCTTTCTCAGAGCGCTGTGCCCACGGAGCAGAGGTGAGCCCAGAGCGCTGGCGGCGGAGGGGGCCTCGAGCTCGGCGGATTCTCGTTGGCCATTAGCATTCTTCTCTTGCTTCTCGGGACCTGCTTCTGCTGGGTGCCTCCCTCGCACAGGCACACGAGCCGTTGCGCTCGGTGGGCAACTGCATTTGGTGTCAAAGACTTGGGTCCGAGTCCTGGTTCTGGTTCTGCCTGCCAAGTCATCTCTGGCCATTTAAAATCGCCTCATCTGTAAAATGAGGGAAATCACGCCTTCAGTGTCCCTTACAGGGCCGCTCTGAGCATCGGCGAGTTAATGTATAGACAGGGCTTTGTGACCACCAAGCCTTCTATTCACGTGAACTGCTGTAACTGTCGTCTTGTATGTCCTCCGCTAGACTGTCAGCTTTGTGAGGGCAGGAGCTGCTCTCTTTCATCTTTCTATCGGTCAACATGGCACGAATGAAAGGCTTAGTCATAATGCAGGATCGTGTTCTTCCTCTATAAGGATTTTACTTTGTGATCTTTAGACGCCAGAATACGTAAATGGTTGTTCTTGTTTAAAAAATCAAAGTTGTTCTTTCTTCTTTTTGGGGCTGACCAATCCCAGTTCTTTTTATAGCTTTATTAAAGAACTTACTATAATCCTTCATATGAGACTATGGAATTCCTTCTTCTGTACCCCATCTCGGATTAGAACGTGCACGTCTCTTTATTGTCCCTGGGGTTATCATGTCATTGTCTACTTTGGGGCCTGACGTGAATTTAACCAAAATAACAAGTCAGTTCTTAAGGTATACTGCAGGTACCAGGATGGTGAGATTTCCATCTGTAAAGAGATTGAGTTCTGCCTTCCTCATACTGTAGTTCATCCATCAGAGGGCCTTGAGTGATTATTGCAACACATACTATCTAGCCCCATTTGGGAAGATGGCTTTATTCTAATGATAAGTATCTTTAATATGAATAATGTAGTTTGCACAAAGCTTGAACTAACATTGTATGTGAGGACTTTTCAAGACCTTTGTGAGAATTTGTCGAATGAGAGATCAAATGGGTAGTTGTGTCTTTAGATGGTTGTAACAGCATGAGCGGCAGCGTTGTGCAGTGGCAAGAGCCTTAGATTAGGAAACAGAGGACCCGAGTTCAAATCCTGGCTCTGCTGCTCTGACAACCCATGGTCATTTCACCTCGGATTCCCTTCTGGTCTATAATCCAGTTTAGAGACCGAGGCTAATCCGCGTCTTAGGAGCACAGTTAACAGTAAGTCCTAACAAAAGGGAAAGGACCTTTTGGTGGTTACGATAGGTGGGAAGCTTTCAGTGGCACTACATCAGTGTTTTCAACAAGAGACATCCCTGAATACCTGTGAGGGCCACACTGCAATAGCTTGACATTGTGGTCTTCCTTCTAGGAATGATTCCCGCTCGCCAGGAAGCATAAGCTACCTGCCTTCCTTCTTCACCAAGCTGGAAAACACTTCCCCCATGGTGAAATCAAAGAAGCAGGAAATTTTTCGTAAGTTGAACTCCTCTGGTGGAGGTGACTCTGACATGGGTAAGTGGGACTTATTTTATTAGCTGTATCTCAAATGTACTAGTAGTGACACTCTTGAAGTCACATTTTACCTCTCATCTCTCAGAATGCACCAATAAGTTTTGTAATTTTGTAATTAAGGAAGAATTACTGAATAACCAATGACTGTGTTTGTAGTAACAGTATAAAGATGTAGATGAAAAATTGTAACGATTGTCAGTACCCTAAGTGGTGCCTAGAATGAGAAATGTGGAGAGTGGAGAGGAGAGGCTAAGACCCTGAAATAATAAAGCTTTTGAGTACTTATTATTTGTTTTGATATGCATGATTGGTTCTAGATAGTGAACTTAAATATTTAATGTCTCATTCCAGCAGCTGCACAGCCAGGAACTGAAATCTTTAATCTGCCAGCAGTCACTACCTCAGGTAAAACAAATAATGAAAACTTAGCCTTTTGGCTGAGGCTGAATATGACATAATGGGAAACACTGATTTTGGTCTTGACCTAAATTCAAATCTTGACCCTGCCACTTAACTACCACTTATTGTCTTTTTTTTAATTCATTTTTTTTAATTTTTAGTTCCAAGTGTTCTACCTTTCTCTGACCCTCATCCACCTATCTAGAAGGCAAGAAATATAATATCCACTATACATATAAAGTCATACAAAACATTTCTGCATTAGCCATGTTCTGCCTCCCCTCCTCCAAAAAAAAAAAGCAAGGAAAACACAGGAAAATTCTACACTCAGGCCCTCAGTTTTCTCTCTGGAGTTGAATAGCATTTTATATCATGAGTCCTTTGGAGTTCTGGTGGATCATTGAATTGTTGAGAATAGCTAAGTCAGTCACAGTTGATCATTGTACAGTATTGCTATTACTTTGTACAGTGTTATCCTGGTTCTGCTCATTTCACTTTGCATCAGTTCATGTAAGATTTTTCCAAAGCCATTCCCTTCATCATTTCTTCCACCACAATAAATATTCCATCACACTCACACACCATAATTTACTCAGCCATTCTCCAATTGATGGGCATCCCCCCCCCGATCCAACACTTTGCAACCGCACAGAGTTGCTATAAACATTTTTGTACATATAGGTCCTTTTCCTCTCTCTTTTTTTAAAAAAATCTCCTTTGGATATAGTGGTTTTGCTGGGTCAAAAGGTATGCAGATTTATAGCCTTTTGGGCATAGTTCCAAATTGTTTTCCAGAACGGTTGGACCAGTTCACAACTCCACCAACAGTATATTAGTGACTCTGCTTTTCCACAAACCCTTTAGCATTTGCCATTTTCCTTTTCGGTCATGTTAGCCAATCTGATAGATGTGAGGTGGTACCTCAAAGTTGTTTTAATTTCGCACATCTCTGATGATTAGTGATCTAGAGCATTTTTTCATATGACTATTGAGAGCTTTGATGTTATTTCCTCTGAAAACTGCCTGTTCATATCCTTTGACCTTTTATCAATTGGGAAATGGCTCCTATTTTTACAAATTTGATACAGTTCTTTATGTGTTTGAGAAATGAGGCCTTTCTTCGAAAATTTTACTGCAGACTTTTTTCCCCAGTTTCCTGCTCTTCTAATTTTGGCTATGTTGGTTTTATATGTGCAAAAACTTTTCAGTTTTATGTAATTGAAAATTATTCATTTTACATCTTGTACCACTGATTTTCTATGTGACTTTAGACTTCATTTAACCTCTCTGGGCCTATTTCCTCATCTGTACAATGGGAAAGTCAGATTAATTGATCCCATTCAACTCATAGGTATGGTCCTATTTTGTGACCTTGGAAAGTTACCTGACCTCTCTGAGCCTTTATCACATCTATAAATTAAGGATGTTAATTTGACAGGATAATAAATAATCTTTGAAATTCCTTTCACCTCTAAATCTCATGGGCCTGGAATCATTGAACTTAGGGGCTACATGATAACCCCTAAATTAACAAGGTAGTGGAAATGAGCCAACTGAGAATCATTAACTTAAAAGAACAGCGCATTAATCGTATTAAAGGCAAGGAGAAAGAGAAGGCAAAGAGAAGCTCCTAACCTGGGGGTTGGGACCTTTTTTTAAATGCTGACAGTTGTATTTCAGTAGAATTGGTTTCCTTTGTAATTCTATGTATTTCATTTTATGCATTTTAAAACATTATTTTGAAAAGGGATGCATAAGGGGCAGCTATGTGGCGCAGTGGATAGAGCACTGGCCCTGAAGTCAGGAGGACTTGAGTTCAAATCCGGCCTCAGACCAAACACTTGACACTTACTAGCTGTGTGACCCTGGGCAAGTCACTTAACCCCAATTGCCTTTAAAAAAAAAAGAAAAGAAAAGAAAAGAAAAGGGATACATAAGATACACCAGACTATTGCCAGGGGGTACATAACACTGTCAAGGTTAAGAACTTTAGGTATAAGGAGATCAGAGGAGAACATGTGAGGATTTAAGGAAGAGTAATGTTAAGTATCAGTTTAGGTGTGATTGGGGTTCACTTAGGAAGAGAAACACACACATCAGTGAGCTGCCAGGCATCTAGCTCCTTTTCGTGAATTGTTGGGTGAGATGTAGACTGAGGTGCTCCGATGCTGATGGCATCTGAGAGTTCTGTGTTACCAGATTGATTTCTCTTTTCCTGCTGCTCTCTTCTTGTAGTGGCCCCAGCCTTCTTGTAGTGGTTCATCAGACGTTTGGATTCTTTTTCCTTCAGGCTCCATCAGTTCTAGAGGTCATTCTTTTGCGGATCCTGCCAGTAATCTGGGTCTAGAAGACATAATAAGGAAGGCTCTCATGGGAAACTTTGATGACAAAGGAGAAGATCATGGAGTTGTCTTGACACCACCTATGGGAGTAGTATCAGGTGGTTCAAACCCATCCATGTTGGGCAATAGTGAAACACGCAGAGAGGAAACAAACCCATCGCCCAATTCTGGTAAAGCTTGTTAAAAACTTCATATGCCCATGTAAGTTGGGATCGCTTTTTAGAGATACCTGTTAGGCCTACGCCAGTGACACTGAGGTGTGAGGGAAGCCACCCATCTTTTCAGTGCTGGTAATGTGAAGGAAGTTCGGTATTTTGTTATCAGCTCCTAAGAAGCCATATCCACCCTCACTTTTAGGGAGAATGTGTTTAGGCTGGAAGGTCAGAAAGAAAAGAGTAAGAAATAATATATGCTCTTTCCACCATATTACAGATGTTAAAGAAGAGAGGAATTTGTTTCAGAGCATTTATGCTCCCACTAAGGGTGCTCAGTTATTTCTTAAGCAGTTTAGATTTCTCCAGGAAATTGGTTTACTTTATTTGTATTCAGTTTGTGTGTGTATTTTGTATGCTTTTTATGTTAGAATCCTGATGTATCAAGAGTGATTTTTTCTTTCACATGAATCTTGCTTGCAGGCGGGGGAGTTGGCAAACCGAAGCTAATAGGCAAGTCAAATAGTAGGAAGTCTAAATCGCCTCTTCCTGGTCAGGGCTACTTAGGAACTGAACGACCTTCTTCAGTGTCATCTGTCCATTCAGAAGGAGACTACCACAGGCAGACTCCTGTGTGGGCCTGGGAAGATCGGCCCTCTTCCACAGGTGAGAAATTTACTTACTGGGGGGCTAGAAAGCATTTCTGACTACTTTTATCTATATTTATCCATAGCTATTGTTTCTTTCCAAGGCAGTACTTTTACATCTTGAGAACTGTGTTCCCCACCAGTCACTGTTTAGTGCACAGCTCACTGTCCAGCACAGAATCTGGGTGATCCGGGCACCGCAGAAATGCCTGACTTGGGTTTCTGGTGAGAGAGGTGGGGGGGAGGGGTTGGGAAAGCGACTAGTCTAATCAGCTGTGTGGTTTCTGAAACTAGTGGAGGCATCCATAAGCATGCAGTTCCTAGCAAGTAAAGGGCTGTTTTCTGTAGATAGGGATAAGCTTTTGTAGGCTCAGGTGTTTTCATCATCTGGTGCAAATGATCCCTAGTAGCAGGTGCCACTCCTGAGACATTCACCTTTAGTCTTTCAGCATTCCCTTTCATCTGGGCCTCCGAGTTTGGAAGTCTTAAGTTCTGCTGTGGTGCATGGATTTGACTGGGGGTTCTTGAAGGCTGGGCCCAGTAAAACACATTGAACTTAGGGCATATTCTTCCTGCCATGTTGGAAAGGCTTGAGAGGACAGTCTCAGCCAGAATGGCACGTGTTCTCTGAGGGCTGGCTTAGGTGAACACCAGGAGGCTCAGCACCGAGGGGCTGGCTGCTTGGGCCATGACCACATGTGGTTGATTTTTTTTTTTTGGCTAGGCAGTGGGGTTAAGTGACTTGCCCAAGGTCACACAGCTAGTAAGTGTTACGTGTCTGAGGTCGGATTTGAACTCAGGTCCTCCTGAGTCCAAGGCTGGTGCTCTATCCACTGCGCCACCTAGCTGCCCCGCCATGACCACATGTGGAACAAGGAATTGTACAAAATGGCCCCTTCCTTTTCTACAGTGATGGTGCCATAGTGGCCAAAAAAGGCAGCAGAGGGTGAAACGAATCGGCATTTAAAAAGTATCTATGAATACCAACTCACTGGTCACCATACTTAAAATTGTAAGCATTTATGTAGAGCTTTGGAGAGTATTTTTTATATTAGCTGTTTTGATCCTCACAACACCATGTGAGGTAGGTTCTATTATTATCATTCCCCATTTTATGGATGACAAAACTGAAGTTGAGAGAGATTCAGTGATTTGTCCAGAGTCACACAGTTAGTAAGGATCTGAGGTGGGATGCCACCTGGGGTCAGGGACTATCCAGAGGAACTAAATTGCCCCTTCTAAAATGTAAATGAAACCAGAAAGAAAAAAAAAAAGTGTAGCTGATTGGCAGAGTGACCCCGAGAATGGAATTGGCTGAGTTGGTTTTCTCTTAGACTACGTCCACACTCCCTGATCTGGAGAGACTGACTCCTAAAATCCATTTTACTAAGTATGCTCAGCCAAGATATGTGCAGGTGCAGCTCTGCAGGTCTCCATGTATGGAGAGGCACCCAAGTCAGGAATAGCAGCCCAGATAAATAGTCTGTCAAATCTGAGGCACTATCTTCTGTTCTTTGTACCGGTTTGTATAGGATTCCCCAAGAAACCCTTTTACCCTATCCCCATTGTAGGTGTCCGTGCATCCTGATCCTTCCCCATTGGGCCCAAGTCCTGAGCAAAGCAGATAATTAATGCCAAAGGCATTCTCCTAGTCCAGGGTCTTGGTCCTTCTGCAGCCACAGGGGGATCGCCCAAGTAGGGGAATAGAGAAGAGTTCCCCAGGATCTGAATAACCAATGCCACCTAATCGGACAGATGATGCACCTGACTGGCCATGAGGTCAGTGTAGTAGCACATGCTGATTGTCAGTGCACCAAGAAGACAATAGCTTGGGCCAGAAAACTGACTGCAGATACAGATGCTAACTAAGGGCTTACAGCCCACCCACCCCTTGCTTGGAACTCATCCTGTGGCCTGTGGTGAGGGCCTTCCTGCCTTTTGGTCATCTGTCTGGGCTGTAGGTCCTCTTCCTGTGGCCAGCACTCTATAGGGCAGTGAAAACACATTCTTTGGCTTAAAAGTATAACGAAATCCCCTGCCTGTCCCAACATTGTTCTAGAGGTGAAGGCGGATTCTGTCTCCAGCATTATTCCAGCTACCCAAGGAACAATATATGACTGTTGGTACAGGCTGATAGGACCTAGCCTACTATATAAATGGTCACCCTTTGTATAGCATTAGCCACCTTGCCTCTCCTGCCTCCACAAGGAGGCCTCATCTGCCGGTCTAGCAAGGGACATGAAGCAGTCCACACAGACAAGCATCAAAGCAGTTTTTAGCCTCCACGTTATCACAAAGAGGCACCCAGAGCTGACAGTAGAAGTGGCAGGTGGTCTGAAAATATGTGCCTTCAAAGGGTGACAGTCTTTTTCATGGAGAATTCAGTAGGCTCAAGCTTGGCACATTCTTGAGCCCTGCCCATCCTATTAAAGTTCATGTCTGTGGTGTAGTTAGAAATCTCTGCCATGCCTTCCAGGGAGATGCCCTCACCAGAGGGTCATAGTGCATGAAGGACACATCAAGGAGTGTCCATGAACTTGCCCTTCTGTCATGGGCTGGGCTGATAAAGTAACAGCCTGAACTTAGACCCATCTCCACACACCAAACAAATCCATGCTATACTGAGGCTAATTTATGTCTGTAATAGAGGCCCATCTTACTGGTTGTCCTGCCATCTTGATCCAGAAAGAAGTCTTTCTCTCATTTTTACTGACTGCCTAAACCTCTCTCCTCCATGGAATCCCCAAGGATGTTGGTCCCTTAACTTCCTGTGGAAAGAACTGAACGAGTTTTGGGAGCACTCTTGACGATCTAAATTTCGTAAGGTCGTGTTACACGGGAGGTGGTGGACTATAAACAGGTGCTGGTGGCTTTCCTTCTTTTGGTATTTCCTAACTGGGAAATTACGGGGCTGGTTATCAGTCTTCATGTTTTAATAATTATGTCCGTAACTCCTTCCTAGTAAAGCCCTCTGGGCTTTCCATCCTTAGAGCAAGCCGCCCAAGAGGGAGGGCAGCACTGCGCAGGTCTGCTGATAATCCAGGGGGCTTATGCTGGATAAATCCAGATTTCCAAAGCGTACCTGAGCCAGCAGGAAGAATACTCTCCAGAGCTTACCTCTAATGGCTTCTGGAATAGGCTATTCCTAAGAGTCTGGGCAAGAATTACAGAGTCAATTAAGAATTCTTTACTCTTTCATTTCGTGAGCAACCTCCCCAGCCTGCCTTCACATTGTAAAAGGGTGGGCAGGGAGTTCATCCTTAGAGGGCCAAGATTTCTACCAGAACCCACAGGGACAGGGACAGCTTTCCTGTCCTTACTGCATAGGAGGTTAAAACAGACTGGAACAGGAAGGTGGCTGGCTAATTTCCCCAACTTACAAAATTCAGCTTCATTCAATAAGTCAGTATCTACCCCCATTGGACAGGAATCAGTTAGCCAAGTCTCTAAACCTCCTCCTCCGAATATTTGGCTGGCAAGCATCTCACCTCTTCTCCCCCCCCCCGCAATCTTTGCCCATTTTCCTATCACAGTACACCTTGGGATAGTGGTAGAATATGCCTTTTTGGTCCCAATATTTAAAGGAGGCCTGGCTTGGGCCAAGATGAACAGGAAGAACTAGCATAAGAAGAATATCTCTTCTTTCAGTCCCCATCCTCCTCCCAAACTTCATCTCTTATTTTTCCAGAGCAACAAGTTGTTTTAAAATTCCAGCAGATGGTCCCTGTAGCGTCACTAGGGGAAGGGAGCTGCTTTTACCTTCACCTGGATTATCACAAATTCCCTGAATTGGCCCTCTACTTCCTGTGCAGCATCCCTGGCTCAGACTCACTTAATTTCATTGTGGTTCATGTCATGGTCATCTTCTCAATAACCATCAGAAACAGCCAAGGAACAATGAATCCAGCGGTGATTTTACCCCCTCGCTGACTCTTCCACTGAGCCCAGTTGGCCACCTTGTATGGATGTGCAGCTTTGTCCCGGCCATGGAATTCATCCCCCAGAGCCACCAAACGCAGGGACTAATACCCAGCCATCCTGGCAGTAGGGCACACTTTTCTTCCCCATTGCCATTCCACTCTCTTAGCAAGCCACGAGCTCACTGTCAACCTCGTCAGATTCTGCAGACGACACCAGGTGTCTGAGGCCAGATTTATGTTTGCCCCAAACACAAGATTATGATCTTGAGAAACTGAATCAATGAGACATAATTTTTTTAAAAGGATAACCCCATTACTAAATACTAATGCTCATAAAGGAATATTTCTACAATGACCATAGGTATTGAATAGGAATGAAGGGAAATAGAAGAGCTTTATTCTCTTCTTGATAACAGTTTGTATAAGATTCCCCAGAAAAGCATGCCGGCCGTCTGGTTCCTCTGGTCTTCCACTACCAGGCCGCATGGCTTTCATCAGCCCCGTTAACCCCAAGCCCTGGGAGGGACAAGCGGTGCCTGAGACAGTGGAGTGTCCAGAGGCTCAAGAAACGTCTCACGGCACATTTGACTGCTTCTGCTGAGGGTGTTTTTTATGAGCATTTGACAACATCACCATGAAATCACATGTTGCACATGCACAGGAGAGCTGCAGAAGATGAGGGAGTAGAGAAATTACAGGAGGAGTAGAAGGGAACCCCCCCTCCCCCGTTAAGTCAACATACACTTTGATATGTTCAGTGATTTCAATACAAGGTGAGTGTGGGGGAGGATGGTGAAAAACAGGTTAGGGTTAGGGTTAGCCATGAGAAACGAGGCCAAAGGTTTGTACGCTACACAAGGGCCTCGTCTTATGTGATGGATCAGGTGTTCTTAACCTGGGGTCTGTAAGCTTAAAAGAAAAGACATTTTGATAACTTTTGACATGATTGGTTTCCTTTGTAATCTCACATATTTTGTTTGATGCATTTAAAAGCTTTATTCTGAGAAGTCCATAGGCCTTTACCAGATTGTCACAAGTGTCCATGGCAAAAAAACAGTTAAGAACCCCTGTCTAAATAATTTGTTCGAGTAGAGTTGGGAGGTGCTGCATATGCCAAGTACCAAATAACACTTTTTAAATGGAATTGATTATATTTTAACAGACAGGAGATTAATTGTAACCGATTTGGCATACAGGCCTACATACGGTGTGGTGTACAGTCAGACCCTCAGCTTCTTAGAGCAAAGGGAAATGTTCATGTAAAACTAGAATAATCAAATAGAAAAAGGCAGAGTTCAATTTTTTAAAAAAACCAACAAATTCAACCTGACCTATTTAAATAAGATGTTTGTTGATGCCCCCAAATGAGAAACAGAACCAGATTATAACCGTTTTGGGAGACCAAGAGAGTGTAGAAAGCAACTCAGCCAGCGTACAGTTTAATCTCCTGACTAAACGGAGAGAGACGGACGGCAGCTGATGGCAACGTTGGTTTAGAATAGAAATGCCTTTGTAAAATCTTAGGGAGGAGGATCATGGAAGATTATGAGCAGTATCGCCTCATGAGACAGTGAGGAGATGTGGAGAGAAAGGCAAGGTTAAAAGAAGTGCGGAGAAAGACCTGACTGAGCAGAGTTATTCTGAAGATATGGAGATGGGGAGGAAAACAGACAGAAATGGAAGCTATTTGTAAAGACTTTATCACAAACTCTTTTCATCATGAAGGCCAGTGGGGCCACCACCTTCGCATCCTAGTCTCTGATGGCCCTCAAAGAGCACAAAGCTGGACTAAACCAAGGGGACACAGAGGAGGTCCATACTGGAGGCACCTCAATTCACAGGTATATGTAAGAGGGAAGGGATAGCAACGGTGCAGAAGGAACTCAGACTTTGGGACCAAAAAGGGGGACCATAGCCCTGCTTTCCCATCTGAACACAATGTTTGTGATGGTCTGTCCACACACTGAGGGCACCTTTGGAGGTATGAGAAGGGAACGGGCTGGCTTTCACAAATGGTCTGCTACTCAGTCTCGGTCACACAGTGGATTGAAAGGGTCAGAGTGTACAGGATCCTACCGTGCTGCCTGTTTATTGGCTACTAAAAAAACATATGACTCAGTTGGGGCAACATACACCTCCAAGGCCTTCCTCCAGCAAAGTGTTTCTGCCATATGTGTCAGGCATACAAGATTCCTTGAAAGATAGGACATATTGTTTTGTTCAGAAGTATCTGATTTGTTACCATCAAGCAAAGAAAATAAAAACAGGAAGATATGCCTGTAAGTGACAGAGGTAAGTCCAGTGCAGACCCTAATCAATCACAAGCATTTATTAAGTGGTTACTATTTACCAGGCACTGTGCTTAGGTGCTGGTGGTATATCTACTTAAAGAACTCGTATTTCACTGAAGGAAAACTACTTGTATACAGGTGAGTAAAAACACTCATGATGGAGGGAATCAGGGTGATGAAAGTGGCCCTTCAGCTGTCCCCTAAGCTCAGAAGGCAGAGCCCTGACTCCAGGGCTCCGTGCCTTACTTGTGTGAAGGCCGTGTCTGGAGAAGAGCAAGGAGGCCGGTTCGGCCAGAGAGCCTGAGGAGGAATAGAGGATAGAAGCAGCCCAGCACCTCCGTGCAGCTTGAAAAGTCCAATGGAAAAGTCTTTGTATTTTGTCCTAAAGGTGGTAGCTAGCCGCTGGTGCAGAGGAGTCACCGTGGTCAGACTAAATTAAAGAGGGTGAGGCTCTCCAGATGCATCTTCTTATGGATGGCTTCAAGCTGATTGCAGAAATTTGGCCCAGAAGATCTTAGGCGAGATCGTAATCACTCAAAAGAATTCAGCCTAACTCTTCATACAGGAAAGCCAAGTGATGAAGCATGCCTGCTGCTGTGTGGTAGATAACAGGCAGTTGGCTAGGCCCTCTATAGAGTCCATCACTACCTCTATCTTGGACAGATAATGTATATGAACAATGAGTTGGGCCCAGGATAGAACTGAGGGAGAGAGTGGGCCAACTTGACTTTAGGAAATTGTATAGTGCTTTTATTGACCTCCAACTTCTTCCTGAAACAAAGGCCCATATTTTAACCCCGGTATTCTTCCAGTAAATGATGTATGGCTGCGATTCATGAGATATCACACTCTCCAAAGGACTGTAAGAGAGGATCACCCAAAGGGCAGCATTAAGGCTCATGGACGAATGAAGAATTCGGAGAAATGCTTGACTGGAGGGCTCAGGGCCTGGCCACTGTATTCCATTGCTACCCACATAGTGTCAAGATAGAAGAAGTCTCTCAGCACGTCGGGACAGATGTGCAGGAATGCAGAGATGAAGATTACACAGCATGTACATGGGTGTGTTGGGACCTGCCTTCCTGGAAGAGGTGCCTCCTGAGAGAGACGGCCAGTCCGTCACAGTGTATACCTAGTGATGGTTAGAGCACGGGAAGAGGCGTGAGGAGGCTCACTCGCGCAGCCCAAAGCCTCCAGGCATGTCAGTTTTTAAGAAAACTTTCTCATATTCTCAGCATCAGCTTCCTTTCCTGTTCCCTCACCCTGAGATCCATCCCTTATAGCAGAACAAGGGGGAGATGATGCAGCCGAATCACTCAGGTCTTTTTCTGTGATTTTCCTGGCTCTACCGAGCTTACTTCTTAAACCGTCATCTCAAAAGATGGCTTCAGCTCCACGGCCCACACCGTGTTCTTGTGCGGGGGTTAGTCCTAGAAAGAGAATTGTGTTTGACCCGTCAGCCTGCATTTCAGTGGCACCATAGAATTAATAATGATTGTGAGTTAGCTTTAGGATTACCTCAGGTCACTTTAGTGGAAAATAGAGAATCCAATGGGAAAGAATGCACTGAACACCTTTTGCTTCCCAGGCCTGATTCATGAATTATATAACTGTCATATGGTGACTTAGTTCTTCAGCCAATATTCCTCGTAGCACAGAAGGGAAAGAACCTTGAACTCGGGCTCTCAAATGACTGTGTGATAATGGGCAAGTCACATAAATATTTTTTGTCCTCACTACCTCACAAGGTTGTGGTGAAGAAACTGCTTTGTAAAGCTTAAAGTGCTATCTGAAGGCGATTTCTTACTTGTTATTCCAAAATTCTTACGATATATCAGCTGAAGACTTTTTCCTGCAGTGGCAGGCTGCAAAAAAAAAAAAATAGTCTGATTAAATCTAGCTCAGAGCAATGATTGTCTCCAAGTTCTCAAGCAGTTGAGAATCCTGTTCCTTGGAGATGGCGGCAGGGGCTGGGAAATGGTCCAAGATCCCAGCGTGACTTGAGGATCGCCATGGCGTGCTCCCTCGCCAGCCTGCAGCCTCTTCTTCCTCCCCCACTTGGATTCAGGACGGCTACTTCATTTGCCCCATGAGAACTCTATCCCTGACCCTTCTGCCCCTCCCCTTGAGTTACAGACTTTGGAAATCTCCTAAGCACTATTCTTCTGCTAATAATGTGCCATAAAGCCATTCTTCAGTTTTCTTTTTTCATACTCAATAAAAGAGGTTTAAATATTTTTATTGGCTGCATTTTCTTGCGTCTTCAGTCACCTTGTTCTTTGTTTTGCCTTCACATGCCCTGTGACATTATTTAAAAAGCTCCTAAGGGGACCCATTGAGTGCCAAACACTGCTGCGTTTTGGGTGTGCAGTCTGTCAGGCACCTTTGCTCTCAGGTAGGCCACGTTCCGTGGCGTGGAAGTTCGTGGTGCCTCTTCCCCAGTATGAAGTTACCCCTTTCTTCTAACGACTCTATCATATCTCCCATAGTTTTGTGCCGATTTCTTGTTCAGTTCTACAGAAGGAAATTAAATTTTCCTAGGCCATATTCATTGATCAATAAAAGCCAAATTTTATTTTTGGCAGGTTCAACGCAGTTCCCTTTCAACCCTTTGACGATGCGGATGCTCAGCAGTACGCCGCCAGCATCGATCGCTTGCGCCCCCTCATCTGTGAGCCAAGCAGCTGCTCACCCACCAAACAGGATGTGGGAGCGAGAGCCCGCCCCGCTGCTCTCTTCACAATATGAGACGCTGTCAGACAGTGATGAATGAACTATGCACAGATTGACACTGGGGGGAGGGGTCTTTAGGTTTTTTTTGTGTTTGTTTGTTTGTTTTTCTCAGTTGCGGGTCTAAAAAGCTGTCTCTTGATTTGTGCCCAAAGAGACTTTCCAGGAGAGCCAGGGCCACACACAATGAAGAAATGATGGAATCTCATTTGGAGAGTCAAGTAGAAAAATGACTGTGATACAGCCCGTCAGGAGGATTTTAATAGTGGAGGGTGGAAATCCTGAAGATAAATATGTAAAGAGTTTTTAAAAAGTGGACAATTCCTGTTCTACATCTATTGTAAAGAAAAGCATAATGTCTTTAAATCATTCTACTGTAAATAGAGATTACCTTTTTGCAGTGTTTTCCCCTCACTATAGTATCTGGTGTACTTACTTATGTTCCAATCAGCGCATCGACTTTGGGGGTCATTTTTGTGATTTTTCTTTTTTAAAGCAACTTAAGCGTGACTTCAGAACTCTAGCCTTCCAAGCAACCTCATTCGGCCTTGTTACATTGCATTGGCCGTCACGGGCATTGTATTTTAATGATATGTTTCTCCTTATATTTCCCCAGTGATGTTTAAAATCTTTATGAAAATGTTGAGTTCTTCAGGTGGACCCTGTGACAGAACCTGTACATTATTATATTTGGGTCAGCCAGCAGAAGAGAACACGTTTCCTTCATTTAAAAAAGTATTCTGCCACAGTGTACATTTTTTTCAGTGCAGTCTTTTATTTTCATTTTTTAAAAGAAAAATGAGCACTGCAGCAATATTATTGCATGGGTATGTGATGATTCTGCTTGAAAAGGAAGAGGAGGCTCATATGAGGTGCACCTTGCTGTAATGCACACTGGTGACTTAACTACGACCCTGGGTATTTTTCTTTGCTGCCTTTGATGCAATCCAAAGAGGCTACTGTCTCATTCCCATCTCCATGGCCCTCGTGATCGGGTGGCTGATGAAGTAAGGCTGGGTGTCTCAGGTTCCAAGGGAAGTGTTAAACTTCCCCTGGTTGTTGTGTGGGCTTTTTTTTCTTGAGTTTTGTAGAGCCATCGAGCTATTTAACCAGTCTCAAGATATTTTAGTTTGTGCTCTACCGTATTGAACACTGTGTGAGTCACTGTCTAAATTTAACATTCTTCTGTTCTTTGCACAAACTAGTACTTACCCTCCCTCTGCTTCCCAGTTTTGGGGCCACACTTAATGTCAGACATCCTAACTGCATTGGCTAATTGAGCTACTTTTAAATTGGAGTAAGGAATTATTTATGGTTTAAGAATATCTTCCTAATCTCATTAATCACTGCCTGCTGAATTTTAGGTGTTTATTACCATGTAAGGCAGGCAACAGTCTATCCCTACCTTCCCTTTGCATCTAGGTATTACTTGGGAAGATGCCAGGTTTGTTTGGGTTTTAAATGGGTAAATAGGGCATAGAAGGGAGGTTCAGGTACAGTTTAAAATTTGCTGGGACTAATATACACTGAACCCTCAAAAGAATATCCACTGTCGTCCATGTTTATACACTTTAGAGAAGCCTGGGCCTCTCTTGAGGTTCATTAAGAGAAATTCTGAAGGAGTTCAAATATTTAGTTTCTGATACACGAAGGATGGACATCTGTGTTCACTTGGTTCTGTGATTACCTCCGATTTTATAATGGGATGATTACATCTGATTATCTGTTCAGCTTTAACTGTGGGAAATTTCTAGAATCTGAATGATTTTATGCTGTTAGTCCACAGGCAGCAACTGTTACAGTATTTTTCTACATGCTTGAAAATCCAAACCCATCCCAAAAAAAGGGGAAAAAATCCTATTCTTGGTCAAGTTTTCTTAGTAAGATGATTTTTTTTTAATGTGACAGAGGTCAAAATATAGAGACTTGGTTACTTTTCAGTTCTAATTGTGGACCCATGATGCTTTGCCATACTCATCACCTCCCTCCCAGAGTAGGAACCAAAACCCCCACACAACCCGTGTTCTATCTAATCTCTCGGAGGAAGTAACTTTCTGTTTGTACGACTGGACAGAGCCTCAGAGCTCCTGATGAGCCATTAAGTCCAACCCTGTCTGACCAAGAATCCTCTGTCCAGCACCCCTAGGGCATGAGGCTCACCATCTTCTCACATAGTTCATTCCACTTTTTGGCAGCTCTGTTTATTAGGTGGAGGAAAGGTCTTCTCTACAGCTCAGTCTGCCCCTTTCCCCGTGTGGTCTCAGTCCTCTGGGGTCAAGCAGAATACAGCTAATCGCTCCTCCTCATGATTGACAGCCATTCTATTCCTATTCCTCCAGCACAAGAAAGGTGGGGTATTTTAAGTGGCTTTGCCTGTGGAGCAAGCCCAGAGCGTCTGCTCCTTGGGTCAGAGCGTGAATTGGGGCATTGGTAGCCATGGGGGTTTCTGTGAAAGTGACAGAAGTCTCAGTCCTTCCTTGCTCTAGTGCATCCCTTCCCACTAAAGCTGCTGTTGCCCACAGACTTTCTGGCCTTCTAAAGTCCTGTTCTTGGAATGAAACCTTGAACCAGCGTCCAGGGTGCAAGTGGAGATTGGCTCTATGGAGTTGGTTCTGTCCTGTTCCAGTCGTGGTTCACAAAAGCAGGTGGACAGCATCTCAGTGCCGATTTATGATCTGAGCTTTCACAGTGTTTTCATCTTGGTGTGTTCACTGATTCTGATTTGAAAACATTTAAGACTTGAGAACCCGTGTGTAATGATAAGATTTAACTTCTCCCCCTCCCCTGCTCCTCCTTCCCCCCACACAATGTCTTTAGTAGCCAGTGACTTCTGGATTCCGACCAATCAATAAAAGGGGAGCAGTTAGTTCTCCATGTGCTTTGTTGCCTCGTTTTACGACAGTGCAGATGAGCCTCACTGGGAATACGCTATGGTTGGTAGCTCCCTCCAAGGGAAGAGAACTCTAGAGGATTTTCCCAAACCTGAGTGTGTGTAAGTAAGCTTGCTTCTGAGTAAGTGCTACAGCAAGGGTGGGAGGGAGGGCACAGATACAGGCCTGCCCCCACCCCCCATCCCCACCTGTTCTAAACTTTTCTTGTGAAGCACCACAGCTGCATCTCTGTCAAAACGTACATAAAGAACATTAACTATGTCTTTCAGGATTTTTTGAAGGAAGTAGATGGGCAAATACATGATTAAGTTAGACCTTTGTAAATCATCTGCTCTTTATCCTGTAGGCGAGTTCTCCTTTCAGCCTCCCACTCCCTAGGATCCTGGCTTCCAAGACTCTCCCACTTTTTGGGGCCAGACTTGGGGTTTTGGTTCACTGGAGTGAGCCCAGAGGGGATCTTCCATTCCCAAGAGACAGTGGCACCCAGGGCCCCTGAGAGCTAAAGAGATCTGCCATGTCCCAGGGCTTCTCGGGCCACCAGGTCATCCTGCCTCTGTGGTTGCTGCTCACCTCAAAGGCTTTTTTAAGTCTCAGCCAAACTATAAAAAAAAGCCCACCTGGATTCCTTTAGAATGCTAGATTTAAAAAATGATTCGATACAGAAGTAATCTTGGTGTCTAGTTTATTACTTAGGATCATCCAACCCACAGACGTACCAAAATATTACTAGTGCGCCCATTCCATGGACGGCATACAAATAGTTCAATAAAATTTACATTCATCACTAGTTATGTAGATAAACCGTCACTTTTCCCTGGGCAAGTGGTCATTTGTAGGACTAAATTTCATGAGATGTGAATGTGTATGTGTCTGTGCACACACACATTTTGATTGCTTTAAGTGTTCAATTTCAAGTGTAGCAGGTTTAAATTAGTACATGGGAGATTAAATCTCACCTTATTAGATGAGACTGAAGCGACAGGTTTCTCTCCTCCCAGGACAGAAAATTACAGCAGGTTCATTTAAGAATAAATAATTAGAAGCCCTGGAGGTTTGAAAGACACAATTTCACATGAATAAGTAGATTCCTGCAGAACTTAACAGCTCACTCAGGTTAACTACAACTCAGTGATTTTTTTACGATTTTGGACTCGGCAGCCAGGAGTGTTAGAAGTCTTATTCATCCATCCATTTAGAATGCTGGAGCACTTCAGAGGACAGGCAGCTGGTTCATTTCCAGCTGCCCTGCTCACCAGTCCCATTTATGAAAACCTAATTCTGGACAGTGGGTAGAATAAATTCACTGATTATGATACTGGCCTTTAAGTGCCAGTGAAGTATACTTTTAAAATAACAATTCAGTGAAAGTCCTGGTGGCCCCTGACTAAACCTTTTTCTAACGTCATCATTTTCTTCCCTTTGGTACCCACTGGCAAGAAACTGAATGTGGCTACTACCCCCAAGTTACTGGTTAAAGTTGAAGCAGTGTATATCCTGATAAGACAAAATTTACCTTTGCAAAGAAGCTAACTTAAGACTTTGATCTCTGATTTGTTAGATCGGAACTGCTCTTTCTATACAACTAGAGAAGAGTAGAGAGGCTATAGAGAGGCTATAGAAAGAGAGGCTATGTCGTGTTTTAAAAATCACAATGAAAACCAAAGTTAAGGCCAGGCCTTTCGTGACCCTCTGAATAGGCTGGGCAAAAATACTCAGCAGCAAGAAAGACTGCAGAATTCTCAATCAGTGACCTAATTCTCATGAGGGCTGCTCTGTTACTCCCCAAAACAAGTCCGGCCTTGAAAAAGAGGTTTCTTCTCTAGCAGCCTTTGTAGCATCATAACAAAAACTACACTTTCCCTTCTGTTCCCATTAGCCAGTCTGTTCCCTTGTGGAAGGGTTCTATGAAGAGTCCAACACTGAGAACAAAGCTCCAATCTGAGGGCTTGTTTCTAGAAAAAGGCATGGCGTAGAGTACGTTTTGTCTGATTTTTGAAAGGGGGGGGGTAGAGTTAAGCATCAGATAGGAACGGTTCCAGCCATCTGTTTAGGCATTCCTGACTGGAATCACATCGGCCTTCCTCTTGGTAAGGGACGTCCCCGCCTCACCCGCCCGAGAGATTTACCCCTGGGTGAAACCGAGTCAAAGGCCTCGACTGCTGGCCAGTTCAGTCAGCTCCTCCTTGATGTGCTCAATGGAAGCCACGTCTCCCTTTAACTCAGCCTCTTTCAGGGCCTCCTCGTAGACATATTTGGCTTCAACAAAGCTTGCTAAAACCAGGAAGAAGTGAAAGCAGAAAACTTAAGAGACTTTGAGAATTTAAAAGGCTAAGCAGGCTTCTAACTGATCAAACACCAGAGCTCAGACACCCCCTCCTCTGCTAGCTCCAAGTTTGGGAACAGAAGGCCAGAGGCAGGAGGAGCTGGGAGACCTCCCTCTGACCTGGAGGGTCTTCAGCATGACTCACCGGCACAAGAAACAAAGGAGGTCACGTACAGCAAATGCTTTGCCAACTCAGGCCTAGCACTATAGTGGGCACTCTTCCTACCTTCAATGTCCTTTCCCGACCTGCTGTTCAATATGTGGCCACAAGGGGACAAAAAAGACCCTCCAGGAGGGAGGGGACCTCTCCAAACGCTTCCTGTACTCCGACCCCTGGCCCCCAGTTCATCTCCCCCTCCCCAATACCTTTGTGCATCAGTATTCCTGCCATGTTGCTGAGGACCCGGTGAAGCTCTGGGTGCTCAATCTGCCTCGCCAGCTCTGTTGCCTTTTTCACGTACGTATAGGCCTCGTCAAAGCGGCCTTGTGCATCCAGGGTAGTGGCCAGGTCGTTCATTAGCACCACGGTCTGTATCGGAAAAAAAAAAAAAAGGAAAGGCAGCTTGGATAGTGTGAGTATTGGCATCCTGAATGGGGCTTCTCTGGTTCCCCGCGGTGCCTTGGTCATACCAGCATCACCACCACACGCAAGCAAAGAGCACAAGGGTCACATTCAGATGTCCTGCCTTGTACCATCCTGGGAAGAAAGACACACGCTCAGCTGCAAGGGCAAAGGGATGGGGCCAGTGGAGACACTGGAGCAGCCCTGCCCTGTTGGTGGCCTGCTTCCATCGCTGGTGCTGGGGAGCGCAGCTTATCCCCACAGTCCAGGGGGTTCCCCTATGCTCCATTTGCTGCCGCCACTGTCTCCGCAGAGCATTCTCTGGAAGGGCCACACACACGTGCAGACACCTTGCCACAGAAACGAGTCTGGGTTTCTCTGTGCTCTGACGTCTGAGGGAAGCGCAGTCTTGCCTAGGTGCTCAGCTGTTGGTCCTTTGTGTTTGCCATCAGGTTAAGCAAAGCCTTTCCTATGTTAAGTGTCCATGTGAAATATTGTGAAGGCCTGGACCTAAGCCAAAGCCTGGTATTTCCAGGGGAAACTCTGTATGAGGGGGGAAAGAGAATTAACTGTAAGCCTCTAGGCTCTATCGCCTTTGATGGACACACAAGTTACACTTTGGGGAACCAGGCCAAGGACATTACATGAGAAAGCATCGTTAACCTACAGAACTGAGGTTCTTAATTTTCTTTGTGGCCTGGAGCATTGGTCAGTCACGTTTGCAAATAAAATATGAAGGAATATCAAGGAAACCAATTCCACTGAAACAAAGACGTCACTTCGGTCCTCTCCCCTGGAATCCATCTGTGGCGCTGGTGTTCAGAAGTGCTGCCCTGGACCTTCTCCCTCCTTGAGACTCTAGCTGTACCTGTTCACGAGCTCACCTTGTCACTACCACCTCGGAAGCTCCACACATTTACTAAGCAGCAGAAGAAAACTCCACTTACCCTAGAGGTCAGCCTTCCAGAAGCCCTGCCTCTAGAACACTGATATGATTCTACAATTACTGAAAAAGCTGCCCTAAACACACGGAAAAAAGAACCAGATGATTTACACACTGGGCAAACAGCTTCACTATTTTATATACAGTTTAACAAGCACAGTTACAGAATCTAGCCACCAAAGAAGGAAGGAAATGGAAGGAAAGAAAAGCTAAATGGGGCCATTTAGTGAAGGAAGTTCCTCCGTAGGGTTCAAAATAATAACAGGTTCAGAAGGGTCCCTGAGTCAGGAGGTAAAGGTTAAATTGTGTCCAACTGTTTGAGTAGGCAGGAGAGTTCAGATAGCTTCAAAGGGTGCGGGTGGTTTAAGGAAGTGGGCTCGCCCTGGTCCTCAACAACACAAGCCACTTCATTCTTTGATTCAACCAGAACAAGTCATTACTGTACTTTTTGTCTTAGGTTTGCTTTTCCAATTTCCTGCTTACCCTATTCTGGGACTTAGTGAAAATGTCTACAATGACCACCTCCATCCTTTCCCCTCTCGCCTCCTCCAGGCTTCAGACCTTTTTTAATCCTTTTTCTGTTTTCTTTCTCTGGCATGTTTCCAGCTCTACTGGGTCTTTCCTTAAGGGTGGCAAACAGAAGGGACATGCAGGCTAGGAAAGGAAAGCCTGGCCTGGTTGTGAACAAGAAGGGGATGTGTCCTGTTTCATTTCTAGAGCCCTTCTGATGATAGTCAGCATGGTACAGGCCTTTCTGGCTATAGCAACACCCACAGCCCGTGTCTTCAGGAACCGACTGCCCCTAGAATTCCTCAGGAAATACGTTACTTCATCCATATGCAGACTGAAGGTCACCTATCCCAGTTTTACTCACTGATCCAAATAAGCAGTTTTACCTCTCCCCCCTCCTCGTAGTATGGCATTCCATATTCCAAAATTTCACTTTATACTTCCTCACTCTGATTTTTAAGGCAGGATAACAAACGCACAACCATTTACCAATAAGCCATCAAGGCAGCAAGCAGTGGTCATCACCTGTGGGTGTCTTTCTCCTCGTATCTCTTTGGAAATCTGCAACGCTTTTTCATACATCTTTTGCGCATCGGACAGTTGGCTGATATCAAGGAGATATCGAGCATAGGAGTCATAGCACATGCCCAGGAGGAGATGGGTGTTGGCTTTCTCTTCCGCTACAAGTAAGAACATGTGGATGGCCATGACATTACAACAAAGGAAGGAAAACGAGGGATGGCTTCTCCCTCCTAGCTTCTGATGTCATGTCCTCATTCATTCCCTGGTTAATCAACCCATCAGTCCCTAAGGAGCCCAGCTCCTAGGTATAAACGTGAGAAACAATTAGCAGCACTGAAACATTGCCAGTACCAGGTTCCTGGTATAATCACCAACCTCAGAATCAAAATAGGTTCTGTTCATTCATATACGAAAATTGCTGTCAAGAGAACTAGTACAGTTAATGGTTACTTGCCCATGGAAGGCAGAAATGGTTTGGATACCTAGAAACTGACTTGGAGTTGACTTCTGGACTTTGTGTTTTGCAGTTATTAAATATCTGATGGTCTGGAAATTCCCCACGTTTCAACTGAATTCAGGAGTTAAAGTTTCCCACATTATTCATCCTACTCAATCCCAGTTAATTAATCTATTAATATGCTGGCAATGGAATGAGCTTTAACACATTAGGCAGAGAAATGCTGTCCTCTTTCTGAGTTTGCTACCTGCCTGACTCATGTTTTTTGCAGGTTAAGAAAGAAATTTGGTATTTTAGCTTAAAAGATCCAGACTTGTGGCTGAGCTGACTACAGGAAGGAAAACATCAATTTTTTCCTCCTTCAGTTTCCTACTTGACCATGGGCTGTATGCTCATTAAAAAGTGACAGTTAAAGTGGCCATGTCAGTTCTGAAGGAACAGCAAAATGACCATCCCCAAAGCATTAGCACAGAACACAACCTCTCTCTGATTAGCATCCAAAGTACATAATTCCTCCCCCCTTCCACTTCAACTAAGAAACCTCCTTCCCTTTTCTGCAATGTTAGGAAATCCTCTCAGGTGAGATGTGCTTTCCCTACCTGGCATAACTTCTTCTGTTAATGCCTTCTGTCTTGTGATTTTTCTCTCCAGGGTTGAAATGCAGAACTCATAGCCAGCAAAAGCAAATTCCTGTCTGTAATGCAAAGAGCCGGGACGGGCAGTTCACCTTCAAACTCCCTGACATTCTGCATGGGAGTCGGCCAGACTTCTCTTTGTCCAGCTAAGGTTTGGGTCACCGCCAGAAAGGGAGGTGTGAAATGGGAAGATGGAAATAATTCAACTCTCAGGGCTCCCACCCGCTCACCACTCAAACCTCGTTCTCTGAAAAAGTCACATTGTTCAGGTTAGTTTTTTTCAGGGATATGCACCAGGCACACTGCTACATGATTTCCATGATGGAGATGTTCCAGTTCTGACACTGATCAACTGTTTCCAGTTGACTCAGTCTCTGATTGTAAATGTTTATTTTCTGTCCATGAAAGCAGCATATCAATCCAAGCCCATATAACAAAGCAGCCCACAGCCAAACTGAAATGAATGTCAGGGATGCCAGACAGGCTAATGGTGCCTGACCCTCTGAAAAGCAGGGGCTTTACAAGCATGTTTTTCTGACATCCCAAATCAAAAGCCTGCCCTGTGATGCCTGCTGTCCTAAGGGCCCTACCGTAACTTACCTTTTCAGAGTAGCATAGATACTGGCCAATTTTAGGGATATTTCAATTATTGCATTGTCCTCCTAATGGAAGAAAAAGACATTTATGGAATGCAGTGAGTTCAAGACTGTACAATTCCTTCCTAGACCATTTTATGTAATAATAATTGTCATTTATATAATATAGTAAGGCTTACCAAGACCATCATTTAAATTACCTGATTTTAGCTCATAACAACCCTGTGGGATACATTTTACAGATCAGGAAACTGAGGCTGAAAGGTTAAGTGACTTGTCCAAAGTCCTACTGGTGGCTTTGACCTCAAGTCTCCCTCTAGCCCTCCATGTACCAAACCATATCATATGACCTCATACATCAGGGTCCTGACTCATGGTCACAGCAATCTGGTTTAAAAGCTCAATTTCCAAGCACTTAAGAACCTACTACATGCCAGGCACTGTGCTTTCCTCAGTTCTCCATGCTGTCAGGCCAGCATGGTTGTAGGCTGGCATTCCTGTTCTGAGGTGGGAGATGGAGGGTTAGGAGGGAGGATCTGCTCTGCTTATAAATAAAACGTACACGATGAGAAAGGCCCTTTCGTAAAGATGCTGATTTGGAACCACTCATAGCTAACAAGTTACTATTCTTACCTGCTTCATACCCCCAACCAGGAGATAGCTCATTGTTGCTTTAAAGAGCTTTTCTGCCTAAAATAAGAAATAACAATATTGTATAACCAATCCCACCACTCCACCAACGGCCACAGAAAACTTAAGATGAGGGTTTCCAACCTGGGGTTTACAGAATAACTGTCTAAAAGGAAAGCTAAAGGACACCAAGAGGTGACAGGAGATGGCAGGCCTCCCGAGTCTGTCTATTTATAGATCTTAAGGAACGCTATGACACAGTACGACTTCGCCTTAAATTAGATCATCTGCTCCCAATCAAAGATCCCCCAGAACTTCAAGCCTAATCTTTCATGGACTTAGATGCTAACAACACACTTGCTTACTTTTTCAAGCTGATTCCTCATGAACGCTAAGTTAGCCATCTGTAAAGGAAAGAGAAGCCAAACCCAAATTACTTTTCTAATTGGTGCACGGCTCCCATAATTTTTATCAGACTCTAAGATCGTCTCCCTCTCTTTTCTTAAAGTGAGTGGTGAGCATGATCAAAAGGACTGTCACTGATTAGAAGTCATCACTGTACAAGGACAGTAATGGGCAGGTACTTCAAACCCTGCCAATAATGACTAGGCTAGCACTTACCCATTTCTGAAAATTCCCTGAACATTTTTATAGAAGCAAATGTTAATATGTCATGGTGAATCTTCAGCTCCCACCACAATGCCTGACACACAGTAGACCCTTAATAACTAACTGCTTGTGGACTGACCATATGCATAAGAATTGAGCTTACAATTATTAACAGCCCCCTCCAACACTGAAATTAAACTCACCTTACAGAGGGGAAAACTGAGACACGACAAATCAACTTATATGTTCTATGCTCTTGAGACCCAGAAACAGAAAGCAGGAGGCTTGCAACAACCCCTCTCCTGCTTTTGGCCCAGCAACAGTAGGGAGTGAATTACCATATCATAGGTGTAGATGATGGCCTTCTTGATATCTGCCTTATGAGCAAGATGAAGGGCCTCATGTAAAATTCTCTCTGCCTCCTCAGGGTCCTTTTTCATAATACTCAACTGCAAGCCGAGTGCAAAGGAAAACGTCAAAAGAGGGATGGTGAAATGCAACCATGGCTGGCTTCTAAAATATATATATATAGATATAGATATATATAGATATATATATAGATATATAGATAGATATATACTTTTTATTTCATTGAATATTTCCCGATTACATAAAAAATTAACATTCTTTTTTTTTTCTTCAACAATTTGAGTTCCAAATTCTCTCCCTCGCCCCCCTCCCCTTCCCCTTGAGAAGGCCGATGTGCTATCGATCATACAAGGGGCGTCACATTGCCGGCCTGCCTTTTGACCTTCACAAAGTTCCCTGACGGCCTTTTTCCTTATATTCTGCCTAGATCTTACAATTGTCCCGGGGGGCACACCAGGGGTTCGAAGCCCCCGGAGGGGCTGGGGACCCCGACAAGTCCCTTCGCCAGGCCTGGGGGTGGGGCTGGTTGAAGACGTTCGGGAGGAGGAGGGGCGGAGGGGGCTGGGCATTTCTCCCCTCCCAACAGGTCTTCACGCGGGGCCTCACCTTGGCCCGCTTTAGCATTTCTATGATCTTGAGCTCGGTCTCGGAGGGCGGGCTCTCCACCTCCTCCTCCTCCTCTTCCTCGTCGTCATCCTCCTCTTCCTCCTCCTCCACCTCGGCGGGGGCGCTTTTGAAAAACCACGACAGAGCTGCGGGCGAGAGGGGGCGGGCCGTCCGATCACCACGGCAACGCGGCGCCGTCGCCATGGCAACGGGCGCCCTTCCGCCCCCGCCCTCCCTCCCCCCGCCCTCGGCTCCCGCCTCCGCCGTTCCCGCTCACCCGCCAGCGCCACCACGCACAGCCCGCGGCCCGAGCGGCCCTGCCCGACGCGGGGCGGCTTGGCGGCCACGTCGGTGCCCCGTCGGCCGCTGCCACCGCCGCGGGGCCCCGCCAGCAGGAGCCGCGCGTAGCCCCGGCGCCGCCGGCCCGCGGCCGCCAGGAGGCCCCGGCTGAGGCTGCGACTCAACGGGCCCCACATCCCGGGGGGATGGGTCCGCGCAGGGGACGAGCCCCGGAAGGAGCAGACGGCTCCGGACAGCGCGTCACGCGGCCGCCTTCTGGCCTCTGCTGCTTGGCCCGGGGGGACCGAGCGCGGCGGAGCTCCCCGGGAGGACGGGGGCGGGCGAGCTGTCACCCGGCCCGGCCGTGGCACCGGCCTCGGAGCTCCGGCTCTGACACTCCCGGCAGCCGCCGTCAGCAAGGCAGGTTCGGCCTAGTCTCCGCCTTCTCCCACCCCCTGGCTCCGCCCTTGGGCCCTACCACGTGCCTGGGAATCCCGCCCTCCCCGCGTCGAGGAGGCTTCGCTGGCCCCCAACTTCCGGGGACGGAGGCCGAATGGGCTCAAACCTTCCGTCTCCGACCTAGAAGGCCGCGGTGTTCCCGCTTCCGGGCTCCTGAAGGAGCGCTGGAGCACGTGACCTGGCGGGGGGGGAACTACATCTCCCAGGGTGTGTAGCGCCTAGCCTAAGAAACAGGTTAGTCGGAGCTCCGGGAGGGCGGGAGCGGGAACCCTAGATTACTAGCCCGAACCCCCACTGACCCGAGAAGCCCATGGGGCCGGGACGGTTCTCGGCCCTGGGATTTCATTGCAGCCTTCAGTGCTCCTCGCGTGGGTCCGAGCTTGCCCCTGCCCCCGCGGGTTTTCAAGGGTCTGGGAGATGCCCTGATCCAGTCCCCACGTTTGACAGATGAGGGAACTGAGGCCCGGAGGGGCAGCAAAGGCCCCCCCCACGGGGCAAGACGCAGGGTCAGGATGTGAACCTGGGGCCTCTGACTCCGTGTTGTCCTAAATAGGAACCCCGGGTTTCGTGACTCGCCCACGGTTTTTTCCCGTGTGCAAGTCCAGGCCTCCCGATGCTGACCCGCGCTTAGAGATCCTTTTGTGAGTGGCTTTGTTTTGGTCCCCAGGGTGAGATGACGGCCACGCTACCCACGGTCCTGGAGGAGATTCTGGGCGAGATCGCAGCCACCTGCGGGGAAGCGTCTGAAGGTAGGGAGGCTGCTTCCCCGGGGGGGGGTCCCGAAGGCAACAGCTGGGGGCCACAGAGGGTCCTAGAGCCACAGGAGGGCTCACCGGGACGGGGCCCGAACTCCCCGGGGCCGATGGCAGCAGCTGGGGGCCACAGAGCGTCCTGTAGCCCCGGGAGGGCTCCCCCGGACGGGGCCCGAGCTCCCCGGGGCCGACGGCAGGACGGGGCACGGTGCTGGGCCCCCCCAGTCCTCAAAGGCAGGCTCGGCATCCTGGGGAAAGCCCCGCTTTGGGGGCCCATGGACCCCCTTCTGGTAAAGTCGGGAAGCAGTAATGAAGCCTCCGTACTGGCCACACACTTTGGTGAGTGGGGGGAAATACAGACAAAAAGGCGACACTCCGTGCCCTCAGGGCGCTTACGCTGTAGGGAGAGATGTGGGAGCTGTGGGCAGTCCCCTCCTGTTCTGACGATTCCAGGCGTCTCCTAAGCCCAGTTAGACAAGAGAAGGAGGTGAATATGGCGGCCTGCCACGATGTCCATTTGGCCAACTTAGCTTTGAGAATGTGATGGCAACAAAGGGCAAAGAGTTTTTAAATCGTTCACCTTGCTTCTGCTGCCCAGTGGCCCCAAAGGAAAGGAGAACGACGTGCTGGGGGATGGGGGTCGTTTATGGTTTCTAGAATCCTGTCTTTGGCCACTGGAATAACTCTGGGATGCTGTACAGGAATCTTCTAGCTTTTTCCCCTCGGTGACCAGCAGAGGATGCTCCCTGACTAATAATAAGCTTTGCACATCCTCCAGCTGTTTTTTTTAAGCTCAGGCGAGGAAACAGGCCTGGCTATTGTTGTAGTCTGCTATGGTGCAGCAAAGGAGTTCAGGGGCCTGGGTTCAAATTCTGACTCTAACATTTCCCTTCTGAGGAAGTCACTAAAACTCTCTGAGCTTTGTAAAGCAGAGACAGTGCTGCTTGTGCTACACAGTAGGAGCTGAGGGGAAAAGGCCCATGTGTTGTTGGAATTACGATCTCTAACCCATCAAATTACATAGAATCATAATGAAGATATGAAAAGGCACTTATTAGCCTTTCTCCTTTGCCCCTCTCCCGGTCCTGGCTGCCTGGGCCCTGTAAGGGCTGCTTGGTGACGCTTGTGTATCTTGCATGAGATGGTAGGGTCATCGCCTCTCTTCCTTCCTTGATGTGGAGGACCCCAGGCCTTTCTACCGTGCCTTGCAGATCCAGGGCACAGTCAGGTTCCCTACTCATGTAACCCAGTGACCTCTGGGCTTTGCCATCCTCACTGGAAAACTCAACAGATTTCTATTTCTCCCAATCGGAGTGTAGGCACCTTGAGGGCAGGGATTGGCTCTCTTCTCTTTGTCTCCCCAGCTCTTAGCACGGGACTCGGCACATGGTAAGCATCGGATAAATGTTTTTTCATTCATTCCATTCGTTTGTTACTGTGTACCTGGCTGTGTGCTAAATACACAAGTGAGACAGCCCCTGCCCTCATGTGATTATAATACACACCTAGAGGAGCGATGGCCAGCAGGGGGCGCTTTGGTCTGGAAAGTCACAGTGGAACCAGAGGCTGTGCCAAGGCTGATTTAATTACGGTGCCCAGAGCAAGAGGTGGGAACGGGGACTAGGGCAACCAGCAGCAAGTCCTAAAATGGCCGGGGTGAAAAGGCATTGTTAGGTCTGAGGTCAACACCATACTGAGCTCTCATCAAGCTGGCCAGCCAGCTTGGGGGGGGGGTCCCTGAGCCCTGTCAGGCTGAAGGTACATTATGGGAACGGTGAGGTTGTCTAGGGCAACTCCCTCATTTTATAGACAAAGAGACTGGGACTCAGCAAGGCCAAGTGATCTGCCTGAGGCCACACGAGGCGTAAACAGTACTGTGGCCTTTTTAACGTATGTGCACACATACCGCATATCCACAGTGTGTTTTCTAGTTGATCTTATTTTATGAATAGCTTTTATTTTTCCATCCCCTTCATTTCCAAATGTCTCTTCCCCCTCCCCACCTAGTGATCTATCCCTTGTAACAAGAATTAGAGGCGAAATAGAGGGAGCATTTCAGCCCAACCAGCCAACGCCTCCTGGCACCTGAAGGTGGCTGCTGCAAAGGGACGGCCCCACGTTTCTCCGCTCTTCCAGATGTCTGTTTAAAAATACTTTGGTGTTGAATTAGTATCATTCAAAGAGATGTCATTACTTTCAAGGGAATGTGCGAGAACAAATCAACTCCCTTTGTTTGGTTTTTAATCAAAACAGCTGTGAGTGAATGTGCTTAAGATGATGCTCACACACGGGCTGATCCCCAAAAGAAAAACAACTGACTCTTCCTGAGCACCTCCAGTGAGAGAAGCCACTGTTGTTACCTACAGGCAGATTGTTTGCAGGATGGAAACCCGCTCAGACATTCAGTGGCTCCCTATTGCTTACTGACCAAAAGTTTAGGGAATCAAATCTTAGGGATGGGCCTAGGAGTCTGCCAGCACCTTCTTGGCTCTTCTTCCTCATCAGTGAGGCAGGCGGAAGCTCTCTGTGTTGGACACACAGGTTGATTATATTCCCTGCCTCCTTTAGTGGCTGAGGGGTCATTTTGCTGGATTTGAAGGTTTTTTTCTTTGGGGGAGGGGGGAAGCACTGGGTTTGGAATCAGGAAGACTCATTTTCCTGAGTTTAAATCTGGCCTCAGATATTTACTAGCTGGGTGACCCTGGGCAAGTCACTTCACCCTGTTTGCCTCAAATTGCTCATCTGTAAAATGAGCTGGAGAAGGAAATGGCAAACCCCTCAAGTGTCTTTGCCAAGAAAACCCCAAATGGGGTCACAGAGCTGGACATGACTGAAACAACTGAACAACTTAATTTTTTCCCAGTCTCTTTGACTTTGTGCATTGTTAAGCCCTTTCTCATCATCAGAGTTTAAAATCTCTTTAGGGAGGAGTTACGGAAATGAGAATTGGCTATGGAGATGGCCCTCTATCAGATTCGACACTCTTGAGCCGGCCAGTCCATCTGCTTTTTCAGAGTTCTGATGGTGTTGGGTAGGAGGTAGAGATCTGAGAGGGCTTCCGTGGTGGAGGTGGGCTGGCTGGAGCTTGTAAGGCTTTTGTTGCTAAGCTCAGCAGGTGGGCTCATCAGGCAGCCTTCAGGAAGGTGGCTGACTGACCTTCCCCTCTTTTGTTTTGCAGTGCCCGATGAGCTCCTGTTGGCGTGAGTATTTGTTCTTTTGGATGGGGGGGGGGACTCTTCTTGTCAGTGGTGTTGGAGTGCGATGCTTTTCCTAGGTCTGACCTTGTCATTCATCATGAGCTCAAACATTCAGTGGCTCCCTATTGCTTGCTGACAAAAGCTGGGACTTTTCCACCTGGCCCTCCCAGCCCTTCAGAATGTTGTGCCACCTCTTTCCAGACTTATTACTCACCTCTGTATGTTCCATCCTGATTGGACTGCTCTCTGTCCTCTCCCAACACCCCTGGAATAAACAAACAAGCAAATAAATACATGAAACTTAACCTCCCTGCCTTTGTGCAGCCTGTTCCCTCTACCTGGAATTCCCTTCCTTCCTGCTCTGCCTGGGGAATTCCTACCCATCCTCTAAAACCCACCTCAAATGCTGCTTCCTTCAGGAAGATTTCCCTGATTACTTCTCTCCCTACCCCTAAGTTGAGAATGATCTTCCCTCAACACCTACTTATGTGTGTGTGTTATAGCTTTCTATAGTCTTATTCTTCTTGATGCTAAGTTCCTTGAGGGCAGGGGTCATGTCTTTCTTAGCCTTTATATCAATAAATCAACTAATAAGCACTTGTTAAGCATTTACGACATGCCAAGCACTGTCCTGGGCTGTGGAGATATGAGACAAAAGGGAATCAATGTCCGCCCTCAAGGAGCAGTTGGGTTCTGGTGGATGAGACAGACTGCACCCATAGGTTTGTACACAGTACCAGGTGGTCAGTGAGGCTTGGGAAGAATTAGGAAAGGCCACATGTAGAAGAAAGTAACCGGAGTTTGCAAGGAAATTAGATGGTCTAATAAGTGACTCTGCAGAGGGAGTGCATTCCAGGCATTGGGGACAGCATGGAGACAAGGGATGAGCTGGTATGGCGGCCTCAGACCTAACGGGAGGGCTGAGGCACCAGGGGTGCTGGGCAGGTGGAATACACAAGACTTGGTAACTGATTGGGTGAGGGGGGAGGAGGAGTCGAGGACCAGCCTGGGGATTAGGAGGATGGAAGTGCCCTCAACAGAATTAGGGAAGTTTGGGGGAGAAGCTTCCAAGTTCTGCTCTGGACACGTTGAGTTTGAGATGCCTTTGGGATAACCTGGAGGAGATAGCAATAAGCAGTTGGGCACGAAGGACTGGAGCTCACGGAAGAGACCCTAGAAGTCCGACACTCCTTTCCATAGAGTTGATGATTAAGCCTGTGAGAGCTGATGAGGGCAGCCAGAACCCAGAGCTTCCTTGCAGGCGGGAGCTGGGATGTAAATAAAGGTCCAAGTAAAGGCGAATGAGTCAGGCTAGATGGAAATGGGCTTGAAGAGAGCAGGGTCATGAAAAGCCGGAGATGAGAGAGTACCCAGGAGTAGAGAGCACCCAGCGGCTGCGGGGATCAAGGGTGGACACCTAGAACAGACCCTCAGATCGGGCTGTTGAGATCAGGGATAACTTGGGAGAGCTTTCAGCCAAGTGATGAATTATATACAACTCCCTCTGTGCCTAGCATAGTGTCTTGCACACAGTAGATGCTTAATAAACCTTGGCTGTGTGTGACACGTGATGTATTCGATAGATGCATGTTGATTGATTGATGTGAACTTTCCTATCAGAGAAAAGAAGCATTCAATCTGAGGAGGCAGGGAGAGGGTTTTCTTCCCCCTCCCCTCCAAATGAGTCTGTCCCTTTCTGTCCCTCCATATATGTGTACGTATGTTACACGTATGTGTGCACACATATAATATGCATGTCTGTGTTTGAGTGTGTTGACTTGGAATGAAGTTGGGAGGATGTGCCCAGCCATGTGGAAGGCTGGATGCTGAAAGGGATGCCATTACCATCAAGCCTCAGTCTTAAAGGCTTTATCTTATTAAAAGTGTTCTAAATTAGGAGCATTCTTTCAAAAATAGAAAGGCCTCTCAGCCTGCAGTGTGACTCAACCTTCTTCGTAACCATCTTGGCCTCAGGAGTCCCCCGGTCTCTACTTGCTGCCACTGAAAACTGGCTGGAGGTCAGCCAACCACATTCAGTGTGGTATTAATCACACACAAAGAGGAATATTGTTTTCAGGCTTTGTCTCCTATTCTTTTGCTCCCTTTAGTGGGTACCAGTGTGTGCTCCCTGTTTTTATAAAAGCTGTGCCTCCCATTTCCCTAAGAGCCCAAGATTTGTGAAGCTCCCCCAGGCAGGTGGCACGGCCAGGGAATCCCAACTTGAGTTTGCTTACTTGGAATCACGCCCCACTGGGGAGTCTTGGCAGGAAGCAAGAGGGATATCTTATTTTCTTAAATCTTCTTTCTGGATTGGGTCTTGTCTGAACCACAAAGAAAATTTCCCTCCTCTCCAAGCAGAGGCAGAATTTGGGCCTATAAAGCAATTCCTCGTTTTTAACTTACCCTAAATTGAGGTGGAGACCTCGCTGGAGTCCCCTGAGGTAGTATTTGTAATGGGCCTACAATGAGTAGTGAAATATTATAGAAGAGACAGCAATGACCAGCATATGTTGAAGGTTCATCTCTGGAGCCTCAGACGCTCCCGAAGTGGCCTTGTTCCATCCTTCCCCAACACACATACTCTGCACCCCAGAGAAGCTGCCAAGTTTGATCTGACCCAAGCATCTCTGCCCCTCCCTCTACCAGAGAGTACAAAGGATTGAAGCCTTACATCTAGCCTCCCTCACTCTTTGCATCTCCTGATACCCCTCCATATCTGAGACGCAGGACAGTTAATAAAACTGTTGTCCCAAGGAAAAGGACATATACCTGTTGCTTTTAGGTAATCCCAGCCTTTTGGGTCCTGGCAAAAAGGAAGCATTTAGAATTGATGGCACTAGGGAGGCCTGACAAGGTGAGGCTAATGTGGCAGAGGAGGTGGGGCACTGCCAGGGAACCAGAGTAGACCTGGCGGAAGCTGCTGACGTGCCTCCTTTTGTGAGCTCTGAGCCCACTTCTAAAACTTTGAGGGTGCTGCAGTAAGGCCCTCAGAAGAGTCGGCGCTCAGCTGCTGCACAAGCCCTGTCGGAAGGAGGGCCGGCTCCATTCTTTCTCCTGGTTTTGGCACATTCAGTTATTGTTCATTACATTCATTTGGAGGATGCCATATGGCAATGGGAGTTTGTCTGATCTGAAGTCTTTCTGTTTCCTAGGCTGAAATTTATATTTGGTCCATCCGCCATCCAGGCCTTGGATCTTGTCGATCGACGTTCTGTTACCCGTGTCTCCTCTCCTAGTGGAAGAACCATATACCAGGTAGAGCTTATTTGGGGGAATTTCCAATCTGGAAAATTCCCATTATGTTTAAATTGTGTGTTTACTAGACTCAGTATGGAGGAATGCTATAGTCAAATTACTTCCTGTACTGTTATGAAAGCGTTTGACCTGATGGGAAACATTTGACTGTTAGTAATTGAAACAGAATCCATTTGCAGCCTCAGAATTATCCAGTGGAATGAGCAGGAGACTGAGAGTGAATGGGCATTTAATCTTGGGCCTCATCAAGCTGAATGTCAGAAATGATGCATCCTTCCCTCTGACATAGAGCAGGAAATGAAACCAGTATTAAAGATTTGCTAATGCATGGGGAGAAAAAAAAGAATTCCCTTTCTCAGCTCCCTGAAGTATGGCCAAGTTGTGATTTTTTTTTTTGTGGAGAGGGTCAGAGTCATGATTGTTTCAAAAAGATTTTTAGCATCATCTAGTCTTTCAGTCAACAAGCAATTATTCAGTCCCTACTATGTGCCAGGCAGTGTACTGAATGCTAGGGAAACAAAGAAGGTCAAAACAGCCCATACCCTCAGGGAGCTTCTATTCTAGGCACTAGAAGCTAGGGCCTGAGAAGGGTCTCCTCCTGAAGGTGAAGGAGGAGCTGATTCTTGAAGGAAGCTGGGATTCTAAGGTGCCAAGGTGAGGAGGCAGAGCATGCCAGGCATGGGGTTAGCCCGTCAGTTCAAAGGTGTGGAAATGGGAGATGATTGATGTATGTGAGAAGTCATAGGCCAGTGAGCTGGATCATGGGGGAAGGAAGAGGGGGATGTAAAAAAAGGTCCACTGGAAGGGACCAGATTGGGAAGAGCTTTAAATGCCAGACAAAGGACTTAATGTCAGATCTTCAAGGTAATGGGGCACCATTGACATTTTTAGGACACCCAATGCTGCCAGCAACTCCCGCATACTATGTGTCAAGTGCAGTAGGTGTGTAGAGCTGGACAAAACCTGACCTTAATCCCTACACCAAGCAGACCCAGGCTTTGTGTTCTGTGCTTTGTGGGAATTTACTTGCCCTTGGTCAAGAGGCGTGTCAGCAGGATTGCTCTGGCCAAGGAACTCTGCAGCCCACCAACCACAGCCTTGCCCTCAGCCATGGAAGCCCCAACCCTGGAGATGTCATCATCTTTCTGCTAGAGATTGCTTCCTTTTTCTCAGCTGGGATTTGCATATCGTCTCCAATTTTTTTATGGAGTCAAAAGGCCTTGGCTCTTCTTGAGAGGAGAGAGGGCCCTGAAGCTGATAGCTCTTCCCATCCTCATGTGTCAACTTTGTTTTGATTCTTAATCCCAGCATAGCACTCGACCTAGGCCTTATCCTCATCTGAAGTGGGCTGCCTGCAGCTGTGCCATTCACATTGGATTTTCATTTACTATGATGCCTGGCTCTCCAGTGACCCAGTTATTAGCTAATGACTTTGCTTGAGACGTTTTTCATCATAGTTGACTTTTTACTTTTCCCAGTGGTTATTTTCATTTGTTTAGTTTTCATTATTCATATCCTGTGTTATATTGGGTTGCCTTATTTATCATAAAAATGCTAACTTCTTTGGAGTGTGGCAGTCAGCCCAGACTCTGAATTAAATGGGGGCTATGGAAACTTCACACCCTTGGGATTGTTCTCAGTGGTCCCATTTTATTGTACTTGGCTAGTGTCAGTGGTCTTCAAATGAGGGAGGAGACTGAAAAGATTGCTGGTGGTCTTTCTAGGACCAGGCTTTGGTACCAGAGCTGGCTGTCTTCCTATGGCGTACCTGTCTAATTGCTGTCTGTCCTGTATCATGAGTACCAGGGTTTTGTGCTGGGTGCATGCACATTCCACTCATTCACTCACTGGTTCTGGATACATTTGGGAAGTGGGGGCCAGTCCTCCTCTGTGGTTTGGTTTGATCATAGGACCACAGGCTTAGAGCTAGAAGGGACCTCAGACACCATCTGATCCAGAGGAGGAAACTGAGGCCCAGAATGTTAAGTGACTTGCCCACAGTCACAAAGCAAACTTGAGGCAAGATTTGAAGTCAGGTCTTACTGATTCCAAATCCAACCGTCTATCCAAAGCATCTTACGGTATCCTCCTGCCTTTAGAGTAGAGGACATGCCCTTCAGGTAAGTCACCATTTCTAGAGCCTGCTGGGACAGAACAAACTTCCCTTGGGTAGTCATGTACCCACAGGCACTTGCTGTCTAATATACCCCCTTTTTAAAACAAAGTAGAACTAAGACCTTTGTCATTGCCCAGAGGATTCAGGCATGTTTTGGGAAGAGCAGACATTATTTGGTTGGACTTAGAGTGGAAGAAAGGTAAAAATAAACACTCAGAGCTTCCCATAATGCTCCTTGGCTCAGATGACCAAATGGTTTACATCGAAGGCTCTGTCAGCCTTGGGTGGCTAGGGAAGGTGGCAGCTAGCTGATCGCCAGAGTTGGTGGCTGTTGAGAGCAGATGGAGATTCATTCCATCCCTGTGTGCTCCCTGACCACCTGCTGTACCCTGGACCCTGCCTGGGAAGTCCAAGAAGCACCATGAGGAAGCGTCCCTTCTTTGAGGGCACTAACATTTGTTCATTAAGTCACTCTTAAGACCATATTCAAGGCCAGTAGCCCAGTGATGGTCAGAAGAGTTTGATTAAGCCTTAAGCCAGAGGGCCCAAGGGGTGATGACTGAGGACAGAGCAAGTCCAAGTCAGTCACCCCACCGCAGAGGGCTGCACACTCCTCAGGCATTCCTTCCTCTGTCTCGGCAGTCTTTCCCTCCTCCTGCCTTCCAGTCCTGCTTTGGGGTTTTTTCTATCATTGCTCCGTGAAGTATTCAGACTGTGAGCTTCATTAAGTTGGGCCTTGGGGCCACCGGTGCTGGACTGTTCATTCCATTCCGATGCCTGCTGGGGCCCAGGTGCTGTGCTGGGCACTCGAGAAGGTGCCCAGCTAGCTAACTAAGCCGCTGTTCTTCTGTCTCAAGTTAATGGGGCAGGGAGGTGTGCCACAAAGAGCTATAATGCAAAGTAAGCTCTCAGGACATTGAGGGGTGCAGAGAAAGGAGTGGTTTGAATGATTTGGAAATGTCCAAATGAGCAGGTTAGAGAAGGTTTCAAGGAAAATCATTGAATTCAGAGGGTCCCTAGAGGTCCAGCTCCCTCATTTGATATATGAGGAAACTGAGTCTGAGAGGTTAAGAGTAGTGTTCAGAGTCAGGGAGGTAATAAATCACAGTCAGGATTCACACAGAGGTCCTCTGACTCTGAATCCAACATCTTCTAGCTGGGCTTTGAAGGTTGGGTAGGATTTCAACAGGTGGAAATGTTAGGAAGAACATTTCAGGGTTAGCAAACATTGTGAGACAAGGAACAGAGGTGGAAAAGTGTAAGATGTAATGAGGTCTAGAACTATCTGCTTAGAGCTCAGAGCATATGGTGGCTCCAGAATGGCTTGGAGTCAGGTTGTGGAGGCTTTTGAATGGCAGGCCAGGATCCTAGATCTGGATCAGGAAGGGGCTTCAGAACCCCCTTTTACTGAGGAGGAAACTGACACTCAGAAAGATGAGGTGACTTTCCGGGATAACTCAGTCCTCAGTGTCCTGGGCAGGAATCTAGCTCTTCCTGATTCCACACCTAGCACTCTGTGCACTGTGCCACCTTGGCCAACGACTTTGGACTTTAAGTAGCAGGCTGTCGTGGAAGTTTTCGAACAGTAGATTCTATCCGATGGGAAGGTTACCTTGATGGTAAAGTCAGGTTACCTCGTATAAATTGGTTAAGGTGGGAGAGTAAAACAGGGAGGCAGCCCAGGCGGGTCTTACCATCTTCTAGAGGAACGATAAGGGCCTAAAATAAGATGAGGGGAACGGAAAGAAGACAATAGAGGGGATTCCTGGGAAGATGGCAGAGAGATTACCAGGAACCCATGCTGCTCACAGACCTCAGAAAAACAACAGAAAAGCTGACAATTTTCTAGAAGGTTTAAGCTGAAGAAAAGCTCTGGTACTGTCCATTAAAATTACAGATTGAGAGAAACAAAAGGAATGCCACCAGGAGATATGTATTGGTTGGCACAGTGCTGGAAATCCCAAGAGATAACCTCAGCTGGGTAATAGATGCCTTCTAGGAATTCAAGAAAGTTTCAAATTAATTGAAAAAAAAAAAGGCAGGAGGAACTAATAAAAAAATGGGAATGCGGCTAAAAAAAAAAGGAAGGGCCATGACAAAAAGGAGAACCATTTGTACTTTAGTTTCTCACTGTAGGTACTCCCTCTACTTATGTAGATTGCAACCCCTCTTCGCCTGAAGTGAGATTCCTAATCAGTCGCTGGAGCCCAGCGTCTCTCTCCTGTTGACCACCACCTGGTGTTGGGTCCTCCACGCTTGGCGATGCTGGCCCAGAGGGGGCGGGCAGAATGGTCATGACCAAGCCTGTACCCAAAGGCTTTACTGTTTGGCAGGCCCTGGCCCTGCCCAGGCCTGTCTGTGATAAACGGCCTTCATGCTGTCATAGAGTATCAGGTTATGACTTAGAAAAATGGGGAATGATGTAGAGTACATGAAAACTCCCCTGAAAGAATCTAAAAAGAGGATAAACGAGGTGGGGGTAAAGAACAGCAGAACAGCTATGGGGAGACTGGATCTGGGATCTCTTTGGTATTAGGGACTCCCAGGTGAGGAAACGCCATCCATCTATGCAGGTCAGCACCTTCTTGGCAACATATAGTCTTGGAGCAAGCTTCTTTTTTTTAAATTAATTTATTTTGATTTATCAACAATCACTTCCATAAGCTTTTGAGTTTTAAATTTTCTCCCCCTCCCTCTGTGCGTCCCTCCCTAAGATGGCTCGAAATCTGATATAGGCTATACATATACATTCCTATTAAGCATATTTTCACATTAGTGATGTTGTAAGGAAGAATTAGAACTAATAGGAGGAACCATCAGAAAGAGGAAACAAAACAAAACAGAAGAGAAAAAAATAACAAATAGTCTGCTTCGATCTGCATTCAAACTCCATAGATCTTTCTCTGGATGTGGATAGCATTTTCCATCATGAGGCCTTTGGAGATGTCTTAGATCCTTGCATTGCTGAGAAGAGCTAAGTCTATCAATGTTAGTCATTGCACAACATGGCTACTACTGTGTACAACGTTCTCCTGGTTCTGCTCACTTTACTCACCATCAGTCCATACAAACCTTTCCAGGTTTTTCTGAAATCTGCCTGCTCATCATTTCTTATAGTACGATAGTATTCAATTACATTCATGTACCACAACTTGCTCAGCCATTCCCCAATCGATGGGCATTCCCTCAATTTCCAATTCTTTGCCACCACAAAAAGAACTGCTATAAATATTTTTGTACATGTGGGTCCTTCTCCCATTTGTATGATCTCTTTGGGATACAGCCCTAGAAGTGCTATTGCTGGGTCAAAGGGTAGAGCAAGGTTCTTTATCCTGGTATCCATGGACCCCCAAGAGATCCATAGATTGATTTAAGGGAATCCGTGAACTTGGATGAGTTTTATTAACCTCTAACTGAAAATCAGCATTTCCTTCAGTTATCTAAAATTTTTCCCTAAAAAAAGAGGTCCATAGTTTCACCATACTGCCAGAGGTCTTTCTTTGACACAAAGAAGTTTAGGAAGCTCTGCTTTAGAGAGTTATCTAAAGCACAGAGAGTTTAAGTGACTTTTCCAGGGTCACACAGCCAGACTGTGTCGGAGGTGGGCCTGGCTTCCCAGCTGACTATCTCTCGGCTCTGCCACACCACCCAATCTATGCATGAGAAAAATTTGTAGGAAGAGAAGGTTGGAAAATAATTGAACTGGAAACCTATTTAGAAGCAATGCAATTAAGTGAAAATTTTGGCAGCCAAGTCTTGGAGGCACGGAACACAGTGGAAAAAGAAAAAAATGGGATCAATATTATTTCAAGAAACCTTCTGGGATGATTCCCAGAACCGTCCAGAACAAGCAGCACTATGCAAATAGACAGAATACACAGAATTCTAATAAGAAAATTAGAATTCAGGCCACCCAGGCAGATCATTATCAAATTTCAAATCTGCATTTATAACCAAAAAAAAAATTTTTTTCAAGCCACCAGAAGAGAAAGGAAACCACCTATCACAAAATCACAGAATGGTGAAGCTAGGACCCTACAGATCATTTAGTCCCGTGTTTTTGTAGATGTAGAATTGAAGACCCAGAAAGGTGACATGCCCAAGGTCACCACCCACTTTCAGCCAATATTCCAGACCAGTTCTTAGGACTGAGTTGGATCAAGATCTCACCAGGGTTTTCTTTTGGGGTGGAGGGGAAGGGGGAATGAAGACATTAGAATAATGCCTGTTTCAGTTCAAAATATGTGTGCTCTCATCCTGAGCTCAGATTCCTTAGATATCTAAGGTTTCTGTTTGAAAAGATAAGGCAGACATTTAAAATCCAAAATGAATTCCCAAGGAAAAACCCACCCTCATACCAAGCTGGTCCATCCAAACTAGAAAAATAGAACTGTAGGCACATAACGACTGACACTCCTGGCTGGAATCTTAATGTGAAGAAATACAAGCCCCACTAAGAGAGGGGGAGAAGATTAAAAAAACAAACCTTGAATTGGTCAAAAGGCTGGACATGATAGGTTGGATCAGAAAGAAAAAAAGGTGATAAGAAAGGTCAATTTCAATGTGTCCCAAAAGTCTTAGTTAGGTTTTCAGCATTCATTTTGTGTGTTTGACCATGATCCAAAGAGTTTTTCAGATAAGCAAAGAAAAGGTAATGAAAAGGGGGAGGAAGAGTGCTGGTGATCCCAAAGCAAAGCGCCTGTCTTTGGCTAAGGGGGATGTTAAGTTTTAGGGAAACTGAGCAAAACAAAGGGTTTTGTGAAGCCCAGCGGAGGTCCTTATCACCAGGTGAAGTCGAGGAAGGCTTCACGGAAAAAGTGGCATTTAAGAGTGTCTTTAAAGAGCAGTGACAAGTCCAGTTAGTGAAAGAGGAAAGAGGACATCTCAGGCATGAGGAGTGGTGTGACCCAAGGTGACGAGAACCCCCAGGGTGGGGAAGGTGGGGTAACATGAGATCGGGGGGGGCTTTGATTGCCGGGTGGGCAGTAGAGAGCTCTAGGCACTGAGCACAGACATCTCAGGACCACGGCTGTGGATCAGCAGCATTAGCCCAGTCCTGGTGTAAGGGATGGATGGAGGGCTGGGGGGGGGGAGGACAGCAAGAAGATCCATTGGTAGACATGGAGGGACGTGGGACTGCCAGCCAGAGTCTGAATTCTGGCTCTTCCTTAGGCAAGTACCTTCACCAGTCTGCCTCAGTTTCCTCATCTGTAAAATGGGGAGGCTAGACCACAGGATAGCCGAGGCCCCTTCTCTCTCCAGATATATAACCCTACGTAATAGTTTGGACAGGTGATGATGAGGATCTGTATTCGAGTGGTAGCAGCAGGCTGTGAGCAGTATTGAAGAGGTAGAATCACCTTAATTAAGGCCAGGATTATGAACAGGGGAGACAAGGCAAATGGTGGCATCACTGCTAGAAAGAATGAAGTCAAGAGGAAGGGCTAGGCTGGGAGGAAAGATGCTAACCTTGGTTTTGAACATGGTTGTTCTCCAACATGGTGGTGTTGGAGGCCTGGAAGTGTTGATCTTAGAAGCGTGAGCCCAGAGGTGGTAGTTGAAGCCATGGGACCATAAGAGAATGCGCAGAAGAGGCCTAAGGATGTAGGGCCAGTAAGAACAGGCCATGGAGAGGTTCCAGGCACTGTGGGAGGCCCCAGGATGCCCAGGCCATGACTGGTTCTCCATTTGCTAATAGCAGCAGTAGATGTGGATTCAATTAGTCTTCTTAGGTGTCTCAGCTTCAAGGCAGTGACAGCGAGAGTGCCATGGGAGAAGCTGAGAGGCCATTCAAGTGGTACCAACTTCTTTGGTCATGGCCTGGCCCCCCATAGGCAGACCTTGGGAGGGAAGGGCACTGGTGTGGCTCCAGAGGAGGCCTGGCTTTCATCCTGAGGACCAAAGCTCATTTGGAGGGTCTTTTCTGATTACCTTTGGCTTGGGGTGGCTTTTGGAGGTTCAGCCCAGGGAATGAGGGGTCCTACTGTATCCAAACAAGAGTGCCCTCTGCCCCATCCTTGAAACATGGCCCACCTCTGCCACCTGGGCATGTGAGTGGGCCTTCACAGGTCGGGAAGATGTTGGATCGCATGGCATGGGAAGGTCCTTCCAGCTTGCAGGCCATGAGCCTCTGACCTCCCCAGGCAGCCCTTACTTTTAGGCAATTTTAATTTGTTAGAATTAAGTCCATCTCTTGTGAACTTCCACCCACTTGAGCAGTATTGTATCACATGCTTTTCCAGTACTTTTCAGTCTCACGGACAATCTGAACTACAAGGGGCCATGTTGACCCCCTGGTCCTACCTCCCCCTGGACCTCCCTGTGAGTGTTTAGAGCTCGGGGCCACTGCCATCTAACCTCATTCGGGTGAGTGTGTCTGTGCTCACTGATCATCTCAGCAGGCAGAGATTTTAGAATTGTTCCCATAAAGACGTAGTCTGTGGGCATGTAAAATCCCACTCTATTGGCTCTTTCCACCTCCACACTGCTGAGGGAGGTTGAAATCAGGGCCCACCCCCGACCCCGAGGCCCTCTTTGGGCCCCACTCCTCCCTGGTCTTCCCACCCCTCCAGCAGCTATGTTCCTCTGTGTACCTGCTTTATGTCTCTCTTTAATTTTCCTTATAAGACCTCTCAGAAAGGTGTGTTGGGGGGGCTCTTTTTGTCTTTGTCATTAGCCCCATGATTGCCTCACCCCACTCTCAAAATCTGTTTCCTCTCTAATATGGGGTTGGTGCTATACTACCTGCCCCATGCCCTCAAAGCCAGAAGACCTGGGGTCATGCCCCAGCCCTGACACCTACCCGCCATGTGATCTTGGGCAAGTTATTAAACATTCCGATGCCCTAGGCGGAGAGGAGGTGCTTGGTAGAGGGCGTTCTGTCCCTTGGAGATCCCTGCCTCACATGGGTGAGCTGGTGAGAAGGTACCTCACACCAGGGCTGGACCACTCCCCATGTTTCCCATGGGAGTGTGGGCCAGATATCTGTGTCCTCTGTGTGTGTGTGTGTGTGTGTGTGTGTGTGTTGGGGAGGGGGTGCCATGCAGTGGCAGAGGGTGAGAAGTGAGGGAGAGAGGAAGGAAGGACCCACCCCTACCCACCCATTCACAAGCAGGGATAAGCACACCTCTGGCTCCTGGTCCCTCACTCTTAGGGCTACCCCAGAGCCGTTCCCACTGTTTGGGCCGTGAAGCTTTGGGATGGGGGTGGAACGCTGAGCAGCCAGGGCTGAGTCTTTGCTGACAAGAGTCAGGCCCACTGCGGGGAAGGCGAGACTCTGCCACAGGAAGCAGAATTTCCCCTTTTTGGGGACATCACCAGAGCTTTCCCTTCTGGTGCAACACTCCATGTAACTCTTGAGTAATCAGACGAATTACAAGGAGAGGTGGCTGGGCTAGGCCTGAGCCTGCCCCTCTGTTCTCCCGCCTGCAGGTGCTCGGCAGCTCCGGGAAGGTGTACGTGTGCTTCGCCTCTTGCCATTACTGCTCGTGCCCGGCTTTTGCATTCTCTGTGCTTCGGAAGAGTGACAGCCTATTGGTAAGCTGTGGGGAGAAAGGGTCCCCTCATGCAAGAGGCCACATGACCAAGTGTGGAAATGAGCTGCAGCTGGCGGTGCTGTCCTTGCGTTCCCGAGTCATTTCTCCTGGGTTTGACTCCCTAGAGGAGTCAAATTAGGCAATTGGGGTCAAGTGACTTGCCCAGGGTCACACAGCTAGTGAGTGTCAAGTGTTTGGTCTAAGGCCAGATTTGAACTCAGGTCCTCCTGATTTCAGGGCTGGTGCTCTACTGCTGTAGCTGCCCTGGAAATGTCATTTTTAAAGAGTGTCAGTTTTCCTTCTGGGTGAAAACCCTTCCAGAAAGCTGTCCCTTTCACACTTACATGACTGTTCCACTCCGAGTCACCCAGGAAGTACTAGAGCTTGGCACATAAGAGGTCCACTGCAGCCTGGGAGCCAGCCCGGCTGCAGAGTGGACGGCAGCCTCTCTTTAGTTCAGCCCCTTGATTATTCGTGGGGCCTCTTATCCTTGGCCCGTGGTTTATGGGAACGTAGATCAGGAGTTTGAGTCTTGGAGGCCGTGTATTCCACCCACCCCACGGCCCAGGAGCATTCAGTGTCTGGGCCAGCATCACAGAGCTTGTGAGGAGCGGAGGGTCTTATGTCACCACGATGGCTGTACCTAGTGCCCTTCCTCTTCTCAAGACACAGCAGCTGGTCTGGCCGCTGTCTTGGCACAGGCTCCGGGGGCCCAGGCGCACATCTCAGCCATCATCAGCCGCAGGAAGGAGCCAAGGCATCTGATGGAAAGGGAAAATGTACATTTGCTCTGTTGCCCCCAATCAGGGATTCTTCACCTTTTTTGTGGCCCAGACCCCTTGGGCAGCCTGCTGGTGAAGGTTGGGGACCCTTTCTGAGTCACGTTTGTAAATGTATAGAAGAAAATACATAGGATTGTAGAGGAAATCACTTATTGAAATACAGTCATCACAATGCCCTTTTCCATCCAAGTTTGTGGACCCCTTGCAATCTGTCATTCATACCAGGTGAAGAGCCCCTGCCCTAAAGGGTGGGGGGCATTGGAAAGAAGGTAGCAGGCCCAAACAGCAGCATCTGCACCATTCTTCCCTTCAGATTGTCTTATGATCACCTTGGGCACCATTAGGGCTTCAGGTGTGTGTGGCACCCTTGGCACTTTCTGGGACATCTCCCCTGCCTGGTGCAGCTAGTCATTTGTTTCATCTGTTCTCTTTATTTAAAAAAAAAAGTTGATGTATTTTTCTATCACCTTGAAACAGCTGGTAGGGAAGTAGATAGAGTGCCAGACCTGAAATCAAGAAGACCTGAGTTCATATCTGGCTTCAGAGACTTAACTAGCTTTGTGACTCTGGGCAAGTCACTTCACCTCTGCCTCAGTTTCCTCAACTGTAAAATGAGGCTAATAATAGCACCTACCTCCCAGAGTTGTTGTGAGGACTGAATGAGATAGGGTAAAGCACTTAGCACAGTGCCTGGCGCCATAAATGCTCTCATTATCTATAACCTCACTTCTGAATTAGCCTCCCTCCCAACCCTGCCCCAGAAGCCATTCCCATGCACAAAAAATTAAAAGGAAAAGGTGCAAAGGGTCGGCACAACCAAGGGAAGTAGAGTGCAGCCCGACAGCAAAGGCGGGGGTCCGCCTCTCTCTCCGGGCGGGCTTGGTCATTCCGATGACCCAGTTTGGGGTTTTTGTCCTTTCCATAGTTTTGTAATCATGTGGGCTGACTTCCTGGCTCTGCTCCCTTCTCTGCTTCCTTTCATACAAGTCTTCTCATCCTCCCCTGAACCTTTCCCATAATGTCATTGTTTCTTCCAGCACAGTCATTCTGTTACGATCACGTGCTGCCACAATTGGCGTAGCCTTTCCCCACGCCATGGGCGCTGTTTCCAGTAGTGCCCCTGTTACATTGTCTTTGAAGTGAGACTGGTCTGGCAGACCACAGGGACTTCAGAGAAGACTGGCAAGTAGGCAATCTCTCCTGGAATCAAAGGGCAGAGAGGATCTTGGGATGAAAGGGAAATCTCTTCCCCAGATATGGACAGCTCAGCCCCCAGACGTGGCCGTGGGCATCGTTGCGCTGGGGCTACTGGTCTTGATGACAGTGACTCACGGAGTGTGGAATCATGAAGGAATTTGGATCAGCTTCAGGGCAAAATTTGAATTTCCTTTCGACTGTTTGTTGGCATCATGAGAGAGAATCTCGTGGGCGGGTTCTTGTGGACACACTGGTCCTTTGCCCTACGGCTGCGTCTGGTTCGTTCTGCTTTGGGTCATGCCGAGACTGGGCCTGTTCCGGGGCCATCGAGATTCCACGTACTTCCTTTCCCTTTGTAGCACAAGAGCACAGTCTCTCTCATCACCGAGAAGGCCTGCGCCATGGCTCTGACAGCCTGTGTGCTTTGACCTGACCCGTACCTGGTGACGAAAGACCATTTCTGTGTTTGATCGGGTGGATTTTTATGTTTTAAGGGAAGTTGTTATGGCAGTTTGCACAGAGTCGGGGCGGTCTTCTTTGGGCTGTTGGGCTTTTTCTCTCTGGTTCCTCCACACTCCCCCAGATGGATTTTTCAGGGAAAAAAAAGGTTTGGTGGGAAGAACCCTAGAACAAAAGTCAAGACCAGAGGATTCTCTTCTGGAAACCATGTACAAATATCTGGGGTTCTATGAACTTAGATGGGGAAAAAATTGTATCTTTATTTTCACTACCTGTTCTAACTGAAATGTAGTATGTCCTTCAATTATTTAAGAAAGAATGTTCTTCTGAAAAGGGGCCAACAGGTTTCACCAGCCTGCCAGGGGCCCATGATAGACAGAAGTGAAGATTGCCTGCCCTGGGCCCAGCCCAGCCACGTGGTGGCCATGTGACTGTAAGACTCGTCATCCATCTGGACCTCAGTTTCCTTACATGTAAAATGAGAGGCCCAGTGATCACTTCAGTTCTAGCATTCTGCTCTACCTCTGACAGAAGATGGCGCCATCTCTACCTCTGTTAACTCCTTACTTCCCCTGCTTTCCTGGTAGGAAAAGCTGGCTGGAGGTAGAAGTTAGGATCCTCTAAACACTTGTTGGGCCTGGGCAGCAAAGGGCTGCACTAGTCTTTAGGTATTAGCTCACCTCCCCTGACAGCACTGTTATACGTCAGCTTGAGGGCCTTTTTTGTCCTGAGGTGGGCACGTGCTCAGATTGCCCAATGTGGGGTTTGTGGAGAGGCCTGGCCTCCTGCCTGCCTCTTCTTAGCCCCACCTCTCTCTTCTGTCTTGGTCCAGACCTGGGTTTCCAGTGGGAGGGAGGAGTTCCTGGGCAGGAAACACATTCTACTGATGTTGCTTGTTAGCTCTTCTGTAGCCAAGTGTCTTAGAGCAGCAGATCTCTAGCTTTCAGGACCCCTTTACCCTCTTGAGGACCACTGAAGACCCCCACCCCTGAACACCTTTTATTTATGTGGATTCTGTCTGTAGTCATCATATTAGAAATTAAGACATCTTCCTACTATTATGAAAAGTTTTGACCTCAAGGACCCCCTGAAAGGACGATGCCCTAAGAACCACTGTCTTAGAGAATTGCCAAGTAGACCACTGACCAGTTAATGGATTGACTTTGTGGGGTCTCACAGCCATTAAGTGTCAAAGGCAGGATCTGAACTGCTGACACGTTTCTTCTTCCCAAGCTGGTTTCTAACTGACTTGTATCTTATGTCTTCCAGTGCAAGCATCTCCTGGCCACCTACCTCAGCCTGGCCACGGGACTGTGCCAGGACCTGAGTGTGTCTAATGAGCAGCTGTCTGGCCTCCTGTTAGCAGAGGAGGATCAAGAACAGGCCTAGAGGCCCCTCTGGCACCACCGACGCCTCTGTGAATTGCCCCACGAGGGAAATTTCCCTCTTGTTTTCACCCAAAGCAGAGATGCTGGACTGAAGGATTGAGTAAACATTTATTAAATGCTTATTGTATGCCAAGCACTGTTACGATGCTCCCACTTTCTTATTTAACCATGTGTTGTCTACTTAGAAGGAAAATGGCACCTTTCCTTCTGTCGAAGGGGTTACAGAACGTGCCTGTGGTTATGGCCAAGCCCTCCCACAAAGGGCTTTCAACAGCCAGGAAGCCAATGAGGTAGCTAAATTCTTCAGCAAAATCAACTGTAGTAGCTGATCTTTTTTTATTTTTTTTAAGGGGGGAAAAAACCTATAAGTTGGCATTATATGCAGTGTTCAGACGGGGAACAACTAGGTGGTACAGCAGATAGAGCGCTAGGCCTTGAACCAGGAAGACCCGAGTTCCAGCCTCAGACGCTTACTAGCTATGTGACTGGTCAAGTTACTTCACCCTGTTTGCCTCAGTTTCTCTTCTGTAAAATAAGATGGAGAAGGAAATGGCAAATCACTCCAGTATCTTTGCCAGGAAAACCCCAAATGGGGCGATAGAGAATCAAATGTTCTGATTTGGTAAATTAAGGAAGAAGGGAGGCTTTTTCTTTCCCTAGTCACATGTCGATCTGTCTCCAAAGGGATGGGGAGGAGGCCTTTACCAGTCTGGAATCAGAAAGTCTGCATTCAGTTTTGAGCCTCACTATTGATTAACTTTGTGACCTTAGGCTGCTGAGTTTTCCAAATCTCTGTTTGCTTTTCTGGAAAATGGGGATAATAGTACTTATGCTGTGTGTCCCACCAAGTGAGATTAATTTAGGTAAGTCACTTTAATGGACAGCTCTGATTAGCTGTCAGAACAGAAGGCACCCCTTGGGAAAGGTAAATCCAGTGGGAACATGGCTGATACCTTGGGAATGCCCAGGAGCAGAGGGACTTGATGGCATGGATAAAGGAGTCATTCTGTCATCCAGAAAACATTAGGGGGCTACTGTATGCCAGGTGCCAGGGCTACACAGAGAGGGAGGACACTGACCTTGCTCCCAGGAGCTTAGAACCAGCATGTGACTAGTGTCCGGAAGCCCAGAGTGGGATTGGTTTTCTATTTGCCTATTAAATTTTAATAAACTCTCATTTTAAACACAGGTAACTTTGGCAGGCAGGAGTGGATAGAGAACCCAGCCTCACAGCTGGCTGGTCCTGGGTTCCTTGTCACATCCTGGCCGTGTAACCCTGGGCAAGGAATTTCACCCCCCAAGGGTCCCAGGCAAGTCTATAAAGACTTCTTGTTTCAGAAGTTCTGATCTATGTTGATTGGGGGTGGGGGCAGTTTCCAAAAAATTTTGGGAGCTTCTTACACCATGGAAACCATAGGTCTGATCCCTTCTGTGGTGGCCCCCACCACTGGTCCCAAGCAAAATAAAACACCCCAATGAGTGGGCCGAGGGCCAGGTGAGGTATTATAAGAAATCCAAGCAGACCCGAGTCTCTTTCAGGTAGGGAGAATCCTAGGAAAGGTGGCCTCTCCTTTGAAAAAAGTGAGGGATTTTGCTAGAAAGAGGTTGGGTGGGGAGATCCCCACCCAGTGTGGGCACAGGCGACAAGCTGAGCAGAGACCCATGAGGAACAGCTGTGCGTGAGGCTGTGTGAAAGCCATTGGAGGTACTTATTTTTCCAGTTTGACAAATAGACAATTTCAGACCTAGTCCTGAGGTTTCTCCAGGTGAGGAGAGTTGGACAACATCCCACTAGTTCCGTCTCCCTCCCCAGGAAAGTGAGGAAGCCAGAGACAGTTCTGGATGTGGTTTTACTACATTTAAATTTCTTATCCAAAAAAAAAAGCTTTATTTTTAATTCACTTAAATTATCTTCCACTTTGAGCTAATACTACATCTGTACATACACTGCAAAGGAGGTTAAAGTCTCACAGTTTGAGCTCAGCCATTTCTTTGCCCCATCTTTTGGTCTGCTCGATTCCGCTGGGGGGGGGGGACCAGAAGTAGAGAGCAGCTATTTTAGCCTCCTCTTCCCCTCCAAAGCTGATTGGGCAACCCCCAACCCCCCCCCAAGAGAGGAACGGGAATCTAACTGGGGGGAGAGACTCCTTTCCCTTCAGTGTTCTTGGGCCCCTCCAAGAGACAGAAGAAAAGCCGCTATCTCCACTAGGAAAAGCACAATGTCACTAGATAGCAAGCTGGAACAAGAGCTCCCTCCCGACCCCATTCGTCACCAGGGCCTCTCCTCCACCCATGCCTGTACATAGTGTTCTTCTGGCCACTTCCAGGAGGAGCAGGTTCCCATCTGTCAGAAGAGCCAAGGTGTTGCGTTTCCCCATTGCTTCCAAGTCTGGAAAACATCACTGCCGAGTGGGGGAGTTCACAGTAACAGTGGCTGAAATCCTTTCCTATTAGAGAGTAGTATTCAGCACATCCAAAACAGTGGGGCTGAGGTCGAGGAGCCAGTGGGGAAAAATGGCATCCTTGGCCAACAGCTTCTCAACCTCCCTTTGGAGTCCCTGGCCTCGTCATCCAGTCCACACGGAGCTAGCAGCAGGACCAACTACCTCAAAGGTACGTTTCCACTCGTTGGCCCTCGGAGACAATCATCTGTTCACCAAGATCCAGAGTGAGAGCAGCGAGGTGCTCAGAGCAGGCCGCCTGTGCATGCACATCACTGCTGAGAGTCGGCCAGGCTTCTCACAGTGCCCGTCACGGGCTGCGTGTCTCCTGGCCTCTTGGTGGCGGGGGTCATACATCCGCATCGAGGGTCTGCACCGTCCCTGACTGTCCATTGCCACTCTTGGGGAGGTCATCTGCCTGACAGAGGACATACCTCGAGATGATCTTGTGGAACGTGCAGCGAAAGTCCCTTATCCTGTAGGCGTAGATGATGGGATTGATGACAGAGTTGGTGTGCGACAACAGGATGACCGCGTGCATTAGCACCTTGGGCTTGCTCTTGGCAAAGTGGGGATCAAAGAGCGTGATGCAGTTCGTGGCGTGCAGGGGCAGCCAGCACAGCGCGAAGATGCCCACGATCATCGCCAGCGACTTGGCCGCGTGGATCTCCCGCTGCAGCGTGGTCCGCGAGTGGTCCATCAGCTCCATGCGACGCAGCTGCTGACAGGCCACCAGGAAGATCTTGACGTAGATGGCCAGCATGATGAGCAGCGGGGGCAGGACGCAGCCAAAGAAGTTAAAGTAGACCATGTAGGACATGGTGACCACGTTCTCAAAGAGACATCTCACAGGACAGCAGCTCAGGTTCATGGGTCCATCAGTGCAATTGGTGGCATTGGCCCTGTCATTCCATCCCATGAGAGGAGTCAGGCCAATGCCAAAAGCGAGAATCCAGAGCACAGCAATGACCCCTCTTGCCCGGGTCCCAGTAACTAAACTCTTGTACCTGTTGCCCAAAAAAAAAAAATCCATTACACTCAGTTTCTGCTAATCAATATACCATTATAACCTGTTTTTGGGGGGAAGGGGGTTTATCTTTGCTTTTTAATACAAAATTATCTTCACCACTGTCCCTCCTTGCAATGCAGTGGATAGAGTGCTGGGTCTGGAATCAGGAAAACCTGAATTCAAATCCAGCCTCAGACACTTACTGGCTGTGTGACCCTGGGCAAGTCACTGAAATTTCTGTGTGCTTCAGTTCTCTCCTCTGTAAAATGGAGATAATAATAGCCCCTCCCTCCCCATGTTGTGAGTATTATCGAATGAGAGAATAATTGTAAAGCGCTTATCACATTGCCTGGCACATAGTAGGTGCTATATAAATGCTTATTTCCTCACTCTCATGCCCACAAACATGCCTCAGAACATAGGAGTTTTGTTTCTCTAATAAATAGGAGTTTTGTTTCTCTAATAAATATAAAGTTCTCAGTATCATTCTTCGCTACTGATGATCAAAGAACACGGTCTTCGTTTTGAATGAAAAGGGCAGTTCTCCAAGGAAAGCCCAGCTAAGTAAGGACAGACTGAGCCTGGGAGTGTACTGGTATAAGGAACTTCCCTCCCTTGATACACGTCACCACCTTCTATGTGCCTGCTCTCGCAGAGACACCTGGAGAAGAAGGGTCTTGTTCTAGATCATACAACAGTTATCAGTCAGAAGCAGGACTCCAACTTAGGTCTTCCTGACTCAGAAGCTTTGGCTCTGTCCATTTCACTCAGCCCAGCGAGATGAAGACTGAAGATGATTTTCCTTTTAAACTTGATACCCAATCGGGAACCGTTCATGCCCTGGGCATTTCTGATCCCCGGTAGATGGGTGCCTGCCTCTGGGGCCAACCAAATCGAAAACGAAAGGAATGTTGAAATTACCTGTGACCTGGTGATATACCATATCCAGTGTCATGTACACACACACACACATACATACACACGCACATACATGCACACACACATACACATGCATACACGTGCACACACACACACACACACACACTGCAAATGAGATTTAAAACAATACAACTGAAGCTCACCTACTGCTTTGACTGTTGCATGCTTGAATCTACTGGGGTGGTGTGAAACAAAAGCTCTTCTCTTTCAAAGTTGAGAGTTCACCTTCCCACCTTGATTCTAACTGAGGTGTGGTTAAAGCCTTTTCTTTAATCATTCTCTAGTCTCTTGAAGGCAGCTAGGTGGCACCATAGTGCATAGAGCACCTGGCCCGACTCTTCCTGAGTCCAAATCTGGCCTCAGACACTTCCTAGCCGTGTGACCCTGGGCAAGTCACTTTACCCTGTTTGCCTCAATTCCTCATCTGTAAAATATGCTAGAGAAGGAAATGGCAAATCACTCCAGTATCTTTGCCAAGAAAACCCC